TGGTGGGAACCGCTCGGAATCTGATGCGACAGACGAAGACGCCACGGATGCAGAGGGAGACGACATGCTCGTCATTGGATACAGTATGCATCTCCATCTCAGGGCCTCATTACACTTTCCGTTGGGGTTGTGGAAGGAGCTGGGCTGATGGTTGGATCACTGTAGAGCATCAAACCCCGAAGAGAAAGATGACAAGACGGACGCGGATGTCGTCATTTGGGCGATTAACCCGAGGGGGTTATTTGTTCTTTGTTTGGCGACGAGGGCTAGGCGGAGAGTAATAGGGAACCGGTATCGAGCTCGAGCTCGAGCCTACTGATTGGTGATTGGTGATAGCTAGGTGGAAATGGATATGTAATCTGCCATGAATCCATGTCTACTAAGGTCGAATGCAATGATGATTAAACAAAAAACGAAAATGTCTGCCACTGGTAGATGGGAGTAGCTCGCTGTCTGTCATTCACACTGCTAATATTACGCTTGTGGTGGACCGGTAATGTGGCTGCCACCGTTGAATGGGGATTGAATGGGAGTAGCTAGTCGTTACCCACACTGCTATCATGAGTCCTGCATAGGTAGGACTGTCTAGATGTGTTTTTGTTTCACCGGTATGCTTTCGACGCTGGACTATGCTATTCAATCTTGTGTATAGAGCTTCCGACAATATCCTGTCCAAGTTCCAACACCTCTGTATTTTAGTCCTCGCTACCAGCTTGGACAGCGGGAGGAAAGAAACCAAGAAAGAAACATATTACACGACCACGACCACGACTACGTTGACTAAGCGGGCATACACCTGTACACCGGCAGAGAAGAGGAATACGAATGACCTCTGAATCCGATAGTATTCCAAAGGCTGGCTGTTGTCTTGAATTGCCGAGTGCTGGTCTTACGTACAATGAACCATGGACTTGTTGGCTGAGGCTCGAGGCAGCGATACGCAACGTGCATTCCCGTAGAAATACAACTTTTGACTTTGCCGCTACATACTGCAGCCTGTGTACGGAATCCAAGCTGTCGTAACTACCCGCTGCTCATCGGATCTCGGGCGGCGCTTCACAAGTAATCACGCGATAAGCGAGTGACATCGCATGCATTCACGGCAGCGACAAGCCTCAATAACGACTCTCAACGGCGATTCAGTTTCAAAAACCGCGCGGCCTCTCCTCCCTCCCTCTTCATCTCTTTCTCCCCCCTCTTCACCCCGCCATAGGAGTCGGTGGTGGAAACACTCAACTTCGCTGACTAGGTAGCTAGTGTGTACATACTACCTAGGCTGAAGAGCAATGCGAGGCACATCAAGCTCCCGTCTACTAGTAGTGGATTATTTCTTAATACCGGATGCATGCTGCAACTTGTGAGAATGTAAGAAGTGAATGGTCACTGGCACTACCTACTAGGTATTGTCGACGGCAAAGAAACTGCAAGCCGCAGGTTGAATATCCGTTTGAGGCCCCCCGCAAGTCATCGCAACGGCAACGCTGTTGGGCTTCTCGCTGCGTGCGCGGCAAGCCGCAAAACCGATATCCTCCCGCACACATCTCGTGGAAAAAGAAATTGGTGGAAAGGAGAAGGAAGGAAGGAACCCGAGAAGACATGGGTACATACCGGTATGTACTATGTCCTGAAGCGGGTGACAGGGAAACTCTGAGCTGGCTGCAGCTGCTGAATCGCTCACTCGCGGGAGAACCTCCGAGGCTCCGCCCACGAAGCTGAATATCAGTATAAAACCTCAGAGCTTCATAGGTCCTACTTAGGTGTTGCTATTGAAGTTCATGGCCACTCGGAAGTATCTCTGGAAGCCAAGCTGGATAGAGAGAATGGAAAGGAATCTAGCGGTCCCATCAACTTGTTGGGTGCGCAGAACAGAGGCTTCGGATCCAATTGATCACTCTTGATGGATTCCGGAGGTGGTATATATGACCCATGGCGGAGCCACCGTGGCATGGGCTGGGAGTTGCTATTCGAGTTCTTATACGCGTTTAGAAGACTGTTTTTGGAACATAATTTGTGTAGGGCGAACAGCGAAGTAGGAATGGGTGCTGCTAGCTAGTAGTGTCGCAGCGGGTGACGGAGAAACTCCAAGCTGAATCGCTCGTGGGAGAACCTCCGCCCACAAAGCTGAATGACAGTAGCAGACCTTGGAACTCCAGGGTCTATAGATCCTAGGTGTTGCTATTGAAGTTCATGTCAAATCGGAGATATTTCTGGAAAGGAAGCTGTGTAGAGGTAATGGAAAGGAATAGATATAGCGGCCCCACCGACGTGTGGGGTGCGCAGAAGAGGGGCTTCGGGTCCAATTGTCCATGTCCGAGGGTACCCACGAGCTGGTGGCTGTGCCAGCCCTCACGGTCTCTGATGTTGCTATTGAGGTTCGTGCCGAGTGACATCTCCGGAACGAGCAGAGCGGGGAAGAAATAAGGAAAAGCTAGTAATGTCATTGTCCGTCAAGTGGCTTCGATGGCAGACAGTCTTCGACCTTGGTGACTGCCAGAACACATCAGGTGACGAGCCGCTGAAGAGCCGTACTCCACAGGTCCTAGATGTTGCTATCGAATTTCGGGTCCAATCAGGAATATTTTTGGAAGAGAAGCCGTGTAGAGAAAATGGGAGCTACTATTCGAGTGGTACACGTTTATGAGACTCTTATTGGAATAATATTTGTGCAGGGGAGTAGATAGCGAAGAAGGAGTAGGTACTGGCAGTGTCTCAGTAGGTGACGGGGAAACTCCAAGCTGAATCACTCGCTCGCGGGAGAACCTCCGCCCACAAAGCTGAATATGGTAGCAATCTAAGGCCGCAGAACCCCGGATTCCATAGGTCCTTGGTATTGCTATTGAAGTCCATGTCCAATCGGAAATTTTTCTGGAAGGGAAGTGGTGTATGTAGAGATAATGGAAAGGAATTTAGCGGTCCCGCCGACTTGTGGGGTGGGCAGACGAGACTGTTCTTGAAATAACATTTGTACAGGGAGAGTAGGTAGCGAAGAATGAATAGGTGCTGGCAGTGTCGCAGCGGGGTGACGGGAAAATTCCAAGCTGGCTGCTCAATCGCTCGCGGCAGAACCTTCGCCCATAGAGCCGAATAGCAGTATATATAAGGCCTCAGAACTCCATAGGTCCTGGGTGTTGCTATTGAAGTTCGGGTCGGATTGGCGGTGGGCATGTAGGTAAATAGCTGCTGACCAGTTGAATCCGATCCAGCCTTGGCCCAATGTTCACGAATCACGAGCGACGAGCACATGTCGGGGGAGTGGAGGATACCTACAAGCCTTAGACTTTTCTCGTTTAGCTCGTGGTGCTCACTCACTGCATCAGGTACATACAGTGGCTCCACCGCACATGCTCGAGCTATGCTTGCCCCCGCAATGCAGGATCATCGGGGACCACATGCGCCGGCAACCTGATCCTTCCTTCATCACTCGAGCCGAGCGCTCTGGAGTCTGGGCTGACTCCTTCCTAACATCCTACCCTTCCACCTACATACCACCTACCATCCTCCATCCCATGCCAGTCAGTCAGTCACAGATCCCGACGTAAGTATGCATACCTAGAGCCAAGAGATGATAGACGACCCCACAATTCGCTTATTACCGCACAACTCCCGCCCCATCCCCGGGGAGATTCACGAAAACGTCCCGGGAGCTTCCACATACATACATGTGAGAGCTTGCGGACGAAACCGTGTGTAGCAGCTATGCAGGGACTGGGAAAGACATGCACAGGACGACGGTCTACCGAACGAACGTCTACATACACACCGGTACCTAGCCCTTGGGGTTTGGGGTCCCTGGGCGACTACCTACATACGCGTGTCTGCGAGTTCTACGTACTGGTATGGTTGAAATGTAGGCATCGAGGATTCGAGGCGGCCAGATCATACCCGGCCGGCGAATTATGCATAGATATACCTACGAGCTCGCTCGGGTTTGGAAAGTGCGGTAGGTATATAGCCTGTCTGGCATGGCTAGAATGGCTGCGTCGCTCGGGATATTGCTCTGGCGTGGAAACCGGAGGCCACTCATAGCGCAATAGAGCTCGTATATATCGTCGGTTATTATGGTTTCGCGATGTAGATAGAAGCTTGAGAAGTTGAGAGTCATCACCTATCGGCGAGCAAGGCTGTTTCACTCTTCGGATGCACCCACCGGATAAATACCACTACATAATCAACCGGCCGGAACGTTCTGCATACATAAGTGCGCTGACTTATCCGCATATCTACGCCAACGCACGTGCTTTTTAGTTGCCTATCTTCACCCGGCGATGGCCACTGGCCAGCGGCCAGCCTTTGGGGGGCGGAAAAAAGAAAGGAAGAAAAGAAGGAAAGAACGTGCGAAAAAAAGAAAGAAAGAAAGGCCGCAAAAAAAGAACGGAAGAGATCGCGACGGCAGGTATGATGTATGTAACCTGGGACGGCAGACGCAGGAGAGAGGCAGGAGGAAAGGAGGAAGCATTGTCTCTCCCTCTGGCCGGCCGCTGACCCGCTGCAGTTACGTGAGCCAGTCAAGTCGACTCGATCGCCGCTGACTCTTACATGTGTGAGGATGTGAGGAAGCAAAAGGATGAGGATATGGTCGGCAGTGGTCAGATTCTCTATCTATGTGTCTCGGGCACGCGCAACTGCCATTCGATGCGAGTAATGCCTGGTGATCCGATAGGAGGGCAGTGATCCGGTGTCCTCGGGCATGCAAGGGAGTTGGATTCTCTGTTTCTTGCATCGTCATCAAGCGGACGAAGGAAGATTCCGGGCCTGTGCGACACGACGTGCCACCACCGAGATTCCCGCGCCCGTTCATCCGCCCCGACACACCCTGAAAATAGATATTTGCGTGCCGGGCGTGTGGCGTTGGTAAACCACAATCATAGGGAAGACATCATCGACCAGCATGGGAGCCGGGCCCGGAAAAGAGAACAAAGGGCGACAGAAGAAGAAGGGAGTCGGCAAACTTCTTAGCCTCTTCCCTGTTTTTTAACCCGCCGAGCAAAAAGTCCAGCCCAGCATAAAATTATCAGTCACCACAACCACCACCGCCGTCCACCGTCAACAACACCAACACCAGCGCTACCGTACCGCTCTAAATATCGGACTTTTACCCGCCTCGTCTGCCCCTCCTCTTCTCCTCGTCCGTGAAATATCAGCTCTCTCGATCACCATTTTCGTCGTTCTCTCTCCCAAAACCTCACCAACTCTCCACTCATAATGGCGTCGGCGGCTCGGTTATCAATGATGTCAGCGGCAATGGCATTGAGGCCCCTCCCTGCTGGAATGGCGCCGCGCGCATCGCGATTCATACTCCCCCGCCAGGCCCTGCGGCCTTCGATCGAGCGACAGGCGCTCCAGGTTTCGATGCGGAGAGCGTACGCTACAACGACCGGTCCCGTTGCGCCCGCTGCGAAGCCGCCCAAGAAGAAGTTTCGCTTTTTCAGGACCCTATGGAGGGCTACATATCTGAGCGCTATTCTCGGCGGAGGATATCTGGCGTATAGCATCTATGAGACCCGATTCCCCCACGAGCAGATTGACCCCGGCCACACCAAGAAGACGCTCGTGATCCTAGGTGTGTAGTTCTTCGAATTCCATTTCGTCGGGGTTTACGGCGGCGGCTGCACCGCGATGGAGACAGGCGATCGGAGTGAACCTTTTGCTGACGGGTATTTCTCCTATTCGTAGGAACCGGATGGGGAAGCGTTGCTCTCCTCAAGAAGCTTGACACCGAAAACTACAATGTCATCGTCATTTCGCCTCGCAACTTCTTCCTTTTCACGCCTCTGCTGCCCAGTTGTCCCACGGGCACGGTTGAGCACCGCAGCATCATGGAGCCCCTCCGCCACATCATCCGACAGAAGAAGGGGACCGTCAAGTTTTACGAAGCGGAAGCCACCAAGATTGACCACGAGAAGCGCGTCATTGTCGTGAATGACAATTCCGATATCAAGGGAACCGTCAACCAGACCGAGGTTCCGTTCGACTACCTGGTTGTTGGTGTAGGCGCCGAGAACGCTACATTTGGTATGGAGTTTGCGCCCTCCGCTTGTTTACCGCGGGTAGGACATACTGGCTGACAGAAGACCGTTGATAGGTATCCCCGGTGTCAAGGAGCATGCATGCTTTTTGAAGGAGATTGGCGACTCGCAGAAAATCCGCAAGAAGGTGATGGACTGCATCGAGACGGCCATGTTCAAGGATCAGACGCCGGAAGAGAAGGAGCGTCTTCTTCACATGGTGAGCACCTTCATATTCCATTATCGTCCTGGGCGGTCATATGTGATATCGACACCCGGGAATGTGCGTCATAGGTTCTAACTGCCGGTGGTGTAACCTAGGTTGTTGTCGGAGGTGGACCCACAGGAGTTGAGTTCGCTGCGGAGCTCCAGGATTTCTTCGAGGACGACCTGCGGAAGTGGGTGCCGGATATTTCCGATGCTTTCCACGTTACTCTGGTTGAGGCATTGCCGAACGTGAGTATATATCTCGGAAGAACACGGGGAGCCGGTTGCTCCACGTGACCGTCGATGCGATGCTGATTGATTGCAGGTCCTCCCCATGTTCAGCAAGACCCTGATCGAGTACACCGAAAAGACCCTGAACGAGGAGAAGATCTCGCTGCGGACCAAGACCATGGTCAAGAAGGTGACGGACAAGCACATCGAGGCGGAAGTGACCAAGCCCGATGGCAGCAAGGAACTGCAGATCCTCCCGTACGGCTGTCTTATCTGGGCTACCGGAAACGCCGTCCGATCGGTCATTCGCGACCTGATGGGCAGGATCCCGGCTCAGAAGAACTCTCGCCGCGGTCTCGCCGTGAACGAGTACCTCGTTGTCGAGGGCACTGACGGAATCTGGGCCCTTGGTGATTGTAGCGCGACCAAGTACGCTCCCACCGCCCAGGTAGCCTCCCAGCAGGGAGCTTTCCTTGCCCGCCTGTTCAACAACATGGCGAAGACCCAGGCTCTCGAGCAGGAGATCGACCACCTGCAGGAAGTCATCACAACCGAGGCGAAGACCTCATCCGACAGGGACACCATCGAGAAGGAGATCGCGAAGAAGACCAAGGCAATCCGCAAGGTCAAGCAGCTGTCGCCGTTCGAGTACACCCACCAGGGTTCGCTGGCGTACATTGGAATGGAGCGTGCTGTTGCCGACATCAGCTGGTGGAACGGAAACCTTGCGTCCGGTGGTACCTGGACCTATCTTTTCTGGCGAAGCGCCTACCTTTCCATGTGCTTCTCCACCCGCAACCGCATCTTGGTGTCCTTGGACTGGCTGAAAGTGAAGATCTTCGGCCGTGATGTGTCCCGGTATTTAATCCTCCTGCGCATCGTATGTCGACCGAATAGTTTGCTGACTCATTTCTCTGCAGGGAGTAATCGATAATCGCCACGTATTAGAGATATGATCGTGGTCTGTATAAGTCGAGTTCATCGTCTCCGGCGCAGGGCGGTGGGTGGCGGTGTGAACGCGAAACGCATTGTGGGCGGGGTGCCGTTTTATACTCCAATAGATGGTTTTGGATTTCGTTTCGTTTTGTGTTCTTGTTCTTTTGTTTGTTTATTTGTAGACGCGGGCGGGGGCAGGCGGGGCAGGTTTTTCTTTTTCGTTTCTTCTCTTTCTGTTCTTTCCTTTTTTCACCGGGTTAGATATGGTACGGTACTGTAGAAACGGCGCTGGAGAGTGAAGAGGCATACAATATAAGCTTTGATACCATTAATGCTCGCTCGCTCGTCCGCCCCGTGAGACCTTGTGTGCGCGCGCGCGGGAAATCGGTCTTATGAAGCCCGTATGTGGAGATGCCAGATGGGCAGATGCCTGTCCCGGTGCATGCTGTGCGGTGTTGAGCACTGTAGGTTGCGTGCTGTGCTGTGTGTGTAACGACGAATTGAATCAAACTTTGAAACGTTTGTACGGTAGTGGGGTGGTGGGGTGGTGGGGGGAGAGGAAGGGGTGATATCTAAGACGTTTTCCCGACGACGGATAGGCCCTTTGAGACCCCTCTCCTTTGAAACGACGGAGATCTTCCGGTCTTGCGTGCGCGCGCCGGCTTCGGTTGAATGGGGACGAACTTCGAAGAGAGAGCGGAAGGTCGGGCGGAAGGTCGGACGGTTGCGCGGTTGCGCGGTCGGTCGGCTCCGGAGTTTGCACCAATAAGCGTTGGCTTTGGCTGAGGGGGGGCTAGGTTAGCTCACATCACTCCACTCCATCTTTACTCTGAAGTCTATGTGGGGTAGCTGGTGTGTACTCTCGAGTCTCGCATTCTCAGTCTCACTCTCCCGTGCTCAGTGTTCATTTCAAGATCGCTTTCATTCCTTCTCTTCTCTCTATTAAGACATTAACTGCGTGTAAATCGCCGCTCGCACTCCCCCTCCATCTTCCGTCACCCCTCCTCCGTCCTCCTTCTCTCCATCCTCTTTCCTATGTAGCTATATACAACCCGCCGCCCTCTGGGTCGATCACTGTAAATTCGCCTTCGGCACCTCATCGGCGTTACTCTGCAGCTCGAGCCCCGGGTCGTCCGTCGACCTCCAGAACTGTTTCTCGCCGCGGATGGCGCGGACGAACCACGGCGGCTGCTGGTTCATGTCTGTTTTGACTGCGCGCGCGTTAGCTGCGGGGAAGGGAAACGCTGGGGGGTAATACGGGGAAGGCCATGGGGACTTACAGGACCAGTACTCCTTGCTGTCCTCGTCGTCGGGCACGATTCGCCCGCTGCTGGCGATCTTCACGGTCCATGTGAGAACGTTGAGGGTCGTGTAGGTTATCACGCCGCTATTGGGGGTGGGTTAGTTGGCTGGCTGGATGTGCGGGGGAGCGGGGGGAGGGGCAGGGCAGGGCGGGCGGGACGTACGCGATGAGCCCGTAAGCGATGCTGTACGAGAACGGGATGAACGCCATAGTGATGAACGCTGGGATGGCATCACCGGGATACCTCCAATTGATCAGCAGCGTTCCGCGCATCATCATGCATCCGACCATGATCAGGGCGCCTCCGGTAGCCCACGGCGGGATTGAAGCGAATATCGGTGCGAAAAAGATGGAGAGCAGAAAGCACAGGCCCGTGGTCATGGAGGTGATGCCGGTGCGCCCGCCCTCGGCGATTCCGGCGCCGGACTCGATGTATGCCACCGACGGAGAAACGCCAAATAACGCACCGATAGAGATCGTCGCGGCATCGGTGCAGTATGCGAGCGTGGAGCGGTCGAAGTCGCCCGTTTGCGGGTTTACCGCCCCGCTGAACCGCGCCATGCTGTACAGTGTTCCGGTGCAGTCGAGGATGTCGACGTAGAGGAGCGTTACGATCGCCAGGCCGAACTGGGAGCCGACGCCCGAGAGGTCCCATTCCAGTACGTTGAGCGTCTTTTGGATTGGGTGGAAGGCGGCCACGGTCTTAAAGTAGGCGAAGCGCTGGTCCCCGTCGGGCGTGGACGGGAAATAGGTGAACGATGTACCGCGCGGCCACGAGAAGATGGAAACGACGAGGATGCCGATTATCATGGCGGACTTTACGCGGTACATCATCAGCCAGGCGGTCAAGATGACACCGCACATGAAGCCGATCCAGAGCTATGCGGCCGTCAGTTCGTAAACAGAAACAAAACACGGAGGCTAGCTAACAGTTGGATTCTGCATATTGTGGCTGGTACACATTCCATATTCATCTTTGTATTCGTCCTTGCAGCCTCCAAGGGTGAGAGGAGTAGCCACGGCACCTGTGACAGCACCAATTCCGGCTTGATATCCAAGGCCGCAGAGAGTCAGGAACAGCCCGATTCCAGCGCCGCAAGCAATCTTGATGGATGCCGGAATTACTTGGGCGAGCCATTGCCGGAGCCCGAGGAGTGAGAGCGCGATGAAGATGAAGCCTTCGACGAAGACGGCGGTGAGTGCTACCCGGAAGGGAACGGCGCCGGCACCGTTGACACCGACCACTTGGTAGGCGAAGTAGGCGTTCAATCCCATCCCTGGTCTGAAGCGTCGTTAGCCTTGGACGCATGAATTTGACGTGGATGTAAACACTCACGCTATTGCTATTGGGAGATTCGTGAATAGGCCCATGAAGAAGGAGCCCAGCGCTGCCGTGGCTGCCGTAGCCGTCACCATGTCCCGCTTGACGACTTTATACCTAGCTATCAGCAACCCTTTCCGATTGTTTCGAAGGTACAAGCTCATACCGAATTGACAACTCTTGTACTCGGCGGTCTGGAAATACTCCGTGTCCCCGAGATGGCCCTCCACACATGTCCCGCCGGTCTCGGCCAGGATGGAAGCCTTGGATGCCGATTAGCCCAACCCAGGAACATCTGCAGATGGAGGAGGGGGAACAAACATTAGCAGCAATAACGTACGCCATCGTGAAGAACGTGGTGATGCCCGCTCGAACCTCCATAGAAAACGCCGTATTCGGCCATGCCCTGTGCTATAAGCTGTCAGTTCCACGGTCGAGCAGAGCAGAGCGGAACCTCAATCTCACATGGCCAGAACCCTCGAGCCTGAAGAACCAGCCAACCGGTGTCTTCGCAATGGCCTTGTCCATATCCGCCAGGAACCCCATGGTTGCAGGTTGAAGCGAAAGTCGGTAGTTATTGCAGGTTGCAGCGTATTGACGTATGTGCAGCAGTAGCTACAAGATCGTATCGGCAATGCGGAAAACTCGCTCGCTTCCCTCACTCCCTCCGCCGGCGGTGGAGGGGAAGGGGGAGCACCACGGATTGATATATAACTCCACTTCGCCGAGTGGAGACCAGGGTGCAGGATTGATTCAAAACCCTCAGGGACTCTCCACGCCCTACTCCCGGATATGGCTGGCGGCCGGTAGCGCCCCCAGCCCAGTGCCCACATGGCGAGTTAATCGACGGTGCTAAATCATCCACCTAACTGCCTCAGGCCGCCGCCAGACCTTGCCGCTGGGACTGAAATGATGATGTGCGATGCGATGCGATGTGCTCCGGGGGAGGGGGGGTACGTACATGCTATGCATCATTGACTCGCGGTGGATCTTGAGACTGCTCTGACTATGTACTAGCATGTAGGTACCGTAGTCATGTCACCTCTATGGATACCTCTGTAAGGTGCCCACGTTCGTTTACACATGTCCGGACAAAACCCACCAGTCGGCAACTGGTGTCATTTCTCAGGTAGAGTACTGTACATACGGTACCTGACCGCCAAACCGCCTGAATTCCGCCGTGTATAGAGTATGTATCGTATGTACACACGCACGTCTCAATGGAGTCTCACCACCGACCCACTGTCATATGCCTCGCTGCGAAGTCCGGTTTCTCTTTCTCTTTTCCCATGTATGTAGATGTCTATTCATTTAGCCTGTCGGGCCCTCTACATAGACTCTGGCCAATCGAGAGGCCTCGCGCATGTGGCTTTTCGCCGGTGATTTCTTCCTGGTCCCCTTTTTTCAGCCAAAGCGTGGAGGTCGGTATGTATCATATGTAGAGTAGGTAGAGTAGGTAGAGTAGGTAGAGTAGGTATCGGATGTCGCCGGTGGCGTCCCCACTACTCTACTCTATGTATGCATACGGCGGCGCGGCGTTCACATGTCGCTTGTCGCATGTTCTGGAACGACTCTGGCCTTCGGCCCCTCATGAGGGGGCCGATGGCTTATTTGGAAGCCCAAACGAAGGAAGATACCTAACGGTTTGCCTGCCTGCAGTGGCGGCTCGAATGCTTTGTTTTGTTTTGGTCGGCGAATGAAGTGGTGAGTGAGAGCGTGTGGCAAAGGCTGAACTGTGAAGACCCTTGTTTCCCGAACCGGTTGCCAGGGCCATAACGTACTTACTATGACCGTCCCCTACTCCACGTAAGCATCGACAAGGATCAGCGACCTCCTTCTCCCTCTCCCCCTCCCTCCCTCCCGCCGGACCCCTCTCGGAATTTCGGAAGCTTGGCTTGGCTCGAGTCCCTTCCGTTCCAGAAACCCGGCTCCGCTCCGTGTACCCGTGGTTCCGTGGTAGCGTGGTAGCATGATCTAACCGCATCGAGTATCTTTGCCATGCTATCTACATATGATGAAATATGTAGATAACTACTCTAAACACGGAGCGAGGAGCGAGGACCTGCGCATGGCACAATGGCACTTGCAATTGCAGTTGCAGGCCCTTTCCATGTCGACATCTCACTCGCAGTGGCAGCGAAACGAGAGCTACTAACTACTACTACTAATGGGGAGAATGGTAGATATTCCATAGCCCCGCCCTGCGGTATGTACCATCTCTGCTATGTGGAAAAAACGAGGTCACTGCCCGCCGGAACTCGGGAGAATAATAATGCGAAGGAATCATATTTACCAAAGCTGCCAGGTTACCGGTGTGCTGCGGACACCGGTTACTACTCTACTGGCTACATAGACACCTGTGAGCCCTCTAAGTTTCACCGGGTTCCTGCCGATCGGGATGAAAACACCTGGGCACGTTACCTACCGGTATTGAGTCGCAAGCGAAAGCCCACGGATCGTGCCGAAGTGCACTCACTCACACCTTTGTGCAGAACCAGTTCCCGTCGCACGCTGACACGATAGGTATGGTGGTGGTATGTATATAAGGTATGTACCCGGGCAGCGAACCCACTTTCTCTAACTCCCTCCCCCAGTGAGACTTCGCAGCGCCTATTCACTCTGCACTCGTCCGGTGCGGAACATGATCTGCGAATGGCTGTGTGGGAGGATATTGGGTTTGCCGCTCACGCAGCAAGCGCGCATAATAGCGTTGCTCACGTGCTATGCGGTCTCGAGTGATAGCTCGAGTTACTATAGCTTGCAGTTTCTTTACCGTCGAAAATAGGAGTGCCAGTGGCCGTTCATTCTTCTTTCTTTATTCGGTACCAAGAAAAATTACACTTTGTAGACAGGAGTTGAATGGGTCTCGCGTGGCTCTTCGTCCTACATTTCATACTAGTCGGCGGAGTTGGGGTTTCCGCCACTGATTCCAGAGTCCAATGGCGGGTCGTCTTACTAGGTATGATAGTACGATCTCGAGTGATAGCTTGCGTGCGATGATTCCTCAAGCGGTCATTCAACCTGCGGACCCCCCGCGGGTGTTGGAAGGACTCGTGGTAGTGATCACTAGAACAATTGAGATAGAGAGAAGTTAAGTGGTATGTTCGGGTCTAGGAGCTACCGGTACAAGAGAGAGAGAGAGAGAAATAATCCCGAACTTGGACGCGCTACCGCACCGAATGTTCCAAACACCCACCGCCGGTCCTCCGAACGGCTAGTGGACTACTCCAGGAACACACTCGTTCCTACACAATGGAGATCTGAGGCCTTCTACTGCTATTCAGATTTGTAGGCGGAGGTTCTCCCGCGAGCAAGCGCTTCAGCTTGGAGTTTCCCCATCACCCGCTGCGACACTGTTGTTGCAGAACGATGGGAGAGCTGTCGGCGAGAGGAGGGAGCGAGAGGAGGACTTGTCGGCGGGAGGAAACGAATGCGGTTAGCAATGGGTCAAGCGAGGTCGTCTGCTTCTTCTTCTTCTTCTTCTTCTTCTTCTTCTTCTTCTTCTCTTCTCTTATCATCTACATCCCCTCTCTCCTTGTGTGTTTTTCTTCTCACGACTTGCTTCCCAGCCTGGAGAGGCATTGGCGAAAGAGCCCTCGCAAAACGATCAGCACCATTCCTTCTTCGCTGTTCTCCATCTTCATGGGTAACTAGACCTGATGCCTCTCTTCTGCCCGCCCCACATGTCGACGGGACCGCTGGATTCCTTTCCATTCCCTCTACGCTGCTTCCCTTCCAGAAATATTTCTGATCGGACATGAACTTCAATGGTAACACCAGGGCTGTCAACCGTCCGGAGGATGAAATGCTCGGATACCCGTCAGGTACCTATACATAGGTACCTGATAGCACTAGCGTGCTATGCTGACTACTAGTTTGCGGAGTAGTACATAGCGCGGTGGCTACCAACAAAATTCTCAGCTTTCAGCAGAATTTTCAGCGTCGTCAAACAATCGAGCTCAGGGGATAGACCCTGCTGGAAGTAGGAACGGGGATGGTGTGAAAGTTCTATACCGTGAGAGACACTGCGAAATGGAGCCGCACAGCCACACAGCCACACATCCGCACACCTGCGCCACCGGGTGGCGTCACGCCGCTTGCATTGTCCTAGTGTCCTAGTCAATTCCGGGCCCTGCAGGGTATCCGTCCTCATTTCTCAAGCCCGGAAGACTGTAGTCCTTGGTCTCCTCAGCCCGATTAATTCTGTTCCGGGTCGGGCAACCTCAAAGACGGACGGGACGGACGGTTGGCAGCCCTGGGTAACACTTAGGACCTATAGAGTCTAAAGTCTGGAGTTCTAAGGTCTGCTACTGTTATTCAGCTTTATGGGCGGAGGTTCTCCTGCGAGCGAGCGATTCAGCAGCCAGCTTGGAGTTTCCCCGTCATCCGCTGCGACACTGCCAACACCCATTCCTTCTTCGCTTTTCCCCTACACAAATTATGTTCCAAGAACAGTCTCCCAAAAGTATACCACTCGAATAATAACTCCAATTCTCTCTACATAGCTTCCCCTCCAGAAATATTCCTAAGTGGACATGAACTTCAACAGCAACACCCAGGACTCATGGGGTTCTAAGGCCTTCTGCTGCTCGGTATTCAGTTTTGTGAGCAGAGGTTCTCCCGCGAGCGAGCGAGCTATGCAGCTTGGAGTTTCCCCGTCACCCGCTACGACACTACCAGCTAGCAGCACCCATTCCTTCTTCACTATTCGCCCTGCACAAGTTATATTCCAAGAAAAGTCTCCCAAACGCGGATACGAACTCGAATAGCAACTCTCTTCGAACTTGGACCCTCACCGTAGAGATACCAAGTCTATCTTTCCTTGCGATATCGCTCGACCGGTATGCGCGGCGAGCATTAAACCCGTGGATGATTTGGAGGCTCCGTTCACCGTTCACCCCTCCACTCCACTCGTTGCTAAGAGTGCCCATTGATGCTGACTCGCCATTCAGCTCGTGCCTTCCGAGTCGAGGGTCTCGATGCTCCTCGCTCGCTAGCCGCCAACTCTGTTTCCTTGTGTCAGTAGGCATAGTCTCCAACTTTCCGACGCGAGATATGCTGGGCGGCCCCCCACGACCATCCTCAGGATTTCCTCGATGAGGTTATCCACACACTATCACTCGATCCAGTCAACCGCGATTTTGGAAATAGTGATGGCGACACAGTGAACCGTACTGTCCTGCATGCTGAAAGCCAGACGAGGCTGACACCTACGGAGATACGAAGACACTGCAGTTCCGGATAAAAAGTTCAAGGAACAAGATGGAAGAAAGAGTGTGACTAAGGCACGACGAGTGATATACAGCGGCACACGAGTCGCTTGAGCTGCCGCCGTTACATAAGACGCGCATGCAAACGTGCGCGGCGACTCTAGATTCCCACATACGCCATCCACGCGCGCACACTGCACAGCCCTAGGCATGATTGGTTACCCGGTGGATGTGCAGTCGTGTCCACCCAGGGCCCAGGGCCTAGGGGGTGGCCTGGTTAGTTACCGGCCGGAGAAGCCCGAAGATTCGACAGCAAGCGGCCATTCAAGCATTCCCGGACTCCGGACCAGCGAAAGCACCTATATAGGCGCAATACAGCCCGGTAACTACTAAGCACCCCCCACTCCAAGTCGATTTAAAGGGAAGGGCGGGAGGATGATCGGTGTTCAGCCAGGTAACCCTGCGAGCACCTCTGAGAACTGCTTCCTGGGGAGACTTCGAGAGCAGCTCTCTCTCTCTCTGGGCAAGATTGGGGAAGGGTCATACTACGCACGGGGAAGCTATGGTGGACATTGGAGCATAGCCAAGCTGTTCGAACTTTTGCAGATGAGAAGTGCGCGAAGGGAGCCATCTCCATACGAATACCATAGATAGGCACATGTGGGCAGGAAGGCCGGCCCGGCAGACAAGGTGTCGAAGATGAGGGAACGGAACGGAGCGGAGCAAGAGTGTCCGGCGAGCGGATGTGCCTGGCCTGTGGGATGTGCATCTACATAGAGTTCATGGCTAGACATCGTTATTAGTCAATCTGTCTTGATGGGTTTCCGGCCGGCCAGATCGCCCGGCAAGGTTTGAGGACCTCTACCTAGTAGAGCACATGGGAGGAGGATGGCCGGGTAGTAGTGTGCACTTGGTTTCTTCTCTCACTTAGTTCCTTCCTTCGTTCCTTCGGTAAGCAGCGGCGCCGCGAGTCCGTGCCGGACTGTTCGGCAGTTACCGCAGTGGGAGGTCCACCTCGACTCGACACTGGTCTAGAATCTAGATGGGCTACATACATGCGAATTGAATCGACGACCCCCCGGGCCTCGGCGGCCGACTCCAAGGAATTAGGGAAAAGGTTATTCCTAGTCGGTTTCAATCCGTAGGTATGAGTCTATCATAGGTACGGCCCAAACTGTCAACGCGGGAACTTGACGGTCTTCGAACTCTATCCTGGGCTGAGGATTCGATCAAGGTGGGGGAATGCTCTCGTTGCTGATTTCGAATACACACAGCACGGAATCTCGCCATGAAGGTATTAACTTCGGGATGGAAGTTGGACCGAGTACATACAGTCATACACCACTGCTCGCGAACATGACCAAACGAAAGTTCGGGGACCGGGACAACTATGAAATCCAGATTCAAGCCTTTTTCTTGGCCATCGTATCCCGCCTGCAGAAGCAGCTTATGATCGATCTTGATTCAGCATGTCATTCCGAGGGCACCTTCCCCTGAGGCGGCCGGTCCTTCGCGACGGCAACAAAATATTACCGGTACGCCGGTACGGCCCCTCGCTCTTTTCGCCCCCCGCATCCCGGCCGCCGAAGTGACGACCGGCGGGTACGCCCATAAACATTACCCGGAGTATACGCAGTCCACCATATCTACCGAGCCGGAAGAATGAGAAGAAAAAAAGGAGCTCCGATCGTGAACTAACTTTTCCATCGAGAGTATACTATTCTGTGCTCACTGCCGAGAAGCATACCTTTAGTTCACTACACGACTTTTCTATTCGCCCAGCATAACTATCATACGACGATGGAGCATGATCAGGACTGCAAAGAGCACGAGCTACCGCCCGGATCCGAGAGTGATGTGACGACGGCACCCCGGGGGCATCTGAAGAAGCCCATGTTTTTGGAGTTTCGCAGCGGGAAGGGGTTCATCATCGCGGTGGTTGCGGTGGCGGTTTTTACGGTGGGGTTCTTTTCATTTTTTGCGGCTGACCGGACCGTGGGGGCGGCACACGGTGGTTTGTTTTTTGTTGCCGGACTGGACTGACCGACGAGTGGTGTACTTGACAGGACGTCTTTCTTTACGGCCTGGTGAGTTCGAGATTTTTATATCATATCCACACAATAATACTGATGCTCCGCGGCGTGCTACCTATATTCCGTGGACTATGCCGGTCTCGCCTATGCGGCGCTCGCCGTCGCGGATTATCCATGCGTATCTAAGTGACTAGCCGCTTGCTTACATAACCTACTAGATCGTACCGGTGTTCCCCTTCTCCCTCGAGGACCGGGTGGGTGTTTCATCAGACAGTACGCACTTCCCACTGCCCCGACCGTACCCAGGAGCTACCGCTTATATTATCTCGTGCTCTCCAAACAGGTGTTCAGAAATGGTACGCATGTGGACGGTCTCCGTCGCTCCTGCCTTCGAGATGGATATTGACCATCCGTGGCATGTAGGGTCTCCGTACTGCTCGCCGTTTATGGTGTAGGGTTACTAGTCGGATCTCCGGTCTGCGGGTACATAGCAGGCACGTAGTTGGACGCTCTCATCCGTCCGTCGTCCGCAGGACTGTACATACTGACCGAAGACGTCCAGATCGCACCACCAGCCGCCGTGCACCGTTCATGGCCGGTCTAGTAACGCTCGCCGGCTCCACGGTGATGCTGTGCATCGGCTCCAACATCACGGTCCTGGTGATCGGCCGGTTGCTGCAGGGGATATCCGCGGCGGTGGTGTGGACCGTTGGTCTGGCGCTGCTCGTAGACACCGTGGGGCAGGATGAGGTCGGCGAGAGCATGGGGGTCGTGGCTGTGGCCATGAGCTTGGGCATCTTTGTGGCGCCGCTACTGGGCGGTGTCGTGTACGAGAAGTAGGTTGCCGTGACGGGTGGGCTTGTATCGGCGACGCTGTGCTGACACGTGTGGACAGGGGCGGTTACTATGCTGGTAGGGTGTTCGATATGGCGGTTGGTCGTACTGCAGGCGGGTACTTACACAAATGTAGTTTTCGCCATGGCGTTCGGCTTGATCGGCGTCGACATAGTGCTACGGCTCATCGTCATCGAGAAGAAGACTGCGCAGAAGTACATGGACCCGGAAGAAGAAGCAGCAGGCGACCCAGCGGTTCCTGCAGATCTGGAGAGAAGCGACCAAGGAACGGTATTACCGGATTCGGTAGAGGAAAGAGAACGTGGGGATCAGCCAGACTCTAGCCCTGAAGAGCTATCCAAAATAAGACTATTCCTAAGGAGAATGCCCCCAGTAATAACATTGCTGGGACACCCTCGACTTCTTGTTGCACTCTGGGCGACGTTGATGCAAGCAGTGCTGACGACATCGTTCGAAACAACCGTGAGTTATTCCACGCTTGCGCATCTGGAGATCATGGCTTGACATTCCACTTAGGTTCCACTGCATGTGCACGACACCTTCGGTTTCGGGCCGACCGGCGCAGGGTACAGTTTCCCCCCCAAAAGCTGAGTCCCGAGCGTGAGCTGACCTACATGGAAACACAGCTTGATGTTTATTGCACTGATAGTACCGTCGTTCTTCGCCCCACTGATCGGTATGCTGTCCCCCCTTCGCGAGTCGCCAGATCAATGCTGAAAATCCCGCAGGAAAGATGTGCGACCGCTACGGACCCCGCCTATTCGCCACGGGCGGGTTCATCCTGCTAACTCCCTTCCTGATCCTGCTGCGTCTACCTGACAAGAACGAGGTGGGCCAGATCGTCCTTTTCTGTGCGCTGCTGGCCCTGGCCGGAGCGGCATTGGCGCTCGTCATGGCACCGGTCATGGCCGAGATAACGCTGGTGGTACGGGACCTCGAGAGCAAAAGGCCGGGTAGATTCGGGCCGAACGGCGCTTATGGGCAGGCGGTATGTGTCCTCCTACGTTAAGTGCGGTTATGGAACCGACAATTAACGGTCTCTTTCCCGGTGTTAGTACAGTCTCTTCAACGTTGCATTCGCAGGCGGGTCCGTTGTGGGTCCATTGCTAGGTATACCTGCCCTGCCCTGTCTTACGTTACGACTATCCTGTAAACTCCCTGCTGACATCGGTAACACAGCCGGCTTGCTGAACGACGCTGTGGGCTGGAAGACTGTGACTTTGGTCTTGGGTAACCTTGCCCCTCCCTCCATCCCTCCCTCCCTGCTCGCCTTCTAACACTTGGTTACGCAGGCCTCTTATCCTTGTTCGCCGCTTTCCCCACGGTACGTTATTCCAAACCACCTTCCTTCCCTCTGTAAGGCTGTAAGGCGAGAACGGCAAGCTAACAGCGAAGCAGTTCATCTACACTGGCGGCCTGATGACGAAGGAGAATCTAAAACGCTTGAAGATTTCGCGTTCGACCCGGGCGGTGTAGAATCTAGAGCGGTAGGACAGGATTAGGTATATATTGGCAGGTGAGGGAACCTGTGTAGGTATGTGGATATGGAAATGCGGATAGAGGTAATGTAATGTATAGTCATGGTAATCTGAGGTTTGGAAATCGGTGAGGGATACCGAAGACGGGCAGAATATATATAGATAGAGCTTTTGGAATTAGTGAGGGGTAGTGAGGACGGGCAAAATATATATAGAGCTTTTGGCGTTAAAACTTGGGAACTCCAGGAAGCCGGAGAATTCTACCGACGGGCTGCAATTGTTTCTGTTGCATACTCGGAGGTGAACGAGTGGGAACACATGTACTGGCTTCAACGTGACCGACCAATCAATCGGCATTTCACGCGAGCGAGCGTGTGGCGGGATGGATGTATCCAGCCGGCCTGTAGGCTGTTAATAGTTATACCAGCACCACAACTCTCGAACCAAAATCTAGATCTGAGAACCCGCCCTCTAACTACATCGTTAGTTACCATTGCGGATATATTGAATATATCCGCAATATAAATACCTAGAAAGTAAGGCTCGCCACCCAGCCTCGGGCGGCGATCCGGAGCCCGCTCGCCATCGCTATCGTACATGCAGGACGTTGTGTAGTAGAGTGGAGATGTATAGGTATACGTACATAGTGACGTAGGGACCTCGGCAGTGACTTGGAGACACTGCACGCAGGAGATAGGCCCGGTTTCTTTCCGTGGCCTGTGGCCCGCGGTTGGATATCGTGAGCCACGAAGTTCGAAGTTTAGCTCCCAGCTTCCCAAGGTCTAGAGGGTGGGAGCTTCAGCTGTTGAGTGTGGAGCGTTGGGGAAATGATACCTGTGCCACCGAGGGCTGATGTGCGGAGGTATTGTGTGCACTGTGGAGTGCTGCGGAAGCATGTGCGGCTACCGTTATATGCTGTAGTCGTTTTGTGGGGTGGAACTTCAAGTTCTCAAGGTTCTGACGCCTTTTACCGCCGTTCTACGTATGCACGATTCACGATACTCTTCTAGCAGCACCGCAGTGCTCCCCGTTACATACGGTGACTATGCCTGCAATATCTACGTGGTTTTGGGCTTTACCAAGAATGAAAATAAGTGCGCTACTACATATAAGTAGTACGTATATGGTACTGCACGGTGCGGCAACAATGATGTGACTGCAGGGTATGGCTTGTATATACGGCTGATATGCAAGTCTGCAACTACTCTACCGGGTGAGGGTAAGGCATGCACCACCACCAAATTCTAAGCGCAGCAGAGTAAATAGAGCGAGAGAACCTTAATGCATTGTTGGCCTTACTATGTAGACTACTGCGACCGCAGCAGAGAATATAAACAAAGATGACACTACCTGGCCCATGAATTTTACGTCGAGTGATCATCAGTGGTTGTCTTGTGCGAACGGCAAAGTTGTGCACCACGGTATCCCCAGTTCACCGGCACACCCGCTTCCAACCATCCAGCAGGAATTGAAGCTACTCAACTGGAATAAAGGGGTGTGAATCGAGTTTATAGAGTACCTAGGACGACAAAAACAGATTGTCCAGGGTCCATACGTTCTAGATGGCAGCTATAAGCGCCCAATCCGCCCAATCCACCCAATGTACCAGGCAGAATTACTGGTCCTAGGTGACTTAGACAGGGACAGAGTTTATCTTTCACTATACAAACGAAAAACAGGCCGGCCGGCTTTCCCACCCCGCTCCCCCTCACCTCCCCCTCACATCGAAGACCCATACCTACCGTACATACTCCGTTCCGAAGCCCTACATACAACCCGGTCACGACGCCTAGCTACCTATCCCTGTGCAAAACTCCGACTGCCGACTGCCGAGCAATCGGCCGTAAATCAATAACGTCTAGGTAAGTTGGAATGCACTCGCCCTGGATTCGTGGGTCGACCATCCATGCTTGCGTCGGCTCTGCTCACATCCGAAGTGATCAACAGATCAACATACCGCCGGGGAAGGGGTTGGGTTCGTTTTGAGCGAGTGCTTTCCCGCTTCATACCGCGCTTCCTGCTCAATCCTGTGCTTGTGGTTGGAGGAGCGCATCTGTTCGTATATGTACAGTGCACAGTGCACAGTGCCGTCTGCCTCCGAGGACACCAGACCACCACCGACTTCCGCTTGAAGCACGCACATAGCCTCTCAGTGCAGGTAGAAGTACATGATACTGGGTACTATAAATGCCGATCCAGCCCGCTTGTCGGGGATACAAGCACAAACAAACGCCTTTACCTCGGCCGGGTCCTTGCATCGCCGTACATACCGGTCCTGCAGAACACAATGAAGTGCAACGAAATTCGTGCGGCCATGCAACGCCAGCTGTACACATACAGCGGCAGGTCACTCAGCCCGACATGTGGCTAGGTACTGCCTCGGGCGTGCCGGGGCGTGTCGTGGTGTATTGACCTTGTCTATTGCCTTGTTTCCTTGTTTATATTCCATGGGGTCCGGTTGATCCTGCGACTGTGACTTGAACCACATACCGTAACATATGTGAGATGAACCGACATGTTGAATCGAGTATCCCCATTCTCGGTGGTAGGTGGTGCTCCTTGTCAAATAGAAGAGAATCTCCATGCTTATCATGTTCAATTACTACGCAATTTCTCGAGACTAGAGGTCCTCTATATCTATCGACAGAATCTCGAGTCCCTCACATAGTTCATGGTATATATAGCATACCGATGACGATGCGCGCCGAAACACTGTCTGCCAGCATTGCTGCGGTCGTCATCGACACATTCCGGACGCCCAACTCTTCCAGCATCGCTGCGGCGGTCATCGACCGCTTCCGGACGTCCAAACTCCAGCACTCCTGAGGCGCAATTGGGCTCCCAAAGGAAGGTTGTAGAGGTTTCTATATCCAGCTGTCAGTACCCGTCCCGCTGGACAGCTCGCCATTTACATCCCGTTCCATATCCTCGGCCACAACACCATCATTACCAGACAGTACCTCCTTCCTCTGGAGTTGAGTCCAATCTTTACCGACCAGAATAAAAGGAGAATCTGATCGCTTGCCACGATCTGAGGTGCTTGCATCCAGTACATAGCCAGTCGGAAAGGAAGGGAAGGAAGACTAAGTCTGCCATCATTATCAAGGTTTGCCATCCCACGGACCCAACCGTTCCATTCAATCATACCACTCCGTCGAAAGACCAAGCTCGCTGGAGACTTGATAAGGTCTGACATTGAATTGATCCAGTCGAGGGCCAGCGGCCCACCCGATCCGATCAACTGCCCAATCCCACCAGCACGTTCCCGTCAGGACCAATCGTACCTCGCAAGCAAACATGCTCACATCATCACCACCACGCAGGGCATCACCCACTTCAACATCCCTCCGCATACCCCACCTCCTGCTACTGTTGGTGGTGCTTCTCCTGATCACTTCACCATCCGCCGCAGCCGACTGCGACTGCGGCTACCGCATAAAACAGACGGGGCAGCTATTCACCCACCAATCGGCGGTGACCTTCAACACCTCGGCGAACTCCTCAACCGCGCTGGGCAGCGAGTGGGAAGTTCAAGGGTGGCGAGTACCAGCCAACACGACACTGGGCACGATTCCGCGGCAGAACCGGGCCGCAAACGTGTGGGTCGCGGACAGCAAGCTGCACCTTCGCCAGCGGGCCTGGCGGGAGGGCGAGGACGTGAGTATCGCCGAGATACATACCGGCCGTGACGACATCCTGTACGGCAGCTTTAGGATCCGGAGTACGGTCGTGCAGCCGCAGGCGGCCACCGGCGGTGCGGTCGCGGGATTCTTCTTTTATCGTGTAGGCGCCAAGGGGATGCGGATGCGAGTTTGATGGTTGATTTCTGACGCACGCCCCAGGACGATGTTACTGAGACCGATATCGAGATCATCACCAAGGACGGGAATAGCTCCAAGACGGTGCATTACATAAATCATCCAAGCATGTCCCACCTCTACCCCGCCGCCGCCAGCAGGGCAAGCAGCTAACCATGTGATGGTGATCCAGCGTACAACGTCGAGACGGACACCCTGATCCCCGGCACGTCGTTCACGGAGCCCCTCGACAAGCCATGGACGGAAATGCAATGGCACCGGTTCGACTGGGGACGGAATTCGACCTCGTTCTACCAAGACAACGTCTTTAAGCGTCAAATCAGCAAGAATGTTCCGGACGAGGTCTGTCCCCTTAACCCCACACTTACGTTGTTCCTTTTCTAACGGAGACAAGCCCGGGAAAATCATGATCAACATCTGGGCCAACAACGGCTCGTGGTCCGGACCGCCGTCCAGCAGAGATGTCACCCTGCAGATCGAGCAAATACGCCTGTATTTCAACACTACCACCAGCAACGCAGGCCAGGACGAGCAGTTCAATGCGCAGTGTGCGCAAGCGAAGAACGACGACAAAGCTGTGTGTGACGTCGAAGACGAAAATGAGCCCGCCGGTACGGGTGAGAATGGTAGTTCGAGCGGCAGATTATCCGCGGGGGGGTGGTGGATGGCATTAGTGGCCGTCGTAGTCGTCGTGTCAGCAGCATGGGTATAATCCGGCCGGCGTAATCCGGCCGGCAAAAGCCGGTGGCTTTTATGTAAACGAGTCGTACGACGAAATGCGGGGATCGAGCTTCATGGTGGGGGGAGAGGGAGGGGATTCAGGGGAGGCGGATCAAGCATCCCTCCAATTAGCGCAATTGCATCATCTTCAGAGCTCTCTGCTTAAAGCGGCAATTGCCCGCACTCTTTGCACTCCAGAGTCAATCCTCCAGACTTCCAGTGTCCACCACCGCCGCCGCAATGCCACTTCCCGAGTCCCTCGCGTCCCTGAACCTCTCCCCCGCCACCCTCGCCGTAAACCCAGCCCTACCCCACCACACCGTGGCGCACCCCCACTGACGCGCCCCAGATCCACGCGGACGAGCACCTCTGCGACACCACGGACATCGCACCCCCGCTGCACGTGTCCACGACATTCCGGTACCCCAACAGCCCCTCCGCACTGGTGCCCTTCGAGCAGCCGACAGCGGACTCCCCCCCACTCCCATTCGTCTACTCGCGGCTCTCCGCGCCGACCTCCACCCGCCTTGAAGCCACGCTCTCCGCGCTCCTCAATGGCCCCACGCTCGTATACCCCTCCGGGCTCTCGGCGTTCCACGCGCTCCTCGTGCACGTGAACCCCAAGCGCCTCCTGATGACCGGCGGCTACCACGGCTGCCACGACACCGCAGCGATCATCTCTCGTCTGACCGGCATGGAAGTAGTACCACTATCCACGCCGCCGCGGGCGGGCGACCTCGTGCACGTCGAGACGCCTCTCAACCCCGACGGCACAGCGAGCGACATCTCTTACTACGCTTCACTCGCGCATAGCGCGGGCGCGCTCCTCTCCGTCGACGCAACGTTTGCGCCGCCGCCGCTGCAGGACCCGTTCCGCCACGGCGCTGACTTCGTCATGCACTCCGGCAGCAAGTATTTCGGCGGGCATTCGGATATGCTCGCGGGCACGCTGAGCGTCAGGACCGCTGAGGCCGCGTTGACGCTCGTGGGCGAGCGCATGTACCTTGGCGCGACCATGGGGAGCATGGAGGCGTGGCTGGGCGTTAGGAGTATCAAGACGCTGGAGCTGAGAGTGGTCAGGGCAGGCGCGAATGCGACGGCGCTGGTGAAGTGGATTGATAGCGAGATGCGGAAGGAGGGGAGTGTCATCGCGAACACAGTCAAGCTGGTCACCCATGCGAGTCTGCAGGACGAACCGTGGTTGAAGGAGCAGATGCCGAATGGGTTTGGACCCGTGTTTAGCTTGGTGATGAAGTCGGAGGAGATGGCAAAGTCCCTGCCGAGTAAGCTGGTGCTGTGGGCTCACGCGACGAGCTTGGGTGGTGTCGAGAGTCTGATCGAGTGGAGGGCCATGTCGGACACGGGATGTGACAGGGCACTGCTGAGGTTGAGCGTGGGCATCGAGAATGTGGACGATCTGAAGGCCGACCTGCTGAGGGGCTTCGAGGCTGTTGCGGCATTGTAGATTGTACATATGGCGCATCGTTAGAAGTATATAACAAGATTGTTATAGCTGTCCCAGACTAATCTTCCGAGCGCTACAAATTGAACTTTTCAACCACATATCGTACAGTGAAATCAACCGACTTCATATCGCATCCATCATTTCTTTCCCTTCTTCTCCTCGGCCCACTTATTCAGTATTCCCTCGACCTTGGGCCCCCACACCTCCTCGCCCTTGTCCATCAGATCCTCCCACTCGATAACGCCCTCACCGCCAAGCTCATAGTCTCCCTGCCGGGTGCGCACAAGCTTAACCATGTGCGCCTCTGTACCCAGGGCCTTTCCAAGATCATGAATGAACGAGCGCACGTAGAATCCTGAAGTGACAGTCAAGCGGAACGTAGCAACCGGCGGCTTACCCTCTGGCTTTTTGGGGAGGGTAGCAGCCGGCGTAGTCTCCACGGCTACGGTAATCACCTCGGCGGTGTCAGTTTCAGCCACGGGCTCACCCTCACCCTCGCTCTCCTTGACCTTTTTAGCGGCCTTCTCATCCTCCGGCTCCGGCGAGTGCGCACGCTTCTCTCCGGTGGCCTTCTCTTCGGTGCTAGCGGCGGCGGTGGTGGTGGCGGCGGTGGTCGGCTTCGTCTCGAACGCGAGCAACGCGATCTTCTCCTCGTCCGGCACCTCCTCGGCGGGGTACTCGTACTCGTGGTCGGACGTGAGCGATAGCAGCTCCAGGCTGACGGTGCTGACGGGGCGGGACTGGATCTCGGCCGGCAGAGGCTTGCCCTCGCGCGCGTACTCGTAGAGGCGCTTGCCGTTCATGTGGAGGGCCGAGTATCTTGTCTCGTATTAGCAAAAACGCACACCGCTAGGAGGACGGGGAACAAACATCGGCGGTTTCTGCATAATATCTCCCCGGAAGGCCCCCAGCTCCTTCTCGATCACCTCCTCTGTGATGCGTTCCCAGCCACAGCTGCCCTCCTTCCCCCAAGCCACAATCTTCCCCAGCGCATCATACGTATCGGTCCCCGCGCCAAACAAGGCAGTGGCCTCATACGTCTTTGTGCAACCCAGGAACTGCTGCAGCTGTTTCGTCCCCGCGCCGATTCCGGCCACAAGGACCCCGCTAGCCATGGGGTCCAGCGTCCCGCCGTGCCCAATCTTCACCTCAAGGTCGCGCGCAGACTGCTTGCGCCGCCGCCGCTGCTGGCCCTTGCTCTCGCGCTCGCGCTTCGCAGCCTCCGCCGCAAGCGTCTCCGCGAAGATGGACGAGGGCTTGAAGATTCGCTGTAGTTTGCGGAGTGCCTCCGCCGAGCTGATACCGATCGGCTTGTTGATCGCCATGAGGCCCTCGAGTGGGACGGTCATGCTGGTGGTGGAGTGTGGTAGTGGGGGTGGTGCGGAGCTGGGTGAGTCGCGGTAGGGATTGCTGAGGTACGTGCGCGCGAGACGCGTTGCTGTCGTTGCCGTTGCCGTGGCCGTGGGGATGAGGCGGCTGTTGCTGACGAGAGACCGTGTGAGAAGTGGGCACATGGAGTCGCGGGGTCGTCGTTCGTGAAACCTTTGCTTCCTTCCTTTTCTTCTTTTGCGATTATACTTTGTGTCGATCGAATTAACTTCAGAACCTTGCGCCTGGATATAAAATACGGTATGTACGGCACCAGCCCTTAGTTATCCTGTTTTTTCGGGCCGGTCTTTTTTTTAAGACTGCGGAGTTCGCAATTGGACTAAATCGTTTACTAGGACTTTTGGGCAGACCGCTAACTGCAATGGGTGCACGTGCTACTTTATGTAAGCACCTCTGGTCACGTGCGATGAACCGATGGAACCCGTTCCTGGGCCTTTGGCCTCAATAGGTAATCGGCCTTTTGATCTTTTTTCAGGTCCTTTTTCGGAGCGGCCATACGTGGACTGGCTATATATGTAGACCAGGCCGCATTGCCCCACTTTTTCCTGGTGCTATTGGAAATGTCGGGGAAGAAAGTAAGGAATGTCGGTATCTAGAATTACACGGTATCTACTCATAGATATCACTCGTCTCAGCCCGCTCGAAGAAGCGCCGCAAAACGTAACGATTACCATTTAGAAGTAGTGAAGACATTTCTCACTCATATAATCCTACAAGCCTGCAAATCTTTCTGTCTGTCTAGAAAACAGACTCGTGACTGTAGACAGGTTACTTGCTTGCCTGCTAAGGGGCCAGCCCATCTTTCATGTCTACGTAAACCTCAGCAATAAACTCCTGTAAGTACGCAAGCTTGTCTCACACCGCCTCCAACCATCCCACACCGTCTCACTCCGTCTCACTCGCCAGACTTACCACCTCAGAAAACCACTGATACAGAATCTGTCCCTGTCCGTGGTATTCAAGTGTATGTATGCATGTAAACTCCCACTCCCCCTCCCATTCTCTCCCATCCCATCCCCCTCCCATCCCCTCGGCCCTCCCATCCTATCCCATCCCCGAGACTCCCGCTCCCATCCCCAAGAGCTGTCCTTCATCTCCTACTTCTTCTAGAATAACCACCCCCTCCCTCTCCCTCTCCCTTTCCCTTCCCCTCAGCACTGGGCAAAAAATGCTGGATTGAGTCCTCAGCTGGGTCCTCACGGTATCTATCCGTCCGTCTGTCTGTCTGTCCCCTCGTAATCCCAAACCGCAACCAAAAATCATTAACATCGAAAAGAAAAGATGGAAGAAAAAAAAGGAAACGTTACTGGCTGTCTCTGGAGTTTGCCAAAGAGAAGAAAACCTTCTCGCTAACATCCACAACAAAAGGTAAGAATAGGAGTGGTAGGAGTGGTATGCAGCATCCCTAGTGGTATACGGCATCCGTAGTGGTAGTGGTAGTAGTAGTAGTAGACCGCAGTTGTGGCAGTGGTGGTAGTATGTAGTAGTAAAGCGGGCAACATGATAACGGGTGTGTAATGGGGAGCCACCATAATCAAGCCACTCGAAGAGGTACGATATATGGAAAAAATAAACCCAGCAGTCTTTTACATTTGCAGTCCTTCCCCCAGAGAAACCTTCCCCCCTTCCCCCAGGGAACCCTTCCCTCAGAGAAACATTTCCCCAGAGAACTGGTGAAAGTCGAAAGTCGAGAAAAAAAAAAAAAAAAAAAAAAAAGAAAGCAGAAAGCCAACCCCCATCCATCCATCCATCCATCCATCCATCCATCCATCCATCCATCCATCCAACTTTCCCAAACTTTCCCCATAATAATCCCCCCCCCCCCGTGCACCCACCCACCCATCCCACTGATCAAGAGGAGAAAGCGAAAAAAAAAAGCAGAGTTCAGTCATCACTGATCCCGACGACAATTGAGAGGTAGTAGAGTAGCAACAGTGTTTGCAAACAATCTTGCCTGCGGCGTTCATGGACAAATATGCGCAGCAATGGTAAAAAAAAAACAGAAGAAAAAAAAGAAAGAAAGAAAAGAAAAAAAAAGACAAACAAGAAAAGAATCAAGGTAATAAACCAATATGCGAGACGCCAGGTGATAAACAGCGTCAAGCAGCGACGGGAAACCGAGCTGTCAGTCTCCCCGTCCGTCAAACAACTGCTCCAATGCAATAAGAAGAAAAAAAGGAAAAAGGCCGTTCCATCGGCTCATCAAAACTGTACCCGCCGTAGCGTACCGACTGACATAACCCAAATAAAAGGGTGGGGAAAAATCAAATGAGGCGCGTATGGTAGAAGCAACAAATCATGGGAATCAAAGCAAAAAAACTACGCCCAATAAAGCAGTCCCGAGGAGAAATAATCACAAGAAACCCCCACCGTAGAGCGCCAGTAAAAAAAGACAAAGAGTAGACGAAGAGCAGGAAAAAGGGGATAGAGATAATAATCAAAAGGGCATAAAAAACCTCCCTGAGGAGAGAGGCGCCTCCAAAATGAAAAAAGCCCGTGTCTTCCACTACGCACCATTGTCCGTGGTTGCCGCTACACACCAATGGCGGTGATAGACCCATGCACTCTTCTGGCAATCCTTGCTGCAGTATTTGGTCCGTCTGCATCGGCGGCACTTTGCAAACTGACGTGTGAACTCCTCCCATTTGCCGCACTCGTAGTAGGCGCACTGCCTAATTCCGCCCTTCGAGTCATCCTTCCGACACAGATTCCTCATGACGACACCGGCCCAGTATTGCATGTCCGAGGGGTGGTGTCGGACAGTGAACTTCTCGACCAGAGGGAAGACGTTGAAGTCGTCGGGCAACAGGTACTCTTCCATCTCATCCTCCCTCCTGACGGGCGGCGGGCGGCGTCGTCCGGTTTCCTCGTCCAGCAGGTGCAGTTCTTTCTCAATCATGAGGCGTGGTACCAGGTGTGACTGCTGAAAGTAGGACCGCAGATTGCAGTATTTCGAGACGTAGGCCAACAGCTGCAATGACATGAGAACATCCTCCTCGCGTGGCATCGACGAGGGAAGGGTCGGTGCCGACGTTGAACCGGCGTCCATAGTGTATCGGGAAACCATCTGTAGGGATCCGGCGATCGAGAGCGGCTGGTTCACTGCGGGTCCTCCGAGCGCGGTATTCACCGGACCTGTCGGATTGATGATGCTACCATCAACCGGAGACCGGTGAGTAATGTTGAACGTCTCCCCCTCGTCCTGGGAATCCGTTCCGGGAAGGGCAAGCGTCATGGGCTCGTCGACCGACTCCAGCATAGCATCTCCTCCCATGTCCATGTCCATATCGCTCTGGATATCCACAATCGGCTCATTCCCATTCCCAACCGGTGCCTGGTTCCCCATCTCGTCCGCACCGGCCTCATCAGACTCGCCCGAGATCGATCGCTGGCGACGAACCGAGGGCCGTCCCGCCCGGGGCACAACTCTGTCGTTGTACAAGGGTGTGACGTTCGCGGTAGTGGTGGGTCCCGGTGTGGTCGGCGACACGGGCTGAGATGCACCTCCTACAGACAGCATCGAGGGTAACCGGTCAGCGTCGCGAACCGGCTGAAGCCCGAATTCGTTGGCCAAGGTGGTGTCCATCGTCGGTAGAGGCTGCAGTCCGTTGAACTCGCGCGGCGCAACATATGGAAACGTCGGTCGGTTATCCTGTTGATGGTGGGTGTGGGTGTGGGTGTGGTGGTGGTGCCGTGCGTTCGTTGCCTGCGGGTAGCGAACCTGACTCGTACCTCGCTGTTGCACCACAATGTCCACCTGCGGCGGGATCTCGGACTGAGCAGCTCCCGGACGACGTACAGTAAAGGACGATGACGACGACGACCCCCGATTCTCTCTAGCGCGTGAGCCCTGGGCAGCTGCGGCGCTCCGTTTGGTAACTCGGTCGACGACTCGGATGTAGTTGTCGAGTATGGTCGCGATCACAGGAACCATATCCGCCTCGACCACCCTCGTCCGGACTTTCTCCGAGCCTCGAACCCCAATGTTGACGACGCACTGAAATGCCAAATTCCATTTCCACATGCTCATCAGGTCCTTGCTCCGGCCTTCCTTCAATATGACCACCAGTCGTTCTATTCCGCCATCGATGGTGAGGATGTCTCGAATGCGAGCCGACGAGGTGGTTAAATAAGCCAAATGGTTGAGTGAATTTATTAGAGGCAGGGTCGAAGTGCAATCCAAAGCTCGGCGGTCATAAAGGGCAGTGGTGATTCCGACGGAAGCCTTGTTGGCGGAAGGAATACTAAAGTTGACTTCCCGCATGATCTCGAAGGGAACGGTAACCGATCTGCACGAGAGGGTCGACGATTAGTTTCCGTTACCAGCGATGCACGGTGCACGACAGCAACACTGCTCACAGGAGGGAAGGGAAGGTAAGGGGAATGGGTTCGAGATGTAGGTACCTGCGAGGACTCGAGGAGGTGATAAAGGAGTCGAGTGATTTAACACGGATGAAGCAAGCAAGAAACGAGCAAGGTTACAAGAGACAACCCAAGGGAGCGAAAGAAGGAAATGGATTCGTAGCGTGCGAGGTATCTGTGTGGTTTTATCGTTGGTGAGCAAGAGGCAAGGGATTGGTCGGACAGTAGCGGAGATCTTACGGGCTGCAGGTGAACAACGCAGAAAAGCGAGACAAGGAAACAAGGTAAGGCCGAGGTTGAAAGGGCAGGCTGACTGGCTGGCGTTGAGCGGATAGTGACAGCAACGAGGTGGCCGGTAGAGTGAAGCTCTTACTGTTTTTTTCTCGAAGAAGGAAGGTTGGGCTGAAGAGAAAGGCACGGGGGGGAGGGGGGATGGGAGGAGGAGGAAGTGGATGGAGGAGGAGGAGTAGGAGTAGTGAGAGCAGGAGCAGGAGGGGGGGGGGGGGGGGGGTGGAGGAGGAGGTGTGCGTGTGTGCGTGCGGGTTTCCGGAGGGTCCAGCGGTGGTGTCAGCGGTGGTGTCGGCGGTAGTGGTGGCAGTGGAGGTGGTGTGGGTTTAAGGTGACCAAGAAGCGTGGCGGTGGTCTGTGAGTCGGGTGGTTACCGATGGCCAGACGGGACAAGGACAGCGACCAGCAGCAGCAGGGAGGAGGAGGCGATGGAGCGAGCGGCAAGCGATTTGCGACCGCCGCGACTTTGAAGGGACCAGCAACGAACGGGAGGGAGGCAAAGGGGAGAGGGGAGTAGGGGAAGAGTGCGAGTACGGTAGGGGGGACCAAATAACCGCGCAAGCAGAGGGGGCGGAGAGGGAGGGGAGAAGACGACGAGGTAGTTAGAGGTGTAGAGGCTGGTAAGGGTGGACGAGGAGAGGCGGTGGTGGTGGTGGGTGGTGGGTGGTGGGTGGTGACCGGGTGGCCAGGACTGGCTGGGGGGAGCGATCTCTCTCTGTCTTTCTCGCTCGTCGGCAGCCGGGCGGGGGGGAGGTGAAGGCGGGCAAAAGATGAGGACAGTCGAGAGGAGAAGAAGAAGAATGGGTACAGGGGAGAGGAGGACGAGGACGGAGATCGAGACCTGCTATTCTGGCAGGCTGGTGCAGTTGCCGCCAAACTCCTCACGATTCTCTGTCTCTCTTTCTGTATTTCTCTCTCTCTCGTTTTCTTGACTCGAGACTCGAGACTTCTTTGCTGGAGAGAGCGGAGAGAGGTGAGTGGAAATGGCTTCTGATTGGCCCAGGCGAGGCTGCAGAGCAGGGAGCTAAGATTGAAGGTGTGAGCGCCAAAACCCAAGCACTGCCAGAGTAATAACCGTAGCAATAACAGCGAGACAAACCGACAACCAAGCACCGAGCAGCAGAGAGAGCGAGCACGCAAGCACCAGAGCACGTAGAGTATTTGCAATCAACTGCGCTACTCTACTCCATTCTACTAGGCATCTGGTCGGCGTGTAGCGGTTGGTTCCACCTCTTTCTCGGTATTCGCGACAGTGGGCACTGGCAGCCTCTCCACTGTCTCTCTTTGTTTCAATGGCGGTACTCGGGAATAAAACCAGATGGCTGACTGCGCATAGCAAGTAGGTACACAGTCACAACCATCGCCGTGATTGGCCGCAACTCCTTCTTGAATCACTCAGATACTGCTCACCGGATGCGAAATGGCTTCGACGCACACACGTAACCACCTACCTATAGATATATACGAGATGCCCCGGGATTCGGCAGCATAGCGGTTTAGTTGCTATGATAGCTGCGTGCCCCGACGTCAAGCGGCCTCGACTCGACTCGCGAGCTGTCGAGCTGTCGAGCTGTCGGCCGCACGGCCATCGTCATCAAAGCTGTACTTACCATGCCCGTGCCATCCGCCGCCTCCTCACGAGATGAACGCCACATCTGGGCACGCCGCTCCAAAGACAAGATGAGTCCCGGAAGTTGAACGCCACTTGCACAAGAGCTTGCAATTCCAGCAATTCCACTTTCACGACCGACCGCACATTACAGAGCCCGCGCAATATCCGGGCAGCGGACCGCAGCTGTCAAGTCACGGAGGTTAGTTACCAGCTCGGATCGGTAACTTGGGATGTGTGTAGTGGCACAGTCCGCCGGTACTCCACCTACTCTACTCCTTGAGTACTCCACTCCACTCTAGGTAGTGACGGTCTATAAATGCTGGCCTGGCCCTGCATGCTCGGTACGAAGCCGAAAACTTCCGCTCTCGAGCTTCGAGCGAGCACAGCGGCCTTCAAAACAGGCGTTCCCACTCTGCTCTAGATACTCTACAGGTCCCGACCCTTTTCTGCCTTTCGCTCGTTGTGCCCACCGCCGCCGTTTTTTGGGCCACAATGCGTGCGTGATCCGCGTTCCTTATCGCGCCCCCAGTACACTGCAACAATTTGGCATAGAATCAGCTCCCGGCTTGGCCACACCACATGCACTGGAATCTTCCAGAACCTAGAAACAATAGTTACTCTACCTACGGGCATGTACGGTACAGTAATTTATGAAGTGAAGTGAAGTGAACAAACATCCAGTTGTGCGGACCACTACCTGGGTATGTAACCATGGTGACGGTCACTCCACCCAGTGCACCCATAGCCCGTATGTCAGTACAACTCTCCAGCAGACTGTCCGTGTCCGTCGGGATTACGCCACTCCCGCGGCTTTCGCCTCTGAACTTTGAAGTCACTTCACTGGCTATCACATGTATCTTATGTCCATAAAAATGATTTGTTTGGTTTGCCGCTGTTCATCAACACGGTACATATCATACACATACACACATGATCTACATTGAATTCGCGCCACTACACATAAAGGAAGGTCGGCCGGCATGCACATACTCAATGTACTCTACGTACTCTTGGGGGCCAAGAAGGATCTTCAACAAAAGTCTTCAGATTGATCGGCCGGTTCGACCAGCAACAAAAAGCAGCGGGCAGCAGGCTGGGTGAGTGAGTCAGGGCATGGCAAGGCGACGATCTGCTGATTTGCGAACTGATGCCAAATGCACGGCTTTTGCCGCTCAGCCCTATGTGTGTAGAGTAGATACGGTGGCGACCATATGTTTGTTTGTTCACTCATGTACATACGGCGCAGAGCATAAGTGGAGAGACTCTCACAGTGCGAAGCCAAAAACAACGACGCCCGTGAAATCGTGGGCAGTGTGCAATGGGCAATGGGCACGAGCTCTCAATACATACCTGCCTACCATATAGTTTCTCCTGCACTGCAAAGTAAACTTTCCCTCATGCTCCCTCATGCTCTCATGCCCTCACGCTCTCATGGGGCCAGGCCAGGCCATGATCCATCGATCGCTTCCCCCCAAAACCCCCCGGAAAAAAAAGGTTTACTTTTGTTTCTGCAGTGCCAACGAACCCGCACAGAAAAACATACCGTACATACAGATTGTTTCTGCATACTCTGCATACCTACTTCGCAGTGTCCGCTAACTATCGCTGAAAAAGCTGGGACGAACATCGTTTCTTTTATTTACATAGAGTACATGGAAAGGCGAAACGAGAGTACGGTAAGGTAAGGTAAGATACTTCAAACAAGTACCGCCGTGCGGTACTCGTGCCAGGTATTCTTGGTATGTACCCTGCCACTGCATATTCTAAGCGCCACACCGCCTCCGCCGCCATCGTTGTCGCCGTCGTTGTCGCCGCCACCGGGGGTTTTGCTCGGTTTCCATGCATTTATGTATTCTGCGTATAGGGGCGCCACTGGACAGGAGGTTTAAGAGTGACATTGGGCGGGCGGTTATGTATTTATGTACATAATGTATGTATGTGTGGAAAGCGGCGGTGTCAGTGTCAGTGTGGGGATAGGAGGACGGTGTGGGCATAAGAGGATGGTGTGGGCATAAAAGGACGGTGTCGGTGTCTCGTTGGGCATAGGTAGGATAATGTGCCATGTGCACTTATGCGATCCTTAACGTGCGAGGACCTGGCTGGATAGGTAAGTACCAGGTACCTATGGCCTCAATCGAAAATACCGCAAGCCCGCTGCCCACTCACGAGTCGCGACATCAAATCAGATCTAATTCAGTACTTCACCCCAAGCCGACCACCCCAAGCTGGCCACCAGTACCAGTAGCAGCACCACCAGTGGCCACGCACGCATCCCCAGTCTCCAGTCTCCAGATCCTCGCTCGAGAGTCGAGATACATACTTCATACATAACTTCCGTTTCCTGTGTACGCGGCATCGATCATCGCACCTGTCCAGCCTCGGTGTTTTAGGCACGCCGATCGCTCATTTGTAAAAATCTCTCATCCACTCATGTCCAGTGCGTGGGGTGATTCTCAGTCACGGCTCGGTCACTCGCTGTGTCACTCGTCGCTGCTAACATCGGACCGAGGATTTCTCCGAGCTTGATAATCAGCACACACACCAAAGAGTACAGGTCGACGCAAATATGTGGCGGCCGTGTTACACACACACCCAAACACACACCCAAACACACACACTGTATGGAATACCTACGGTACAGTCATAGTCATTCCTTGTCCAAGCATTTGAGCCCTTCTATGCACATCCATCGATCACTGTAGTTGTGTAGATGAAACACCGCCGAATCAATATCCAACGCATGCTGCGCCGCCCTTGGGGGGAGTGAGTGCGCAAACGCGGCCACATGCAATGCCACTCGGTGACTCGGCACGAGGACGAACTCGGTGATGTTTTTTTTGGGGCGTTGGGAATTGGAAATTGGAATGGTTCGCTCATACTGTGACACTGCTGTCCAGAAGGAAGGCGGAAGGTATGGGAAAAGTCATGGGAAAGGCATGGGAAAAGGGAGTGACTCACTCGTCGTGACAGGATCGTGACCCACCGACTCCCTACCGTTCCCTAAAGGAAGAAGAAGAAGAAGGAGGAGACTGGTGGCGGGTGGTCTTTCACAGCCCAAGCTCGGAATTTGATCCTCGAATACCTAACGGCGTGCCGCACTCCATTATCCAGTCATCAGTGACCCAGCTATCCAGTGACTCCATGTTGAACCAGCACCCAGAGACCGAGCACTTACCACCTCGCAACTTCTGGCAGGATACATGCCTGCAGGTTGCAGCGCAGCGCAGCCCACCCCCTCGAACCTCCGCGCCGTGCCCCGTCGGTGGCGAACAGAATCCGAAGATTAGGCAGGTAGGTAGCGGGCGCGTGAGAGTGCGTGGTTGATGATTGACATTGCCATTCATTCTCGACTCTCGACTCTCGAGCGTGTTGCGGTTTGTATGTAGTTCACAGGCGGGTTTTCTGAGCGGAAATGGGCTGCTTAAGAGGGGGTGGAGGAAGTGGTGGAGGATGAATGGTGGAGGATGAATGGGGTACCTCAGAGCCTAATGCCCTCGAATCTCGAATCTCAATGGTTTCCTGCGAGCCCCGACTGATCCTCGATGCCGCTATTGAGTCTTGACATGATTGAAACTCATTCATTCTCGATTCTCGACTCTCGGCTCTCGGCTCCCGAGTGAGTTGCGTTTTGCGGTTTGCGATTTGTATGCAGTGAGCGGGCTCGTTTCGTGGACGGAAATGAGCTGCGTAAGAGGGAGGGTGGAGGAGGTGGTGGAGGATTACTGGGGGAGGATTACTGGGGGAAGATGAATGGGGGAGCTCAGAGCCTGATACCCTCGAATCTCGAGTCTCGATGGTTTCTTGCGAGCCCTCACTCGTCCTCGATGCCGCTATTGAGTCTTGACAATGACAATGACAATGGCAATGCCGATCCGAGTTCGCGGGGGAAAGATGTGCTTGGAACGAGCATGATCTGTGGTTTGGAGAGAAGCTCGTAAAACCCATCTACTGCGAAGACTCCACGCTGCAAAGCCCCCGAATCCCCGACTCTCCGAGGCGGCACGGATTGTATCACAGACTCACAGGATATCACTCTGGCCTTACACTTATCCTGCACTTGCCCTGCACTTCTCCTGCACTTGCCCTGTACTTATCCCACACTTATCCCACATAGAATCTCATCTATCTCATCCATCTACTGTCCCTGACCCGGCGGTGTTCCAAGCCGAGTGCCTACATCCTACCCAGTGACCTGTGCGGTATTGAGCGTCGAGTGTCATCGTATTGCTCCGGGTGATCACACAGCCTTTCAGCACCGCACCACAACACATTTCACCTTACGAAAGTCCTTTGTATCATACCAGCAGGACTTTTGATGTCACGATGAACATCTTTTCCCGTGTAAAAGTCCTCCGTACGGCCAGCTTTTGATGCTTTTCCTCGACAGCTCCACAAGCAGCATAAAATAACGGTTATCGCTAGTGATCAAAAGTCTCTCGGATGGGCACGGCTCGATTTATGTGACCTCACGCAGCACATGCGTCAATAACCGCCCATGACATGGCGACGTAGTAGTCTCCGCACATAGATACACCAAAACAAACGCCAAATGAACTACGGAACCAATCGAATGCACGCTAAACGGGAAACAAGTAGGTACACAACAACCAACAGCCTGCAGCCTGCATCTTCCCCTCAACGCCACGGATTATCATCATGATCCGTCTGATAGTGCTGATTCGTCGTGGTGGACGACTTCCTCTTTGAGCTCCTGTCCTTCTCCCTCTCCTTCTCCGATCTCGACGACAATCCCGACCCGGTGCGCTCCAGATCTCTTCCGTAGCCACTACTCGCGCGCTGCAGCTGCTCTCTAGCATAGCTACTTTCCGAGCGGCCGTGTCGCGGCCGCTCGTCGGCGCCCTCGGAGCGCTCCTTCTTCTCCCACTTCTCGCGCTCCTTGCGCTCCTTGCGCTCCCGTCTCTCCTCGCTGGTCTCGTTTTCCTTGCGCTCCTTCTTCTCTTGTTTCTCCCGCTCCTTCCGCTCCCGCCTCTCCTCTTTGGTCTCCTTGTACTCTCGGCCCTCGACATCGGACCGGCCGGACATGCCCGAGTCCGTCCGTTCGGGAAAATACCTACCCGAGTCTGCACGTATTAAATCGCCAGGCCGAGAGTTGGACCTCGACGACGACGATTTCCCGTCGGCGTGGCTCGACCGCCGCGAGGACTTCGACGATTTCGAGTACTCCTTATCGTGTTGGAACGTATTCGCCCTGGCAATCCCCGGCATAGGCTCTCTATCGTACTGGAACGTTTTCGCTCTGGCCACGCAAGGCACGGGCGGCTCACTGTCATGCTGAAACGTCTTCGCGCGGGCCATTCCCAGCATGAGCGGCCTACTGCTTCGGCTGCTACGGCTTTCAGCGTGATGTGCATACGAGCCGAAGTCCTCCTCGTCGTCGCTGGTTTCGAGGAACATGTCGTCCCTGACCCAGACACAAATGAGGCTGCGGGCGCGCTCTGCCAGCTCAAAGTACGCGGGGTTCGTCTTCGCCTCGAACATGGCGACGTGCGCGCCCACCTCGTCGTCGGCCTTGACGTTGACGCAGCGGAAGAACTTCTTGCGCAGCGGGGACTCGTCCGCAGGGAGCGAGCAGAACGTGCGCTCCTTGCCGTCGAACATCATCGACGTGCCCATGCGGTCGCCGCCCAGACTCGTGAACAGGTTTGCGAAGCCGACGCCGTCCATCCCCGCCGCGCGATTGAGGCGCACGCGCAAGTCCTCCGCCTTCATCAGCGCGCCCACAAACTCCAGATGACTCGAGACCCAGCCGAAGCCGGCGGAGATATCGTCGCGCTTGATGTATGCGGCGGCGGCGCCGCCCGCCAGCGCCGCCGCCGCCCCCCCGTACGCCGCTACCTTCCCCCACTTCCCCCACAGCGACTGCTGCGCGAGCTCGTTCTTCCGCCCCGCCTCCCGTTCCCGCTCCTCCTCCTCCCACGTCTTGACCATCGTCCCCTCCACCGCCGCCTGCGACGCAAACAGTCCCGACGCGATCGACGACAGCGTGCCGTAGGCACCCGACGCCGTTTTCCACTTCTCCTCGGCAGAGTGCGCGAACACACTGGGCGCCAGCCCGAGGTAAGGCGTATCGAACGCGAGGATCCCGACGATGTGCGGGAACGGCAGGCGAGCGTCTCCGGCCACAAGGTCGTCGTCCATTATGCTCAGCAGCGCGTCGGCCGCCACGATCCCGCCCATCGAGTGCCCGACCAGGATGGTGTGCACGGAGGGGTCGATCGTGGGCGACGGCGTGTGCCGCGCCACTTCGAGATCGATCACGACGTCTTGCAGCCATGACCGGAAGCGCGCTACGGCGTTGGGAAGCTCCCCCCGCGTCTCGTATTGTGGGTAGATCGCGGTCTCGATCGCGAGGTGGGGTCGCGCGTTCTGTAACAGCGCCCGGATGTGCTGAGGGATGTGTCAATTGCTGCGACGCCGGAGGAGACGCCAGGGAACTCATCTCACCTCAGGGAAGCCCCGGAAGGTGCCGTCGTCGCCCTACATCGTTGACAGCGCCTGTCAGCTGTCACGGCCCGACGTCCACCAGCTGGCTGGAGTTGTAGCTACCTTGAACCCGTGGATGAAGCACAGCAACAGAGTCTGCTTTCCCATAGCGGCGGTGATGGAAGTGGGTTCGTAAGGATGAATGGGTGAAGTAAAAGTGAGAGTGGAGGTGGAGGTGCGTGAGAAAGAGCGAGAGAGAAAGAGAGAGAGAGAGAGCTTGGTCTCCACGTCGATAGTTACTCTATTGCTGGCCGGCGTGGGGCTTGTCTGTTGGCTGGATCCGCGGGCCAATCACACGTGCATGGATAAGGCACTATCTATCGGTATCGGATAAACCATGACGGACCACGGTACCGTACCGATCAGGGTGATCGACTCGAGACTCGGTTCCGAAATAGAGCCGTTTTCATTCACCCACTGAGTCTGGTTGTGATAGTTACTAGGCCCGTTATTAGTCTGAGCTTTTCTCTTGCAGCGCGGCGGACCGGCGGCCACAATGCGTTCCTGAAGCAATCTTCCTGGAGGGTAAGAAGCATGTAATATCAACCCAGTACACATCCTAGGGCAGCGGCCGTCTGAGGACGAACTCGAATTGAAGATAGGGTGGTGTGACGCTGGCGATTCATCTGGTCATTCAGTTTGCGATAGACCGGGCCGGCTCACAAATCGGAAGCCACAATGGCTAGTTACACCGGCGAATGCAAAGAGGCATACAGTAGAGGCATTCAATTCATCATCTTCGCAGTCCGACAAAACACCAACAGACCAAAAAATCGCAGCAATCGCTCGCAACAACAGACACCAAACAAGCCAAAATCCAAACAAGAACCCCCCTAGGTACCAAGAAATGAAGAAGAAGAAGAAGAAGAAGTAAAAGATAAAGAAAAGGCCCTCGTAACATCGTAAAATACTGCAGATATCCCGGCCGAGGAAACGGTATCATCACACCTACATGGAACCAGAACGGTCGACTCTCCCTCCCACGTTCAGCACGCGCACCCGGACCGATCCTCGATGATGCCGGGGATGAATGGGTCGTCCAAGATATCCGTCATCTCGCTCTCCTGCTGTGCCAGGGCATTTCTCGCGATAGCTATCGGCGCGCGCGTATGCACATTAGCTCCCGTGCTCGCTCGCTCACCACCCCATTCACGGAATACCTTCGAAAGCCTGTTCGACGCCCTCGCCCTCCTTCGCAGAGCACTCAAAGTACGGCAGCTGGCCCTTCTGATGGCAGTAAGCGAGGGCGCGCTTGCGGGGGACCTGTCTCTTTCCCTCGCCGAGATCGATCTTGTTTGCGAGCATGACGAACGGGAAGCTCTCTGGGTCGCGGGGCGACGCCTGGATGAGGAATTCGTCGCGCCAGCTATTGATGTGCTCGAACGAGGCGGCGGAGTTGACGTCGTAGACGAGGACGCAGCAGTCCGCGCCGCGGTAGAACGCTACCCCGAGCGATTGGAAGCGCTCCTGGCCCGCTGTATCCCAGATCTGAAGGATGAGCGGGGTTAGAAGATCGCTACTACTACTACTACGAGTCGCGCGTGCGCTGCCCGAGGAATGGGAACAGGAACAGCAGGAGGAAGAGGAAAAGGGCGATACGGTCAGGGTGACGCTGCGGTCGTCGAGGATCACTTCTTTCGTCAGGAAGTCGGCGCCGATCGTCGCTTTGTATGATGGCGAGAACTTCTTGTTGACCTGGATTGGGATCGTGAGTGGACGTGTACTTTTGAGCGAAGAGAGGGCTGGGCGGGAAATGTACGTATTGGTTCATGAGCGAGGTCTTCCCGACGCCGCTGTCGCCGAGGATTATCACCTAGTTGCAATGGGCACCACCCTCCCGTCAGCGACGACTCCCGCCAGAACGAAGCTGGGGAGTGGAAAGTGAAGCATGCGCACTTTGAGGATCTTTCTTCGAGTTGCCATGGCTAGTAAATAACCCCACGGTGTGGGGATGTGCTGGAGTATGGGAAAGGGCACTTTCAGTGAGGAGGGGCGCCGAAGAGTAGAGTGCGGAGGTGGAGTGGACGACGACGACTGCCGTGTGCGATAGGTAGAGTTAGGTAGGTAGGCCGTGTGGTTAGCACGTAGGGTCCACTCTTCGCATAGCTCGGTGCGTTCCAACGGCTTTAGCGCTGGGGCCACCGATAAAGATCGACGACGTCAGCCAACCGATAACAAGGTGCATGTGCGAGCGCTGTTGAGCATCGGCGGAGGGGGGGTTCTGCAGGGAAGGCGTGGCGTATTGTGGAGTCACGAGAGCCACATCCGACGATATCGCACCGCCATAACTGTACTCGACTGGCAGTCCCGGGGGAGATTCACGGGCAGAAAGACACGGGCCCTAAAAGCCAGTTATTCACGGCTTCCCAATAACTCACGATAACCACGGCTTTTGTGGGGAATGAGAGCTCGTAAGGCTACGAACGGCCATGGATGAGGAGGTGTCGGAGGTGCCATAACCCCAGCTTCACGAGACACAATCGACGCAACCCCCCGAGAGATAGTACCTTTAGTGGCACGGTTTCGACTTATACTCCTTGTTAAGACCATCAAAAGCCTCGACAGCCATCGTGAGCCAATATCGACGGCCTTCTAGCGAATGGGATCCCAGAACTGGACGATAGCTCGTCACGATACAGCATCGATCGAGACGAGAAGCAAAAAGCACACAGAAGCACCGTATGAGAGCATTTTTTTTCCATCCAATCGATCTACATAGAGTACCCGTGCGCCTCCAGACGCCCCCGGCAATGGGACATAGTTACATACACCCTAAAACCGAACAAGGCGAAACCCAACAAAAAAACCAGAGGAAGGTATTCCAGAAAGAAATCAAATAATATGAAATGAAGGAAGAAGATCGAATATCAACACACGCCGCTCGCTCAAAGGGAAGCTTGAGCTCACGCACAACCCCTCCAGGCATCACGCAGCGAAATCGCGGCACCTACGCACCCGAATGCTCCGACCGCAGTATCATCGAGCAGGCCCTTCTCCAAGCTCCAGTGGATCTATCCTCCGTCAGCACAAACGACCGTCTCGAGGGTTAACCGGGCGAAACATACCGACAGCGGCGCGGTAGTCGCATTGCAAACCCACGCCTTATTCCAGTCGTCCCTGGCCGCGCGCTCCTCCTCTCCGGAGACCACCAGGCCCCTCAGGCCCCTCGCCTTCTCGTTACGAAGCCACCTCATTCTCTCGAGCTTCACAAAATCGAGTACGATATGCGCGGCCCAGCAGCGAGTACTCCACAACCACATGCGTCCCTCCGTACGTTTCGAGAACGCCAGGAGCGAGTGCATATTGAGATACGCCATATTCTCGAGGACCTGGTAGGCAGCGTTGACAGCGACCTGCGCGAGCACCAGCGAGCGCACCACCGCGTCCTTCGGTGGACTCCGCAGCGTCCCCGCGCCCCACTTGTAGATCCCCACCAACCCCCACAGGCGCATGAACATGCGCACGTCCGAGATCTTGGAGGCGAGCTTGCGCAGGCGGTTGGAGGCCGTGGCCAGCGTGGTAGACGCGGGCGTGAGCACGACTAGCGGGATGGGCGTAGCAAGCTTGACGGTCAGCAGCAGCGCGAGGCGCGACAGCTGCGGCGCGAGGAACGTCGACGAGTAGTAGATCAGGCTGAGGAGGCGGTCGGTGCCCGAGGGCGTGGAGAGAAGGCTATAGGACGGTCAGCAACGCGACGAACGGGGGGAGGCAGCCGGGGATTCAAGTGCGCACCGGCTGAGGTGATCGAGCTCGCCTTCGGCCTGGCGGAGGTGCTTTTTGACGACGTAGAGCAGCACAGAGGGGTCGGTCCCTCCGGCGTCGCCGGATGACTTGTCGACGGACCACGGCATAGTGTCGGAATGGAATGGCGGTAGGTATGCTGATTCTGGGCTGTCCACCTGCGATCGGAGAATGGCAGGTATGCTATACGGTACGGTAGATACTCGAGGATAGAGAGAGAGGGGGGGAATGGTGTTCTCTTGTTCACACGCCCGGTGGACCACGTTTAGGCCGCCTCGTGGCTGGCTGGCACCTACGTACCCTGGGTACATATTACCGTATTCACGTCGTTCGGGCCATAGCCGTGTCTACATACAATTGCTATAATTTCCTAGGAACGTGATCGTCAAGCCTCGGCAAGTCGGGCGGTGGGTCGGTCAGCTTCACGCTAGGGATCGTATCAGACTCCCGAGTCCCGAACGGCCAATTGAGAGCGATTTTGGAGGGGGGCTCGCGCGCCTGCAGAGCTTTAACTACCGTACAGATACTTTCTTACATGCTAGGTATGCGCATATTCTATCCAACGCGCGACCCGCAACAAGAAACGTGCACTTTCAAATTTCAATGTCCCCATTCGCGTATGTATGCCGCCGAAAGTCGGACAGAGCTGCCGGCGAGAGGCAAGGAGCGACGACGCCGCGACGCCGCTCCACCAAGCTCGTATTTAAGCTGCAAACGTCACGGCCAAAAATGCCGGTTGCTCCAGCAACGCTGCAATGCGCATATGCACTGTATGAATGTGCAATTCTTCAACAAGAATATCTATCACTCGTCCAACTTCACATGCGAGCCACGGATATAGAATTGAGAACTTGAGCCCCCTGCGAAATCCGTTCCCGGAGTTAATCCACACCCGTGGGATTTCAAGATGCGTAGAATCCGATGCCCCGAATGTCACGGAGCAGCGGGTCTTCAGACGAAAGGTGTCTCGAGTCTTGACTCACATCGAGCTCGGAGCGAGATCGTATCAATGCCGCTGCCAACGTGCTACATACACATTGATATTGCTGTCAGCCGTGAGCGGTGGGACTGTAGTTATGAGTGCAAATCGCATCTCTCTCCGCTGACAACATCTGCCCTTGGTTTGCATAACAACCCCACGAATCAACGATGCCCACGGCCGCAGCAACGACGAACCGAACTCACGCGCTTCCTCTCCTCCTACCTGCACTCAATGACGCCTATTTTGCGTCATATCGGCTTTATGGTCGAAGCCCCGCCTCCCGCGATGGGAGAGTGCACCTAGGTCCTAGCAAGACTTCACCTCCCCGTCCGTATCTGTGTAACGGCATGATATCTCAACAAAACTGGTGGAGATTGTTTTGGCACACCATCCGCCAAAACAGAATCTTCAGAAATCTTCAGATGCAAGGGACTTCTCCACACCGCCGTCTGCCCAGTGCCGGTGTATGGTAAACTCCATGGAAATCTGAACACTGGGAATCTTGTTGAACGGTAGTTTGTTGAATGAGTACTTGCTTGGTGAATGAGTACTTGCTTGGTGAATGAGGACTTGCTTGGTGAATGAGGACTTGCTAGGTGAATGGCAATGATAGAGGTACAGAAGCCTCAAAGCTGCCATTGAGCCTGGCAGGCATTTCCCACCATGAATGTGCTGCTTTAGGGGTATCATTTGCACGGCCTCTGCTACCTATTGAGCCTTTGAAGTCTACATCCTTTACCGCATCATCGTACAAACCCCATGCTTCACCCACGATCACACCAACATTCTGAACAACTTACTACAAGACCAAGACCGAGATGAAGGAAAGATAGCCACCGTCTAGTATTACAACCAATACATACACACAAGCCCGCGTAGATGTAAACAAAACCCATCCCACCCAAACTCCGCACTCACCAAACAGCACGCATATATTCACACATTCTACACAGCCTGCACGCCCCACCCATCCCTCAGCACACCTTCAACCTCCTCCATCGCGAGTCCCCCCGTCTCCGGATAAATCCTATAGCACACGACCCAGCCAGCGGCACAGACTGCAGCGTACACCGCAAACGCGACACTGGCGCCGAGATGCTCGACGACGCCCAGGAACGTGGCGGCAACGACCAAATTCCACCCCCAGTTCGTAGCCGTCGCCGCGCCGGTCCCCACGCCGCGCACCGACATGGCAAAGAACTCGCTCTGGCACAGCCATGGCACCGCGCCCAGCCCCGTCGCGTAGAAGGCTACGAATGTGATGATCGCGGCGACGATCATTGCTGCGGGGAGGGTCGGGAGGCCGGAGGGTGGGGTGGGTAGGCCGGAGGTGGTTAGGTCTGGTAGTGCTAGGAAGCCGAGCGCGCAGAGGGATAGGCCCGCGGCCATGCCGGCGAGGGAGACGAGCAGCATGCGGCGCCGCCCCACGCGGTCGATCAGGTGGAAGGCGAAGGCGGTGCCCGCGGCGTTGGTGCCGGCGACGACCATGGCCACGGCGGTGGGGCTGCGGAAGCCGATGCCGGCGAAGATGGTGGCCGAGAAGTACATCAGCGCGTTGAAGCCGCAGGCCTGCTGCAGGAACTGCAGGAAGCATGCGAGCGTCAGCGCCCGCCGGTTGCCCGGGACCCGGAAGAGCGATTTGAGCGTGCTCCTGAGCGGGGGCGCGGGGCCGGTGCGTACGCCCGCTTCGATCTCCGCTAGCAAAGAGGTGATCGCCGGTGTGCCGTAGACTTTGGCGAGGGTTTCGGCCGCCGCCTTCCGCCGGCCGCACTGTAGCTGCCATCGCGGCGTCTCTGGCATTAATAGCATCAGCGCTGCCTGCACGACGGCGGGGACCGCGCCTAGACCCAGGATCCAGCGCCATCGCTCGCCCAGGAGCAGGCCGACCGCGTACGCTCCTAGCTGCCCGCACGTGATGCAGAGAACACTGATGACCACCAGCCGTCCCCGGTGACTTGCCGGCGCTAGCTCGGAGATGTAGAGCGGTACCACAAGACTCCCGACACCCACACCCACGCCCACCACCACCCGGCCCGCCACCATCGACCACACGCCCATCGCGCCCGCTTGCCACAGCGCGCCGACAATGAACAGGAGATCTGCGATCCAGATAACCGCGCGCCGGCCCCAGCGATCTGCACACACGCCGGCGACCAGGCCCCCTGCGAGCGCACCGAACGAAGTCGCCGACGTGATCATCGATTTATCCCAGGTGGTGACCGGATGTTCCGGCGTCGACAGCGTAGGCGCGAGGTATAGCAGTGCCGACGAGATGGATGCCGTGTCGTCTTTTGCGCAGCGCAACGTTCTCCTCCCGCGTTAACCAAAGCTCGCATATGTACACAGTTACCCCGGCGGGCCAAACCAGATCGGAGAGGAGTCATCGGGTAGGTAGCGTACAGCCAAAGAGGAGTCCACTTATTCCTGCGCTGAGCGTGAGCGCCCATAGCCAGTATCCTTTCGTTTCGGGTTCGGGCGAGGGGTGTGCTGGAGAGCTCGGCGAGGATGGTGGCAGGAGAGGAGCCCGGTCTTCACTGCCACCCACGCCGCCGCCGCCGCCACTGTCGAGTACTGCCATCTCGTATGGTTGAGAGGAAGGAATGGTGTTCTTCTGCACGGTGGAGAGTTTGCGAGGCCACGATGGTGGTCGTTGGTGCGCTTTGAGTCGTCGTGCGTAGCAAGGAGGTTGAAGTTAGAGTCCACGTGCGCGCGTCAGTACTGGTCCTTACATAGCTACCATGGTTTAGTTAGCTCCAGGCCCCAGGTCAGCTCCAGGCTTCGCATTGAAGAATAGTCATGTGTTGTTTCGATTCCCCAGCTCCGTCCGGCCGACCGCACGTAGTCCACATCCCCTCCACGTATCCCGGAACAAGTACGCGTGTCATCGCTTTCCCGGGCCCGACAACTGCCTGCGAGCGACGTCCCGCCGACTGGGCGCCAGGCACTTCCGATAAGGCTACATGCTAAGAATGCGAGGCTGAAAATAGTCGCTCCGTACATACGCACTCTGCACAGCTTTCTTTTTCTTGGCCTGGTACGAGTTGATCTCACTCCACTCCGCCGTAAATGCGCATGTGCCGGCAGCGCCAGGGTACTCGCCATAGTCTGAATTTCACGCAAAGTGTCCTTTCCGCGCTTCAGCTCGCCGCCATCTCATGCCATTGGCCGGTGCGACATCTCGCAACGACAGAGCAGGAATCGCAGTCAGCCTGCGCAATTGAATCTCTTTTGTTCCTCTCCCTCTTTTTTCTCTTCTCTTCCCTTTCTCTTCTCACTCCACTTATTTGCTTCTCTTCGCGAGTCTCTCTTTTGTAACCAAACCCCGTCTCTGCAATCGGGCTACCGTGAGGGCGCCCCTCCCCCCCACAAGATTAGATTCCCGCCAGCAGCAGCATAGCGAAGCACCAGCTCAAGGTTACTTCTCTTGACCCCTGACCGCCACGAACGACGAACCTTCCATACCATACCCCCCGTTCCCAGATCCCACAGCAACATACCCATCTCCTACATACACATACACATACACATACACATACACCGCAACCGAAAAACCACAATCGCTCCCTGCTGAGCAGCCATGGCTCAGAAAGACAAACTCGGCGGCGGCGTCGTCGTCGCAGACGCTGAGCCCTCGTCGCGATCACGAAAACGCAGCAAGAGCAGATCGCCGACGCGGGCGAGCAATCAGGACACCTCTCCACCACCACCGCCACCCTACCAAGAGAAACCCGAGTCGTCGCGAAACGATGTCGACCCGGGAGTCAAGGACAATGACATCTTCCTGTTGCCGTCGTCAGACTATTCCTTAATGATCCTGTTGACTTGTATCGCCGTCGCCGTGCGGTTGTTCCGGATCTACCAGCCGTCGAGTGTGGTGTTCGATGAAGTCCAGTAAGCCTCCAGAACTCAATGCAGGGAGAGAGAGAGGGTGGGAGAGAGAGAGAACGTGTCACTGATGGGCCCATGCGTGCGTGTCATAGCTTTGGCGGATTCGCGATGAAGTATATCAAGGGACGGTTCTTCATGGACGTCCACCCACCGTTGGCGAAGCTCATGATTACCCTCGCCGGTTGGTTGGCCGGCTTTGACGGAAACTTCGATTTCAAGGAGATTGGAAAGGACTACCTGGAGCCCGGCGTTCCATATGTGGCTATGCGCATGCTTCCGGCAGTTTGCGGTATCTTGGTTGTTCCTACGATTTTCTTGACCTTGAAGGCAGCGGGTTGTGCCACGGCTTCGGCGACTCTGGCGGCTGGATTGATCATCTTCGGTAAGTTCTCAAACCCCCGACAATTCGGATGATTGCCGGCGTGGGAATCGATTGGACTGACTGACTGACTCGGTTCTATTCTAGACAACGCATTGGCCACCCAGTCTCGGCTTATCCTCCTTGACGCCCCACTCGTTATCTTTACGGCTCTGACCGGACTCGCGTGGACCTGTTTCCTCAACGTCCACGAGCAAGGCCACACCCAGGCGTTCTCGCTCAACTGGTGGTTCTGGCTCGTGTGCACCGGACTCGGATTGGGTGCTACTGCCAGCGTCAAATGGGTCGGCCTGTTCACCATTGCGTGGGTTGGAAGCTTGACGATTCTGCAACTGTGGTCTCTGCTCGGCGACACCAAAAATGTCTCGGCCAGCTCCTGGATGAAGCACTTCTTCTCGCGCGCCATGTGCCTGATCGGTATCCCGGTCACCTTCTACATGGCTATGTTCGCGATCCACTTCACTTGTCTCCGCAACCCCGGTGAGGGTGACGGATTCATGTCCTCTGAGTTCCAGTCCACGCTCAACTCAAAGGGAATGAAGGATGTCGCCGCCGATGTCGCCTACGGCTCCAAGATCTCCATGAGGCACTACAACACTCAGGGTGGTTACCTCCACTCTCACGCGAGCATGTACCCCGGCGGATCCAAGCAGCAGCAAATCACCCTCTACCCCCACAAGGATGAGAACAACGTTTGGTTCCTCGAGAATACCACTTACCCTGAGGGAGGAGTCGGCGTCACCGGTTTCGACGAGATGGATCCCATCTGGGTCAAGGACGGTGCCATCATCCAGTTGTACCACGTCAACACCGACCGAAGACTTCACTCTCACGATGTCCGCCCTCCGGTCACCGAAGCTGAGTGGCAGAACGAGGTATCCGCATACGGCTACAAGGGATTCAAGGGCGACGTCAACGACTACTTCCGTGTTGAGATCGTTAAGCATCTCTCGGACGGCGCAGTTGCCAAGGAGCGCCTGAGGACCATCCAGACTAAGTTCAAGCTTGTCCACACTCAGACCGGATGCGTGCTCTTCTCCCACAAGGTGAAGTTGCCGACGTGGGGTTTCGAGCAGCAGGAGGTCACTTGCGCCAAGGGTGCCACGCTGCCCAACAGCATCTGGTACATCGAGTCCAACGAGCACCCCAAACTCGGCGCAGACGCAGAGCGCGTTAACTACCGCAAGCCTGGTTTCCTCGGAAAGTTCTGGGAGCTTCAGAAGGTGATGTGGAAGACCAACGCCGGCCTCGTCGAATCGCACGCCTGGGACTCGCGCCCCGACTCGTGGCCCATCCTTCGTCGCGGTATCAACTTCTGGGGTAAGAACAACCGCCAGGTCTACCTCATCGGCAACCCTCTCATCTGGTGGTCTTCGACCGTCGCAATCTGCATGTACGCCTTGTTCAAGGGTCTTGCCGTCCTCCGTTGGCAGAGGGGTTACCGCGACTACGCCGTCACCAACTTCCGTCGTTTCGACTACGAGGTCGGTGTGGCTGTCCTTGCGTGGGCTTTCCACTACTTCCCCTTCTTCCTGATGCAGCGCCAGCTGTTCCTTCACCACTACCTTCCTGCGCTCTACTTCGCCGTTGTCGCCTTGTGCCAGACATTTGACTTTGTCGCTTTCCGCATCAAGGCCATCGGTCTCAAGAAGCTGCCCGTCGTCGGCTGGTCCATCGCTGTCGTCTTCCTCGCCCTCAGTGCCGTCGTCTACGGTCTGTACAGCCCGCTCGTCTATGGCAACCCCTGGACCAAGAGCGACTGCCGCCGCGTGAAGCTCTTCAACACCTGGGACTGGGACTGCAATACCTTCCTTGACAACTACTCTGACTACAACAACATCGTCTCGAAGAAAACCGCCGCCGCTACCGTCCCCACCACTGCCGCCGCCGCCCCTGTCGCCGAAGTCCCCGCCGCCCCCGCCAAGCAGGAGCAGCAGCAGCAGCAACCCATCATCCAGAAGGACAATGTCGCCGCCGCACCTCCCGTCGTCCCGGCGGCAGAGCAGCAGCCCGAACCCGTCAAGTCCGAAGAGCCCATCGACTCTATGATCACTGGGCAGCCCGCGCCGCCAGGAGAGATCGTTGACACAGATGAGCACGTCGAGTACCGCGACCAGGACGGCAACCTCCTCGACCTCGACCAGGTCAAGGCCCTCGAGGGTCAGGTCGAGTTCGAGACGAAGTACGAGACTCGCTACAGGATGATCGATGAGGATGGAAATTACATTCCCGTCAACCCTGATGACGTCGCGCCTGAGCAGGGTGAGGAATCACCTAAGCAGGAGCAGGAAAAGCCGGTGGAGAAGGAACAGGTGAAGGAGCAGGAGAAGCCGGTGGAGCAGGAGAAGCCGGTGGAGCAGGAGAAGCCGGTGGAGCAGGAGAAGCCGGTGGAGCAGGAGAAGCCGGTGGAGCAGGAGAAGCCCACGGAGCAGGAGCAGCAGTTGCCCCAGGATCCTGAGGCCATCGAGCCCGAGACTACCAAGACTGTTGAGACTTTCGAGACTGTTACCGTTCGCGTCGACGAGGACGGCAAGCCCATCGAGGGTGACGAGCAGACCCGCACTGTGTACATCGACGCTCCCGAGGGCTCGGAAGTCCCGGACGAAGCTGGGTAAGTCGTCTCTCCTCTCCTCTCTCTCACACTCTAACTTACTGACCCTCCCCCAGCTCCAACGACGGCAAACCCATCGAGGCTGAACAGGAGACCCACACCGTGTACATCGACGCCCCTGAGGGCTCGGAGGTCCCGGCCGAAGCTGGGTATGTCGTCTTCCTCCATCTCCTCTTCCAACACTTACTAACACTCCCCCAGCTCTGACGGCAAACCCATCGAAGAGGAGACTCACACCGTCTACATCGATGCCCCCGAGGGCTCGGAAGTCCCGGTTGAAGCTGGGTAAGCTGTCTCCCCTCCTACTCCCCGTCCAACACTTACTAACACTCCCCCAGCTCCAACGACAGCAAACCCGTCGAGGCTGAAGAGCAGACCCACACCGTGTACGTCGACGCCCCCGAGGGCTCGGAAGCCCCAGCCGAAGCTGGGTAAGTCGTCTCTCCTCTCTCTCCCCTCAACACTTACTAACGCCCCCCAGCTCCAAGGACGGCGAAGAACGCGAAGAGGTCGAGATTCTCCGGACCATCTACGTCGACGAGTTCGGCAACCCTCTCCCCGACTCGGAGCAGGAAGGCTACGTCGAGGTTAAGGGAACGGAGGTGCCTGGCGAGGAGCTGCCGCCGGCGTCCACGCTTGCGGATGCACCGGTTGAGGCGCAGACTACCGATTAGATAAGAGAGTAGACGGATGCGATGCGATGGGATGGGGATATACTATCTTATAATTACATGTCATGTCATGTGGATGGATGTCATGAAAACGGGGAGGGGGCGGGGGCGGGGGGGAGTTTTTCTTGCTATTCTGTTCTGTTTTGTTTCTGTGGCATATAGGTATTGAATGCTAGCGGTTCGCGAGGTCGGAAGTCGTGATTGCGGTTGTGGTTGTACTTGTGACATGTGGGATGTGTACTCGTCGCCAGCTACCTTCATTGTGTGGCACTCGCTACCTAGTGTCGTGCTGGGGAGATGTAGCTGTTTCTTGATCCCTTAACATTGAGGCCATGGTTCAAGATGTCCGAAGAAAACGAAGGACCGAATGTTCAGCATACCTAGGCGTGTCATTGCCTTCAAGCATGACGGTCATGTGACACCTGTGTGGCAGTCGCTGGAGGAACAGTGGATTCTCAAAGATGCGACTTGTTACGATGTATATACACTACGCCCTCTGCGCCACATCCGAGTCCTTGACGGCCTTAACGGCCTCAACCTCCATTTTCCTGATCTCATACTCGCCCCTAATCCTCTGGGCCTCCCTAAGCTTCTCCTCCTTCTCAGTCCTGCCGTTCCCGCCCCACCAGCCCTTCTTTCCCTCCTCCATCAGCAGCGCCTCCTCCTCGAGTATCTTCCCCATCTGCACCAGATTCGCCGCCGCAATCCCAGCGCACTCCTTGCACGCGAGCCTGTAATCGACCAGCTCCCACGCCTTATGGAACGCGCCCTCGCTCCAGCGCAGTCCCTCATCGCGCTTTCCGATCGCAAAGAGCAGTTCGCCGACGGTAGCCTCACTAACCGCGACCCTACACGGATCCCCCACGGCCTCCGTATACCTCTTCGGATCTTTCACCTCACGGCCCGCCTCCGCCGTCTTCCTCCTTACGAGCACATCGGTCGCCATCTCCAGCGCCCTACCGATCTCCCCATGCCTAGCCAGGAACACCGCCATCTCCCCCACGGCGCCCATAAGCTCGGGGGTATTCCTCCTATCACCAGGGGTGGGCAGTGCCGGCCCCCCCGCGATCCTCACAGCCTGCTCCAGCGCCTCAAGTGCACCCACCGCATCCCCGCGCCACTCCCGGATCCGCGCCAGACGATTCGCCGCCTCGACCTTGAGGCGCGGCGCGTCCGCGGGCACCTCCAACGCAGCGCGGTACTCCGCTTCCGCCTTATCCCAATCCCTTAATTTCTCCTGCGCCTCGCCGCGCTCCTTTCTCAGCAGGACGAGCTCCCACCCCCCGCCCGCCCCTTCCCCACCCCCACCCACCACCGCCTCAAGCGCGCGATCATACATCCTCTGCATCTCCTCATCCGTCTTCCTTTCAACGAGCGGATTCCATGCGTTTGGCATGCGTGCCCTGAGGAGGTAGTAGCGTGCGCGCAGCGGCCATGACGGCGGCGTCGGCTGCGACGTCTCTGCGGCGATGAGGAGCCCGAAGTGAACCAAGCCCTGCAGGAGCAGGATGGAGATGTTCACCACGCCGGCGATCTTTAAGGCCGGCTTCCAGTTCCCCAGGACCGCACGCCAGAATGACCGTGAGCGCAGGCGGGCGCGGAGGTCGGTGGTGGAGATGGGGCGGCGGGGTGGGAGGGTGGGGCGGGCGGAGAGGAGGGGGAGACGTGGGCGGGGGATGGAGTGCGGGATGGAGTGGCGGAAGAGAGGTATCCGTCCGAATGTGGGGCGTAAAGGTCGCATCGCGATGGGTGGGGTTGGTGCGGGAGAATGCTGATGATCTGCAGCCTGCGGGCGCTGTGGTACCGGGGTGCGCCGGGGTGCAAGGGTAAGCCGTGATGATGTCATGTGCGGCTAGGCCGAGTCGGGATGGGTGAGTGATGGGTTATGAGAATCGCTAATTGTGTAGGGTCTGGTATCTCACCAACGTTATGAGATTCCGTAAAGAGGTTACCTGTGGGATCTCGACACTCTTCAGGCAAGCCAATCGACTTGCTACATATCCCTTCGCTTTCTGTTCCGGTATTCCCGTTCCTCACCACCGATGGCCTGAGCTGACACTGTGAGTGATAGGTAACTACATCACTTCGGCTGCTCCTCAACACCGGCACCGATCTAGGAACCTCTCGTTATCGTTTGTATCCTTTCGGAAAGTTCGGTTCGACATACTCGTGTACACACATATACCCGCTTGGAATATTGTCCTCCTCGGTACGCAGTCGAGCGAGCCCACATGAACGAAGCCAAATAGTCGTTACATTTCCAAAATAAACATTACATTTCTAGCTACTCTTACACCCAACCGTTGCTCTATCGGGTACAAATGACACAATGACACATACACCTACAGATACGTACACATACACCGCCGCCATCCATCCCTCCGTATTCCCATCTACTCAGTAACCCTGAGAGGATGCGCCTCGGTATTGAACACCCACCCACTACCGCCCTGCACACTGACCTCGCTGTCGTCAAACACGAGGTAGAGGTACTTCAGCACCTCAGCGAACCAAAAGCTCTCCTGGAAATCCGTCTTCTCGCCGCCCAATGGGAGCATGACGTCCTCAACGCTAGAGTACCCGCTGTCAGTCCTGCACGCATCATTGATAGCGACGAACGCATCCCACGCCCAGCGCTTATACTTCTGATCGCCGGTAAGGAGCAGGGCGTGGTAATAGCTCTCGACGACCTCGGGTCGCAGATGGTACGCCGTACCCGTGGGGTACCATCCATTAGCGGCAAAAAACGCCTGGTGCTCCACCGGGGCGGGGCTGCTCCACGCCCAGCGCTCCGGCCCGATTCCCGAGGCGGTGGAGGCATAGGTGGCGCGGCACCCGCGCGTCAGCTCCAGTCCCGCGTCCCGGATCTTCGCACTCGACAGCAGCGCGCCGCCCAGCGCCAGGTTGCCACCGATGAAACACGTGAGATGCCCCTCCTCGGGCACGAGGGTGGCGGCGTCGCGGTACTCGGCGACGAAGGTGGTGTCGCGCCGTGGGCGCTGCAGCAGGTGCTCCACGGTGCTGTCGGCGGCGAGCAGCCACCGCGAGGCGTACGAGCCGAAGCGAGAGGGGCTGTAGATCCACATCTTCAAAAGGTACTCGTAGAAGCTGTCGGTGCCGCCGGACCAGCCGCCCGACGAGTCGAGGAACCGCCCAGACGCGATGTCGATGTTCGTTCCCAGCATGCCGGCGAACGGCTGTCCCGCGTCTGGCAGTGGGTTCAGGAGGTAGTCTTGCGCCCGCTGCGAAAGGCGCGCGTATTTGGGGTTGCCGGTGAGGTCGGACAGGCGTGTCCATTCTAGCACTAAAGTGCCGGTCGTGGCAAGGCCGTTGCTGCTGTCCCGCGAACTGTTGGTCGCGAAGTCGAGGTTGTTGTACGGGATCCCCGTAGGCGTGTCGAAGGCGAAGGACATGCGGTCTGCTAGCGACACGGCTTGCGTGAGCAGCCGGTCCACGAGGTAGGCTTTGTCCTGTTGGGTGGTGTCAGCGAACCCTGGGCTCCTCATGACGGAGGGGCATAACATACCTCTGGCACGAGATGGGCATACGGTCCCTTCAAGAGATCGTACCCGGACAACAGGCCGCCTAGATACCGGATCTACCCCGTCCATCACCGTCAGCATCCATACAATGTATCCAACGACTCCTCAGCCAGCGGGTGCTCACGGTAGTTTCAAACAAGCTCACTTCCGTAGCGGTAGTGTTGAAGTCCACCTCGGCAAGGAACCCAATCGCCTCGACGACGACCTCGCTGAGCTCCATGAGACACGCCGTGCTCAGGGCATCAGCAATGGAGGCGCCCCAGCCATTTCTGTCCCCGTCAGTCAATCCCCCTTCCGCATAAGACACAAAAGGAACCATCGACATACCTTGAATTCCCTCCACGGTTGCTAACCGACAGCAGCTCATCATACCCCCACGCATATTTCTTATACCCCTCCCACGAGTGGACGAACGCCTCCTTGATGGCAGCAGCGCGGTCGAAGTCACTGGTGATGCCCGCATTCCCCACGGTGGAGTTTGTGCTCTGACGAGGCGGGATTGTGGCGGCCACCACGCAGGTAGCAATGGCGAGGATATTCCAGAAACGCATGACTGGCTGATTGGCTTGTAGCTAAGAATGAATAGTGAATTGGTGAATGGGTGAATGGGTGATGAGAGGAAAATTGGAAGGGATGGGAAGGGAAGGGAAGGGATGGACGAGCTCGCGACAAAAAGACCGCTGGGATATATCTATCCCCGTTAACTTCGACTTCCTTCTTAACCTCAAGCTTTCGGGCGCGGGCTACTTATATGTAGATGTTGATCTAGAGCAGAGCTTCGTGATCTTCAGACTCCACATCCCCCCCCCCCCTTCTCTAAGTTCCCCCCCCCCCCACCACCACCCGCCCCCTGCCGTTCGCACGCGGACATCGGAAATCCTAATGCAACAGGCAAGAGGCAAGAGGCAAGAGGCAAGTGACTTATCCCCTCCCCTCACCGGCACGCTCGTCCTGACTCCTCACGCTCACACTCACCCGCACTCCGGGGGCGGGAAGTGACATTAGTTGCTAACCTAGCAGTCCATCCAGTCCAATCTAACCAGAGCGAGCAAATAACTAGCATCTGGTTGGCAAAGGCAAGGGAGGATACTTTAATATTTAATATTAGCGCATCACGAAGGCAGATCATCGGCACGTATGTATGGAGAGTAGAGTACAGTGACGGACGGCAACTTGCAAGACACCTCGACACTGTGACACTGTCCAAAGGGGAGGTGGGAGCTACTCTATGTCCCGCCCCACGGGCCACCAGGGCAGTTTCTAGGAAGTGAAGAGCTGCACGATTCCGTGCCGGTTCATCCAGCCAGCCATCCTCCATACCTCATATGTCCACTCTTGGCCATGCTGGTGGTGATGATCGTAGTGGTTCGATAGTTACTCTATATCTATTTAGCATGCCTCCCGAGTCCCCAGCACCCCCGCATTCTGCAGCTCATCATATATAAACTATCAACGTGCAGGCTAGGAGGTGGGGGAACACCGCACGCCGCACGCAGGTACCATACATACCATACATTACATAGATTACATACGCATCTCGCTGTACACAGACTGCCTATCAGTGGCTCTCACCGCTCCATTTAACACTCCGAAAACAACTCCCTCCCCCCATCACCTCCCACCGCGAATAGAATCTGCAGAATATGTACTCTACTCTACGTAGGATGTAGATAATATAATCCCAGGGGGAGGCACCCCGGAGATTCCCCTCGATCTCGCGAGTCGCGAACCGCAGGCGACCCCCCCTCGGGGTTTGCCTGCCGAATGTAGCGATTACCTCCGGTACCGAGACAGGCAGGCTGGTATGTAGGTTGGTAGGTTGGTACCGTGCCGATCATTCCCTAGCCACTGCGATACCGCGAGACTAGCTGTGAAGTCATGCGGTGGGGCAGACGGGCAGAGGGGGGTAGATGGGGCAGAGTGAGGTGGCAGAGGGGGCGGTCACTTGCAAGTCACCAGTTGCTCGTTCGTGGCTCGTCGTGGTGGCTCGTGGCTCTTGGGCTTACATACAGGAGCGTTGTTGTTGCTGTCGTGGGATGGATGTCAGATGACCGAGACACTCTACGAGTAGAGAGGGCACGGCGAAACCCGATGATGTTGATGGTGAAGATGATGTAACCAGCTCGAGTTCGAGCACCCCACACGCACGCAGCGTGCATCGTGCAGGTGCAGGAGAGTGGAGATGGAGAGTGGGGAGTGCAAAGTGGCTGCAAGTCTGCAAGTCTGCAAGTCGTAGATGATCTACATACCATGTAGAGTACTCTATGACGAGGCCGCAGAATCAAGAGTGGGAATATATACCAATTTAGTACAGTAAATACGCCGTGAGATGCTCTGCCGCCATGCATGCGCCGAAAAGAAACCAAAAAGGAGGTCTCCCCTTCCGAGCCTTCTCCAGTGTTCACAAGTTCACAAATAAGTTCACAAATAAGTTCACAAATAAGTTCACAAACTCAGCGACCGGGACATATGAACATCGAACCCACACGAGTCGAGATATCCCCTCCACGTGCCGAGTTTAACTGTGCCTGTGCCTGCTCCCGTGTGCCTGTGCCTGAGTGTGCCTGCCCTGTCCCACGGCACGTGCCAAACCTACGCATGTGGTCTGGTCTAGCCGTCCAGGTCTAGGCTTCATCTGATCCTCCCGTCACCGAAGTCCAACGTCGTCGTCTCCAAATGCCCAAAATCCTCAAAATGCTAAAATTTCATTTCTGCACGTATCGTGGTTTCAACCTTTGGATTTCTGTTCCCCTCCCTCTCCCTCCCACCGAGCTTCTCTGCCCGCCTACTTCCTACCAAGGTCCAAGAGTGAGCCCCCCTCCCTTCCCCCAGATCAGATCAAGATCCCAAATAGATGCCAGCATTAATCCCCCCGTTCAACAACAATAACAACAACAGCCGCCGGCGCCCGAAAGAAAAAAGAAAAAAGAAAGAAAAAAAAGAATCCAACTACCAAAGGAGATTACCATCGCATAAAAAACCCTTAACTTAACTTAACTTACCCATATACCAGCCCGCAACCAGTCGGAAGAAGAAGAAGAAGAAGAAGAAGAAGAAGAAGAAGAAGAAGAAGAAAATAGTATATCAAACACAAGAATCGAAGATCATCAAAAAAAAACCTCAAACCAAACCAAGAAATATTTACACCCCCCCCCCCCCCCCCCTGCTATAACTCAAACACCACCAACAACACTCCCATCATCTAACACGACACTCCTATCGTCGAGACGAAACGTTATATCGCCGGTAGTAACGTTTCCGAAATCCTTGCCGCGGCCAAACCCATCGTCGAGAGCCTGGTGGGCCGCTTCGGCGGTAGCAATGTCCTCCGTCTGTGCCAGGAACAGCACGGCGACGCGCGCAAAATCGACCGCATCCTGGTCGAGCGCGACTTCGCGGGACGCGGCGGCGCTGGCGCTGGGAGTGCCAGCCGCAGTCGCAGTCGCAGTGGGGACCACGGGCAGCGTTGTGTCGGTGAGGAGCTGCCGCCGTGATCGCCGCCGTGTCGCCGTGGTCGTGGTGGGCTCCGTGCGCCCGTTGAAGCTGACCAGCGCGTTCTGCAGCGTGCACGAGAGGTTGCCCTTGCTGAAGACGCCGAGGATCAGGGAGGGATCGAGCGTGATATCGTACGACGCCTGCGACTTGTTGAACAGTCGCGGCAGAGCGGAGCCAATCGTGGCGTTCTTGATCCCCTCGACGCCGCCCTGGTCGGCGAAGTCGAAGCTGGTGCAGCTCGAGTCTTCGCCCTTGGTCTCGCACGAGGCGCCGGTGAAGCCGTTGGTGCAGATGCAGCTGCAGAGGTCGCTGTTGGCGATGTTCTCGCCGCCGTTCTGGCACGGGTTGCTTTCCTTGCACCGCGCGAGGATGCTGGCGTTGCTATTGGTCGAAGCGTTGCGCGTCTTGTTGATGTTGACCAGCTGGATCGGCACGACCACGGCTGCCGTGATCACGACTAGGCCGAGGATCACGAGGATGATGAAGGCCCAGAGCGGGAGTCCGCAGATGCGTCGTCCGCTCTTGACCGGTCGCAGCGAACCATTGTCGTCGTATCCGTCGACGCCGGATGCGGGCCATTGCGACATCCTCTGCGGGAAAGTTTGCGGGCCACCGAGAGCTGGCGGAGGAAACGAGGCGAGGATATCCGAGATCGAGTCCGTCTCTCTGTCGCGGCTGCGATCTGCATCACGTTAGCCTTGTACTCCACTCCTTCACGGGGCACATACTCGTCGACGACTCGGTATTGAACCCGAAGAAGCTACCCCTCCCACCCCACGCCGTGCTCCCCGGCCGTCCCGTTTCCAACACGGCCGCCAGCTTGGTGGCCCTTCGGATCAGGTCGGGCAAACTCGTCAGACTCCCTCTTGCCTCGGCGTCCCTCACCGCATCCATATTCAGCCTTGGCGGTACACGTCTGCCGGGAACCCGACTGCTACTCGGGCCGGGTTGAGAACCCCTACGCGCTGCAGCCTGGGGGATCGAAGGCGGAGGCGGGAACGCAGGCAGTCCCAATTCCTTGGACTCGGCCGTCGATCGAGATCGCGTCGTTTCCGACGGCGAGCGAGTCGACGGAAAGTACTCGCTGTCGGCAGCTAGCGGCGGCTGAGAGAGCGGCGATGGAGTCGTAATCGAAGCTGGCGGCGATACCTTCGGCACCGCTCCTGATCCGGACGACATCGTTGTCTGGGGAGGAGAGTTTTTCCTCGTCGCAGAACCAGCGGCAGAAGCAATAACGGCAGCGGAAGTGGTGCCCGCACGGCTCCTGGACCGCTCGGGACTCCTTATCTCGGTCATTGTTGGCTTGTGTCTCTTTCCCAGACTTGCCTGGCGAACCAGCGACGGCTCGTTATCCTGCCTGTCGTGTCGGATCGGCAGCGCATTGTCGTGTTCGTCGCTCGAGAAGGAGTCCGCCTCGTCCGGATCCCAGCCGGATGGGATGGCGGCACTGGAGGCGTACGAATCGTGTCGGGATAGGCTGGGTTCCTCAGGGATCGGTGATACCTGCATGGTTGTTTGCTGCGAATAAAACGACGACGCTGCCGTCCGACGAGATGACGGTTGCGGCGGCGGCGGTGGAGGCGGAGGTTGAGGGACGGTATCAGCTGAACTTCTCTGCTGTTGCTGCCGCTGCTGCTGTTGATTCGGGACTGGTTTTGGAAACCGTGGGATTACACCGGAGGATTCATTATTAACAGCGCCAGTGCCGGCACCGTAATCATACGATGGGTCGAAGCCAATGTATATAGACCTGTCACTCTGCATGGAAGGATGAGTGCTTGACGTGGTCTCCCTCCCCTGTTGTCTTTGTTGCTGTTCGGTCGAGTAACGAGGCTGTGCTCTCTGCTGCTGCTGGTGGTAGTTCTGCTGCTGTTGCTGCTGCTGCTGTCCACTAGGTGCTGCTGATCGATAAGCGACAATAGCGGGTTGAGAAGGACTCGTTTCATATTGTTTCTGCGGGGTTGGGGCTGATTTGGAATTTCCAGGAATGTAAATCCGACTCTGATCCTGCGACATGGGTTGCTGTGGCTGTCGTTGCTGTCGTTGCTGCTGCTGTGGAGGCAAGGGAGCTCGGCGTGCAGGATTTCCTTCACCGCCAGCATAGGACTCGCCGGCAAAGGAATAGCCAGCCCCAATCTGGTGATGCTGCTCTTGCTGTTGCCGTTGTTCCTGCTGTGGCTGCGCGCGCACCTGAAGACCCGGGCGTAACGGGTACGCAAAGTTCCTCGATACACGCTCTTGCCCGCCAATCCCGCTGTTCCCACCAGTCCCACCCGACGTGCCAGCAACACCTCCACTTCTTCCCGATTGTTGTCCTGCCGAAGGCTCCGGGACGGCATATCCATACGTCCCATCACCACCCATGCCCCCACCATTTCCACCCCCATACCTCGCAGCACCTTGTGCGCTCATCTTGCTTCCTTCTTTCCTTCTTCTTTCCTTCCTTCTATCGTCTTCTTCCTTCTTCTTCCTTCACAACGTGTCCTGCAGCTGACAGGCCTGCCTGAGTATGTATGTGTGTTTATTTCCGTTCAATCACCGTTGCTCACCGGGGTGGTATTCGTGACGTTGCTTGCTTGCTACCTAGCTGCTGGGATCCTGGGGTCTGGTTTGTATGTACGAGTACGTAGGTGTGTAGCTTGTAACCAAGTAACCGCTCGGCGGCTGCAACTGTTCCACTCCACTTCACTTCTCTCCTTGCTGCAACGAGGCGTGTGAGATTCTGGAGAAAATAAGTATCGCCTTTATTCCCGTCTTTTCTTGTTTTTTTTCTTCTTGCGCTGGGCTGGGCCGGACGAAGACGAGGGGAATGTTCAAGCCTGTTGAAATTTCGTGAATGCGTGGAACGATGGCTGTTGACTATTGCTGCCGAAAACGAGTGACTGGCGGCAATGAGAAGCGCGAGAAGAAGAACAAATTAGATGCAGATCGTCGATAGCTGAAGAGAGACAAATGAGTGTCGTATGTATGGTATGTATGTATGTAACCGTCCACAAAAGTCGAGCACGAAACGGATCGTGAGGAATGGAGATCTAGGTGATTGACGACGACGGCGGTAAGAGCATAGTATGCTGAGGACCCGGGAAAAAAACGTGGAAGGAAGAATTGGCGGGGAAAATAGGGAATAAAGAGTGACAGCCAGCCAGCCAGTCAGTCAGTCGAAGACGAAGAGTGGGGTGGTGAAGGAAGAAAGAAGAAGAGGAGGAAGAGGAGGAAGAAGGGATGCGAGGATAGCGGATACGGTAGACTGGCAATGTCCACTTCACTTTACTTTTCCTATTCTTTCGTCAATACAATATAAACAGAGTACCTAGGAGGCTAGGAGCGCGCTTGACCGTGCGAACGAACGAGCGAGCGAGCGAAAGAACGAACGAGAGAACGACGGACCAGGCCACGCAACTTGGTGTTGCCTGCGCTGCAAGGTACTGGGTGAGTGAGCCAATCTGTGAATATTAGACGGGGGGAGGGTGGGGGAGGGGGGGGGCGGAGGCTGACTGACCACGGTGAGGGTTTGCCTCGTATGTACACGGTACGGACGGTAGGTAGTGTTATTCGGTCAGAACTACTCGTACTCGTGTGTTTCCGCAGCGATCGGGGGGTTTGGAGATGTTCTATTCGGAAGGGAAGGGAGAATGAGAAAGCGCAGTCGAGGAACATCGAGCTCGAAACAGGACGCGCAACGAACGACTCGAATCGAACGGCTGGATAAAATGGCTCAGTTCGCGGGGTCCGGGTTGGCCTCACCATTTCCCCAACAAGCAAGCAATCAAGAAATCAATCCCCCTCCTCGTTCTCCTCTTTCTCGCGAAAAGCCAGGAGGAGGAGGCGGGACGGGATATCGTGAAGGGGTAGAGCATAGTACCTACTACCTACTGTTCGTCCCTGCGTACTATAGCCTACATACTTCCGCTCCAGCCAGGCAGGGGGTGGTTTCACAGCTGCAGAGTCAAGTCCCGACGCACCGACCTTTGTCCCTGCTGTGCAAGTACTTGTGTAGGTACATATGCAAGTGACGAGCAGTGTGAAGAGTCCGGGTCGAGCAAGTAGATATGTAGAGTGGTGTTGGTGTCAACTGTGGGTATGTATGCACTTCACCACCTCACCACCTCCCCTTTCGCATTCCACTGCTCGCTTGCCTCGTGCCGAGCGGCAGCTTGGATACATTACGATATGTCCATACATACTTCATGCGATGTCCATCCTCCTACATCTACATATGATACTGTAGTTACGTAGCCATCCCCCTTCGAACCAAAGGAAGGAAGGGCGAAAGTCACAAGACTGTGATCTCTAACGTCTCGAAACCAAAACAAACCCTCCTCTCTCCCCCATTCCCTTCCCCCTCATCCAAGACTTCACCAACTCCTCCTTCGCTCCAACCTGCCATACCGCAGTCAAACCGTTCCACGACCCTACCCTACCCTGCCCTGCAACACCACACTCACACCCACTACTACTACTATATCCGCTGCACCGCCAAATAGGTACATACTTACATGCCTAACTAACTAGTAGAGTACCTAACCAACCCCTACCAATCTCAGGCTGAATAACCAGGTCCAGGACTAGGGCTACATAGAACCAAGACCTGCCGGATTTCCTTCGGGAAGGTTCATGGCACGAACGGGAAAGAAAAGGATGGGAGCAGGTGTTTCTCGCTTGCTTGGTGCTTGGTGCTTGGTGCATACGATGTAGCATGGGAATTCCAGAACTCTGGTGTTCCCCGCTCCCTCCGGCAGACTGGATGGATCATGGAGGACATATCATAAGTACCCTAAGGTACTTGCTTACTTGGTTACCGGTACTCTACTCAGATCACGACAGTGCGCTACGAATAGGTACATCATACATGACTGTAACTCCCAAATTCCCAATGCCCATTGGAGCACAAACACGCGGATCCGTAACACCACCCCGCCCGCGCCCACCTTCCCGCGAAGTATTCGTCAATACAGAGCATTAGGTATAAATGTAGGGTCCCGGCACCGCGACGACAGCAGCACCGCCCACCAACATGCGCACGATGACATCGTCCAGGACGGGCCGGCACGCTCGAGTATGACGATCGTGATTCGCCGGCTACGAATAGAGGGCTGCGTAGGTAGATCTGGAAATCTGAAAATCTGGAGGTGCAAGGAGGGAAGAGAGAGGGGAGGGATGAGATGGGAGGGATAGTATGGGGGTCACACTGGGTATAGTATTGTCAGTTCGTCATTTCGCTCGCCGCCCGGCTGGTTAATAAAAAAATTTATTTCATCATCGTAGCATTCGACCTTATCAGATCATGGCTGTATACACTCCGGTTCCACCCCACTGTCTCCGACCGCTGGTCGCGAGCTCGATGTGGGTTCCTCATTGCTCTCCGCCCAAAAGTCGGTTGACGATTTCCCTGCCCTGCCTACCTATCTGTCTCCAAGTCTGTCTCCATGTCGCCACTATGTCGCCACTATGCTCGTCACACACCGTCCCCCCTCCCCCCCTCCTCCCGAATTCCATGGGCATTAGGGGAACTATGGCCCTACATAAATACCCACGGTGCGAGGCCGGCTACGAATCCTCTAGGTACATAGAATCCGAGAATGAGAGTGAGAAAGGGTACGGGATCATATCCCATCACCCGCTCTCGTCCACCTGCCCGCTCTTGTCCGCCCGTTCGTCTATTTGCCCGCCTGCCCGCCGGCCATCGCTCGAGCACCGATGATGCCGTTACATACTCCACATAGCACAGACGTTCCCGGAATTCCGGGGCGTGGACCAACTACTCACGAGCACCCCGCATCCCGCAGCCGCATCCACCTTCCTCGGCTGGACCGGCCCGGACTGGCTTTCTTCTCCCCTTTTTTTCTTTTTAGCAATGGACATTTCTCGCCTCCTCGAAGGGGTTGACGACGTACTTATGGTAGAGTACCACGCTATGAACGAACGGATATGGTGCGCTCCTGTAAGGAGATGGTGAGGCAGGTGGTGAAGACGGCTTGGGTCCCGGGTGACGGGTGACGGCTGGGGTGACGAATCATGCCATATCACTCGTGATAGTCCGTACCAGGCAGGAGTATGTATGCTAGATATGCGAAGATACACGACTACATAACGAGGCCGTGCGGTGATTATGATCGGCGGGCCGATGAATATGCACTACATAGATCGCGTTTCACATCGCAGAACCAGCCGGGCGGTCGTGTGGGAAATCGATATCCCCCTCCACGTCCCGTCCCCGCTGTGCATATCCATAACAACTTCAGTTTCTTCAGCGTGTAGTAGTAGTATCTAAATGGCATTCAAGTACATCCCCCTCACTTCTCGTATGAAACCTGCCCAACTGCCCAACTACCTACACGACTGACTATATGCACCAGGACTCTCCAATCACTCTCCAATCACTCTCCAATCATCCGCCCAAGCAACGAAAAACGACAAAAAACTACAGAGTAGGTAGGTACAGTAGGTACAGTACAGCACTGTGGACAAAGAAAAGATTGCAAAGAAGAAAAGAAAAGAAGAAAAGAAAAGAAGAAAAGAAAAGAGAAGAAAAAAAGGACTATCGTATTCCCGCCTCGACCGATCGAACAGAAGCCAGCACTATAGAGTAGGTAGGTAAAAAAGTAAAAGATAATAATATCGGTAGTAGTAATAGTAGTAGCAAGTAGTAAGTAGCAAGTAGCAAGTACATAAAGTGCGTACGTAGTGTATAGAGTAGTAGTAGAAATGAACTGAAACCTGATGGAACGGAACGTAGGAACGGAGAAGAAAAAAAAGGGCAGCAATATTACACGGAACCAGCAACAGGAGTGAACAGTGAACAGTGAACAGTGAACAGTGACGAGTGATGTGTTCCCCACCCAGCCAGCCAAACCAGCCCAGAAATGAAATGAAAACGAGAAAAAAGAAACAACTCCATCGCCCAAAGCAAGAAAAGTAAAAGTAAAAGTAAAAGTAGGATAATCGGTAGGAATGGTGAAAGGTAAATGACGGAATGGCCTAAGGCAGCTGCTGCTAGCTAGCGAGTATCCTCCCGGCCTGTCCCACCTCATGCCGCCCTTCTCCCCCATCAGCACGCACACTCATCTTCCCCGCGGCACTATCGCTTCGTCCGGCGGCGGCCTCGTTCGCCTGCGCCGCCCACTCCTCGCGGCGAACCTCCTTCATGCGGCGATCCGAGAACCTCGTGTCGCCGCGGTGGTACCGCCGCTTGAGCTCGATGTATGTTGGTGGGCGGGGACGACACAGGACGACCACAAAGTTCTTCCACCACGTACCCTGCGAGAATGGTCTGTGGCGTTCGGAACGGACGAACTTGTGGCCGTGCAGGTACTCTCTTGTGGTTTCTCCGCGCGCCATCAGGAACACGTGGTAGCCGCACAGCGCGGCGGGATAGGGGGCGGCGAGGGCTCCGTAAATCACCATGGCGAACGGGATCCGTTCTTCGTGGATCGCACTCGAGAAGGGCCCCTCTCGTTTTACCAGGTGGATTAAACTCAGCGCGACGAGGTAGAGTGCTAAGAAGGTGGCTGAGGTGATGAACACGAAGAAGTAGCGGTAGTTTCGGCGGCCGACGCAGTTGTTGAGCCAGACGCAGTGGTGGTCTTGCGTCTCGATGCATGAGTCGCACACTTTGCAGTGGTGGCAGCGTGGGGGCCGCCAGATGTTGCAAGTGCGGCAGTACTTGATGGGAACCTCGAGGTGCAGGGAGTTGTTGCCCGCCGGTCGGATTAATGCCCACGAGTTCTGTGGCGGCACAGCCAGGGCGTCGTCACCGGGGCGAGGAGAAGCATCCTGAGGATGTAGGTTGCGGGGATAGATCTACATTGCATTGGGTTAGGGGTTACAGAGCCGGCCAGCAATCCGATCGGGTGGGGGGAGGGAAACGGGAGCTTACTCCGGGGTCCGAAACTGCGGCCTTTATGAAGGACATCATTGTGACCGCGAAAAGGTATGCGAAGGTGATTGGAAGTGCGGGCGAGACATTATGCCACAGAAAGCCGGCTCTATTGGATCATAACCGTCAGCTAGCCGTACTCATCGTTAGGGGCGGCAAGAGACGCACGAATATCCAAAAAACAAAGCCGCAGGCAAGCTGACCAGAATCCCCGTGAGGATGTTCATGGGAAAGTCTCGAGCCGTCTGCCACCGACCGCCAAAGCAGAACCGCATGTTGCCGGGGAAATACTCGTGGTTTTTGCCGAGTTTTGGCGGTCGCTGCTGTCGTTTCGCCGTTATGCTCGAACGCGATCCATTGCTCGAATCGCCACCGTGCGAGGACGAGTTTCTATGCTGTGGCATCCGCCTCACGTTCACATTTCGCACCGAATTATCTTCGCCGACGATCTGCCGAGTTTCATCGCGGAGAGGAGCAGTCGAGTTGAGCGAAGGCGCCGTACGAATAGTCTGCTCGACCGTGGACGACATCGAAATATCCCTCGGATGTTGTTCCCCGATGCGCCCCGAGCTATTGTTGTGATTGTGATGATGTACGATCGGCATGTTCGTCGGGAGCTGTGGGGACGCCGTTTTCGTTGCAGCTCTCGCGAACCCTCTGATCCGATTCTGCTCCTCATCCTCCTCCGTAACCCTTCCCCTCTGCACTTGCAGCTTCGCCGAGCTCATCGGTCGATAGAATGCTTGATTCGTGACACCCGGGGCGTGCGTGCGCGACGCAGACGAATCGGGCCTACCCCTCGTACTCCCACCCGCGATCGATGACGGCAGACCTCTGTTACCGCCCGAGACGCTCGGCCAGTTCCTATGGGTTGTGGAAGTAGTATTCGACATGGCGGTGCTCGGGCGTGTCGAAAAGGAGTCCATCATGTCGGCGACCGACGCGCGGGTAGCGTGATGGTGCGGATGTCCTCCACGGGCGGACGACCGAGGAGAAGCTTGGGAAACTGCTGCTTGCGACTGCGATTGCTGGGCCTCGGCGAGCCCCATAATCTCAGATGCGTTGTCGCTGATGTCGGTCATTCGCGACGAGATCACGCTGTGCGTGTTGGCACCGTGCCGGTTGCTGCTGCGAAGGTGGTGGTCTTCATCGTGGATCGAGAGCGGGAGTCCACCTCCTGAAGAGGAGGTCGGCGAGATTGGCGTCCGCACGTTTAGAGAATGACGGGGCGAAGTCATCGAGGTGGTATATGCCGGATGATGACGCGAGGCATCAGGCGTGGGTTGGGGTGTCGAGGTGGTTTCGCAGAGCAGACGGAGGGACAGGTGCTGGCGGTATTGTTGAGTTTTGATGACGATGAAAGGAGTTGGCGACAATGGGGGGTGGATTCTTTCGCTGGTGATTTCTAGAGCATGCGACTAAAAGAGCCTATAAGCGAGGCGCATTCCCCCCTCTTAGATACAATTCCAGATCGACTTACCTATTTATTACGAGATCATTTATTACGCCACGTCTGGGTACATCAGATGTACATGGTACATGCACTCACTGCTGTCCTGCAACACCAAACACCGCTCCATTCTTGACCAACCGACACAGGTAGCTAGTCTTATTTGTCAGACAGTTCTCCAATGGCAGAAATCCTCCCACCGCCCGTCACACGATATCACTCACCGGTGCATCTTCAACCATTTCAAATCGAACGTAAGATATTATCGTAATTGTTACGTAACGTACGTGCAAGAAGAAATGTACTCGAAGGTAAACTATAGTACACAGAAAGTCCTGAAGTCCCCAGAATCCCCACGAAAAAAAAGGAAAGAAAATAACGTAGACAGCAGAAAACGGACGAAAAGCAACCCTATAATATTCCCAGAGAACAAATCACGCAAAGAAAGAAAAGAAAACAGTACAAGCTCTCACTACAACCCTAAAAGGGTGAAGGAGAAAAAAATTGATCGCTGTAAACCCCGCGGGGACAAAAAAAACCACAAAAAAAATGCAACCCAATCCCACCCCGTAAATGCTGGTGGGTAAAAAAAAAAGGTAAAAAAAAAAGGCCCATCGCACTCGTTCCGGCGTCGTGGAGTTCGTGTACTCGTCTAGGCTTCAATAGCCACATCGGCGGCGACATCCATCGACTCGATGAATGTGCCCTTGACCTGGGCAAGGGGCTGGCCTTCGCTATCCGAGATAGCGGCGGTGACACTCTCGGTGATCCCGATGGTAAGCCTGCGAGTGGTCTTTCCATTCTCCTTCGCCGCGGAAGCTTCTGCAAGAGCTTCCTCAACGGCCGCCGCGACAGCAGACTCGCTCGTCACTGACCTGGGAGTGCTCGGCTTCGCAATCGTCTTGTTGACCTTGTAGGTCCGGATGATCCGCGATCTCGTGCGCGTAGACCTGATCACTGGGGTACCAGTGGTCTTCTTGACGGGAGTCTCGTAAACATCGTCAGACGCCTCGGAATCGTCTTCAGAGTCAGAGGGTATAACAATCTCTGGCTCTGGCTCTTTGGTTGGTGGAGGCGTGGGAGGCCTTCTAGGAAATGGAGGCTTGCGCTCCTTCTTGGTGGGCTGGGCAACCGGCACCAGAGGCTTTTCCTTCGCAGATAGTTTCCTCTTCTTTCTCGGCTTCGTCTTCTGGGGCGGAGTGATGCCGAGCCTATCGCTACGCTTGCCCAGGACACCGCGGCAATTATCGGATCCACATTTGCAGGGGCACTGCGTGACACCCTTGAACCACCTGCAACCTTGTCAGCTAGTTTCTACATCACAGCTCATCACTCGCAACTCACGTAAAGTTGTAGTCGTAGGTGAGTTCGTCACCAGCATCAATTCCCTTGTCACCAGCAAAGAGGGCCATTCTGGGCTGTCCGCCAACAACCCTGGAGCAATGTGTCAGCCATCATTAACGTCAAGTGGGAGGAACGAGTGAGCAGCTTACCACTTCTCCATGGTACAGTTAGGATCGCACGAATCTAAACATAAACACTACATCAATGCTAGTCCTCCGGCATGTTTCACACACCAGGTAAAGCTTACGGTTCACAAAACGCGCTACCGATCCTCTGGTGGCGTCCAGAATCATGTTTTGGTCAAACAACATCAGATAGTAGTTCTAAGGATATGTCAGTAAACTGTGATCGCATAAACACATTCGCAAGGAAGTTTACCGTGTTGTTGTTGTAAACCTCGTCCAGCCTGCGCTCACTCTCCTCCTGGGTGATGATCTCCCCAGAGTACTCGACAATAATTTGTCCTGGCTGGAACGACCTCAGAGCCCGAAGGCCATATCCACGATTGCCAGTCTGTGACACCTCCACGCCTATGCCAAACTCCTTGGCCGATTTGACACGATCCATAAGGTCGGCAAACGACCTATTGCTGCAATTGCGACCAAGGTCACAGTTGAGATCTGTACACTCAACCCAGGTGCATCTGTTCAGGCACGATTCGCTGCAATCTTCAGTGCAAACACACTTAACGGTGGATGCCCCCTCCCTCTTCCAGATATATTTGGCATCGCCAATCAACTGGTCTACCGACACGTCAGTCTCAATTGCAATACATTGTAGTGGAGCGGAGGAACGCAAGTACTTACTGTGGCTAAGCTTCCTCCAAACCGGAGGTGCCGGGCACTTGGACCCGCTCGGCGCAAACACAGCGTATGGGAGCTTGAAATCTCTCTTCTTCTCCATGATGTCTTTCCCGCGAAACATCGGGAGTGGCAGGGAATTAGGTCGCTGCTTCTTTCCCTTGCCCTTCTTCGACGCGGGCCGCAAATTCAAGCTAGCGCCATCGTCCTCCTGGCCAACGTACAAACCCTGATTCATCCACACCTTCTTACGTTTTGATGGTAGTTCCGGCTCCTCATCGGCAGGTGTGACTGACATGGCCTTTGAGGGCTTCTTGGACGTCGACTTGACAGAGGATTCCTCCTCCTCCGCCTGCGTCTCTCCCTTAGCCTTCTTCCTCGCACCCCCTGTCTTCGCGTCGGCAGCCTCGGTGTCGGCGGTCTCGCTCGACCGGGCTCGTTTGACGGATTGAGTCTTTGGAGTTGCAGCGGTGGTCATGGCGGCGATGGCGTTAAGCGCCGACACTCGCGTGCTGGCCCTGCGCGGGAGTTCCTTTGCAGACTTGGGCTCCTTGATAACCGGCTTCTTCGCGGTGGAGCGGAGCGCACGCGTCTTACTGGGCAAATCGTCATCTTCGGCGGGGGTCTCCGAGCGCGGAGAGAGAGAGGGATTGGTCTGCGCGGGAGTGGCAGGAGGGGTAGGCGCGACGGCTGCAGACTTCTTTCCAGCGATCGCGGCGGTGGTGGTCGCGGTGGTCGTGGTCGTGGCGGTCGTGGTGGTCGTGGTCGTAAGGACGTTGTGTTTAATTCGCTGGCTGCAGCGACGCGTTGTTGAGATCGCTTTCTGACCCTTCGTCGCGATCACCGTGCCGGTTGGCTGGTCGTCTACCTCAGCGGCCTCAACCTCAATTTGCTTTGAGACTTGGGATTCGAGCGCATTGTGCAGCTTCTTGAGGGAACTGGTGCCCTTCACAACCTCCGGTGTTGTGCGCAGGGAGCTGCCATTGTCGTCGTCAGCGGGGGAGGAGGCTGTCGTGGTTGCAAGGGTGGTCGTCGAGGCCGCATCCGAAGTGGATGGTTGCAGGCCGATCGGAATACCCTCGAACGGGGTATTGAACATCGGAGGCGACGACGTAGTGTGTAATGGAAGAGGAGGAGGATCCGACGAGTCCATTTTGGCCTGTGAGGGCGAGCACCCCTGCTCGTTAGCGGACGCGGCGGGAAAGGGTTAAATCCGACAGCGCGCTCGTAGTCAGACGTGTGGTGGCGGGAAGGGAGAGGAGACAAAAGGCTAGTTGTTTGTCGCGGTGGGTTGTGGGGGAGAAACGAACATTAAGGAGCGATGTGTGAGAGAGAGGAAGAGAGCGCGAGCAAGGGGAGACAGGGAGGCTGGTGGCAGCAGGACAGCAACGGTAACAACGGGAAGCAGGCAAGTGGCTTTGCAGCGCACGGAAGGATGGGGGTAGGGGTAGAGTTGGGCTGGCTGGCTGGCTGGCGCGCGGGACGCCGGGCAAGCAAGCAGAACAAGAGCAATGAGTAATGTTTACTTACAGACGTGGGAGATGTTATGTGAAAGTGTATTGTTTATCTGAGGGAAGCTCTAGCAGTCAGAAGACCTGGAGGGAGGAGGAGGAGTTAGCGGTGGTGGTTGTGGTGGTGGTGGTGGTGGTGGAAGTGATGGTGGTGGTGGTGCTGGAGGAAGGTGGAGGAAGGAGGTGAGACGGTGGTAGTCGACGTTGCCGTTGACGGGGAGGATGAAGAATAGGACGAGGAAGGAGGAAGAAGTATCTTGTAGGCGTGTGACGGGGAAAAAGAAAAGAAGACTTACTGGGGACTTGACAGCGGTGAGTGATCAGATGGCGAAGAGATGTGGAGCAGGCAAGCGGGGTTGTGCGGACTGCAGGCGGTGATGTGGACAAAGAAGGGTGGAAGAGGGGTGGAGGAAGAGGGATGGAGGAAGAGGGATGGGAGAAGATGGATGGAGGAAGAGGGGATGAGAGAAGAGGAAGTAGCGGCGGTGGTTGGTTAGTTGTGGTTGTGAGTGATACTGGCGATGTTGGGGGAGCTGGTCGAGGGTGAATGGCAAACGAGAAGGAGGGAGGGAGGGGGGGGGGGAACGACGAGGTTAAATGGCGGAGGGTAGAGACGAGAGCGGGACAGAGACAGCCAAACCAGCCCTTCGAAAACGACAGATATGCAGTGTGTGTCTCTGACCAGACTCACCGATTTCGATTGCGTCTTCTGTTTTAAGGCCTCTGCATCACCATCACGACTCCGTGACCTCCGCTGTTCTGGGCTGAAATGTAAAATTCGTGGGCTACAACCATGCCCGAGCATGTCCAAAAGTGTAAACAACCATAGCCTGCTTGTCCATCCAGCCAAGGGAGAGCAATTCGCACCGGAATGGCAGATTTATGATCTCATCCGAAGTTAGGAAGCACCGGAGGATGGGGTCCTGTTGGGTAAATGCAGTGGGCAAACACATATGCACGCTGGACGACGATGTTTAGGGTTTCATCACCTCCATGCATCCCAATGTTGACAGCCTTTCGATCCCGGTGATGCCTCGGGCATGAACATCGATCTGCATTCCGGCGGATCCCCAGGTACGAACGTTGCAGGCCACCCGTGCGTGCCATCCTGGTGGCAGTGGGGATGACGCATCTATGGTCGTGTCGGAGAGAGACATAAACACCACAGCTCCACCCACGATCACCAGAAAGACATCGCGGCCATGGAGATCGACTCCGCCAAAGCAACGGGTCCGGCGACGTGACGGCACTGGAAAAAGGTGGCTAAAAGACGTGAGGATCTCGCCCTTCCTGCTGAGCCGTGTAACTCGACAACTTGCCGAATGCCTTGGAGAAATTGTCGCAAAACTCTCCAAAGCACGTTACCAGACTCTACGATTCACTCGCGGACGAATCCGCAGCTAAAAGTTTGTGGCATTGTCGAACTTCGCTGCGGCGGTGACTCGATTCCCGGTGGGATCGGCGCCGCACTCGCCCGCTGCCCGCCCGCTGCTCTACCACAACAAATATACCCAACTCCGTTCCTCTGCGGAGAAGCTCTCTAAATAACAGCCCAGACAATTACATCATTGAGGCCAGTTGCTTAGGGCCGACCTAGAGAAAAGTCCCGGCTGGTGCCCATCGTGACCTCGCACGTAGAGCTACAAACAACATTGGCTGCTTCCACTACCCCGCCGTAGTTCTAAAAACAGCCGACCACCTCTCACCAAACTAGGTGGGATATTCGTACATATCATAGCCCTTCGTCATCAGGTGCGATAGCAACGACGATCGGACGCCGGGCCCCTCAGCTAAACCGAAGAACGACAGGTTTCCTTCCGGTCTCAATTATGTCCCCCTCCGGTCCCAATCATGTCCCCGCTCAGCACATGGGAAGTAAAAAGAGCCCAGTCATATGAATAAGCTCCCCAGTCGAGCTGAACTCCTGCCGCGAAAAGTCGGGCTTGAGAACAGACGTGACCGGTAAACACAAACTTGAACTTGCTTCTATTCCTAACCAAACCATCCTTTCGATTGCGCATGGCGAGACCCTCACATCCCACATGCCAAAACTTTCCTTTACCTAGAGCCTTGTTCACGAAACCAATCTAAAGAGTGCAATGATAAAGTGGTAACCATCGAGAAACCAATGATAACCGGCTTTACTGGATTCGATTGGACATCTGCCCCCATTTACGCCTCTTGTACACCACTGCCCCATCTCAGCACAGAATATACTCCTCTGAGTTGGCAATCCACCCTCTGCGAAGAACGAAACAGGTGAGAACAGCTATTCCGGTGACGCATCACATTTTCTCACTCGACGATTCCTCCATTTTCCCGTCTCACCTTGGTGTAGATGTCTACACGATGAGAAACCGTGTTCAACCGCCCAGCAGTGCACGCTTCTCCTTCGCACGATATCCCATCTTTATCCAGACGAGCGTGTGTTCCCCACGCCCCCACCCGGCCCACCCCGGACCACCCCGGCCATTGGCCCATCCGAGTGAGTGCACATGAACCTGCTCGGCCTTCCTGCGGTCCTTGCAGAGATGTCTGTCGGAAAGCGCAGGCACAGTTCAACACGTCATACGGCCGCGAGAGGTGTGCGCGGGAAATGCCATGCTGATCGCGGCCAGTTCTCACTCGTGACGTCCAAATGCGGAAGGCTCAGCTGGGTGCATGGCATTACATGCTTGCTTGCTTACTCATCATAGGCTGCGTGTTTATGCGCTAGTGAGTACGAGTGCGAGTGGCGGAGGCGGTGGCGCTAGGGTGGCTATGTCACTGTCTGTGTCACTGTGTTACTGTCGATAGATAGGGGTGGGAGGGGAGTCGGCGCAAGCAGTGGAAGTGGAAGTTATATTTGGCTGGTTGTGACGGTGCGGTACGGTGCGGCAGGATGGATGGGAAAAGGGTTTCATATGGTACATAGATCAGTGTCGAACATGGCCAGTCGCGACGAGCGACAGGCGTTGCCTAACCCCTCATCCACCAATATCCCCCAAGCACTTCGCAATGCATTCTCTGTCGCGTCCTATTCAAACCAGCGCTAAATACATGCACATAACTGGTTTCACTATCTCTCTTCCGAGTACGCTACATGCCAGCCTCGTCCCGATTCATGGACCATCACTCGCAGAACCTTCTCCATCTGCTCACTCTCAATATTTGCACAACTTTATCATTGTGGATGTCCCAGCAGGCGGGCAGGATATATGCACTCTCTAACAGGTTAGCCGTCGCTTGATAGAAATACCAAGTAGGGCTCGTGGAAGATGGATCGGGATATCGTAGGCACGAAGAGACAGAATAGGCAACAACGCACCTCACCTGTTTATCCATCCAACCTCGATTTTTCACTTTCCGCACCGAACCCCGACTGAATCCGATGACACTCTGCAACGCTCTTTCTCTCTCGGTGTAGAATTTACTAGAGAAGTCGAGTTGCGGCAGCCAATAGGGTAACGGCTGTCGGCATACATACTCTACAGGGCCATGCATGGCCGCCACGCGGAATTCAATACGAGTTCGAGTTTGAGGCCCCCGGGTAACGAGTGAGTTTCAATTCTCATCACCGCCGTTTAAACTTTCTACCAGGTGGAGGTGGTGGCGGTGGTCCTGCCAAGCTAACGATTGACTCATGCAACACCAAGCGAAAATCTGCATGGTTGCCCCGCCATAGATAAAACTTCGGCCGCCATCACCTCCAAGCTCGACCGTTCCCGCCACACCACGCACGCCCCGCCCCTCCCTCCCTCCCGCAAGCTCAATTCCACCCACCACGAACGACATCAAAGTCACGATCGCGAAAATGGTTGCTACAAAGAAGTGCGGTAAGAACAACCCGTTTCGCTGTAATGATTTCATAAGGCTGACATCCCGCCCCCCAGGTGTCCTCGGCTGCACCGGCTCGGTCGGCCAGCGCTTCATCCTGCTGCTCTCGGCACACCCGTACTTCTCGCTGCACGCGATCGGCGCGTCCTCCCGCAGCGCCGGCAAAGCGTACAAGGACGCCGCGCGGTGGAAGCAATCCGCGGCGATGCCCGCGTCGGTAGCCAACATGGTTGTGAAGGAGTGCAAGTCGTCGGAATTCTTGGACTGCGACATCGTGTTCTCGGGGCTGGATGCGGACGTGGCCGGCGAGATCGAGGCCGACTTCTTGGGCGCCGATCTGGTCGTCTTCTCGAACGCAAAGAATTACCGCCGCGACTTGGTCACCCCCCTCATGGTCCCCCTGGTAAACACGGACCACTTCAGTATCATCCCCCATCAGCAACGGGAGAAGGGGCTCAAGAAGGGGTTCATGGTCACGAATGCGAATTGCTCCACCACTGGCCTCGTCGTCCCGCTCAAGGCCCTGCAGGATCGCTTTGGACCGCTTGAGGCGGTGATCGTGACGACGCTGCAGGCGATCAGCGGCGGTGGTTACCCCGGCGTGCCGAGTATGGATATCCTGGACAATATCGTGCCGTTCATCGGCGGCGAGGAGGAGAAGATCGAGTGGGAGACCGGCAAGATCCTAGGCAGTGTCAACGACGCGGCCACGGCGTTCGTGCACGTGAACGAGACGAAGGTGTCGGCGCAGTGCAACCGTGTGGCGGTCATGGACGGACACACCGAGTGCGTTTCTGTCAAGTTTGGTGGCGGGAAGAAGCCGACTGTTGAGGAGGTCAAGCAGGCGATGCGGGACTACGTGAGTGAGAGCCAGACGCTCGGCTGCCCGAGTGCGCCGAAGATGGCCATCGATGTTAGGGAGGAGGAGGATCGTCCCCAGCCGAGGCTGGACAGGGACACCGAGGGCGGATATGCGGTCGTGGTAGGCAGGATCAGGGAGGACCCCGTCTTCGACATCAAGTTTGTTGCGCTGAGCCACAACACGGTCATCGGTGCGGCTGGAAGCAGCATCCTTAACGCGGAGGTGGCGGTGGTCAAGGGACTGTTATAAGTCGGGCTTGTTGATATTGTAGTTTCTTGTTCGCATCAAAGGGAGCGGGGAACGAAATCAAGGTTAAGAAGCAGAGAATAGAGGACTCGTCAGGTGACTCGGTTTACAAGGTCCGTGGTCCACACGACTCGTGCGCTCGATTCTCAAGTATTACTCGAATTGTCCAACGGTGATCGGAACGTCTAGGCTTCTGGGCATTGGGTCATATTTCTTTTCTATTCGTCAGCCGCCCAGCGAGTGTATTCTCGTCTCTTATCCTATCATATCCTCGGATTCCTCACAAAAACCATGCAAACAATCCGTTCAACAAACTTCCCCCCCCCCTTTGCGGTCATCTCCGCCTCCGTTAGATACTTCCCGAGACCAGCAGCCGCGTCGTACGTCAACTCCAGAGTAACCCGCTTTCAACGCGGTGTCATGTAATTAGTATGAGCTAAACCGCCATCCCGCGTGCAGCGTGAGCTATTATACTAGTACATACATCCCGTTGTCTGAATCGCCGCTGCCGCCTCCTTGGAATACAGACCAACCAAGATATGTATAGGCAGCACTCTGCGGGGTCGTGCTGGGCATGTCGTTCACTTGTATGTAGCCTTGCTTTTTCGCGGTGATTCCTCCTCCTCTGCGGGGTACATTAGCGGTCGCATTTAGCTATATGTAATCGTTCCTTTTCCTCACGTAGCCGTGACAGGCGAATAAACAATTGGTCATAATTCACGAACAAATCACTTTTGATTTTTTGGTCTCTTTTCCCTGCATAAATCGCCACAAAATCCGTCAGCTGTTTCCATGCAGGACTTGCATTTTACTTTTGATTTTTTCGTTCTTTCTGGGATCACCCGCGGTATCTGTCGATTTTCGCGCTGTCTGCACGTATGATACACACATACATCGATGTGTCTGCTCGATAACCCAGGATACACCGGACCCGAGGAATCGCCAAATCTACAACTACCTCCCCTCTCGATAAGACAGACATGGGATGGAGCGAGCACTCTGTATCTCTCGATCTCTCTCCTCAGATATCTATCGCCGATGCCCGATGCTCTGGGTTCTGTTTACTGAGCGCGGAAGCAAGCCTAAGGCGCTATATAGTACTTAGCGACTCCTCCCATGCCTTCGTGTACATACGAATACCCGATTCCACAAGGTGACTAGAGTACCTAGATCATCAAGCCCGTGCCAGTAGCCTCAACCTTAGCACGGTACGGACCCTTGAGGAAGAGGAGCGTTTCGTCCCGTGAACGTCGTGAACCTTGGCGACCTGTAGATCTTGCAGGGGCCTTGGTCCACACTGCTGCTGACTAGAGTAACCAACTCCCTACCGTACTCCACCACTGCCGTCCGTCCTGTGCCGGTCCTGCGCGCGCTGCTGAGACGATGCCTCCTGCCTGTCCTGCGCTCGGCGATATCTATCACCCATGCAGAGACATAACGGCGCCTGGCCGATGTTGGCTCCCGTGTCCACAAGTCCCACTATGCCGGCTTTGCGGGTCCGCCGGCACTCCCCAACGCGATGCAGCGAATGGCAGAGACAGCAGCACTGGCGTGTCAAAGTTAAGTGCCTCTATGTGGTGCTTGGAGCCTGCATAAACTATCGATGGGTAGGTACTTGGGTATCTTATCGGTTCGCATAGGTAGCCCAGCTTGGCGGCTGACCCCAATGCTTTAGAGTATGTCCGTAGAGCACCCACGAGCGCGTATGATGTCAAGGACCCATACGGTACAGGGATCCTCCGGCGATGATCTCGAACTGCAATGGTCACGCTCGACACGGCGAGTTAATTCTTGAAGTCCGAGACATGAAGGCGGGGGAGGAGCTAGCGGCCCCGGGAAAGGAGTGAATCCGCCCTACTAGGGAGAGGGGGGCGGGGAGAGACAATGCTCGTAACGGGCCCCGGGACGAGAAGACATAACTAACCACCTCCCCTCCCCTCCCCACTGTCTGTTTCTTGCTCCCCGAAGGCAGTGTTGTTTTCTCCTAGGACCTCACTACCTCCCTCCTTCTCCTCCTCCATCCCTGCAGCTACAGGACCCTCTTTTTGCCTCTACGGGCTTGCCACTGCTATTCGTCTTTGGTCGCCATGAAGTTCTCCGGACACACACTGGGCGTCCTCCATGCCGACACCGACGAAGTTGCCGGTATGTCTCCAGTGCCCCTATACCCTTACCATGACGCCGCAAGACTGACTCTGCTCCCCTCCTAGGCACCGTGCGACTGCTCGCGGGCAATGTGCAAGAGCCCCTCGGCCTCGAACGGAAACGAACAGCGGACGGGATCATTCTCGAGCCGCAGCCCAACGACAACCCGAATGATCCACTGAACTGGCCGAGTTGGCGGCGAGACTGCGCGCTGCTCGCCCTGGGCTGGCACTGTTTGCTCGGAGGTGGACAGACGCCCGTGCTGGCGGCCGGCTTCAAGGATGTGGCCGAGACGTTCGATGTCACCATCCCGCAGGTGGCGCTGACAACTGGTAAGTGCTGCTGCTGCCGCCGCGTTTACTTTATTTCAGCCTCCGGCGCGTTTGTACTCTATGTACAATACGCCACTCGTCTGCAGGCTCGAGGCGAGAAGCGTGCTGATTGGACCGCGAATATGTAGGACTCTACATGCTTGGGCTGGGAGTGGGATGCGTAATATCTAGCCCTACGGCGCTCATCTTCGGCAAGCGACCTGTGTACCTCGGCGGTGTGGTACTGTTCCTCGCCGCGTCGGTATGGTCGGCCGCATCTCAATCCTATTCGTCGCTGCTCATCGCAAGGATCATAATGGGCATCGGTGTTGCTGTAAGTCTGTGTCGAATGAATCCCGATGACGGATGGATTGGCTGACGGAATTAATTACAGCCTTGCGAGTCTCTGCCGTCGGCTACAATTGCGGAGATCTTCTTCCTCCATGAAAGGGCGTATAGGATAGGAATCTACACGCTGCTGCTTCTGGGTGGAAAGAACTTGGTGCCCTTGGTGAGCGCGGTTATCATTCAGGCGCTGAGTTGGCGGTGGGTATTCTGGATTGTCGCCATCATCGTCGGATTCAATTTTTGGCTATTGTTTCTCTTTGTCCCCGAGACTTTCTGGGACAGAACTCCGCGGCCTAAGTCGCAAGCGGATCACGAGAGCTTTATCCGGCGTGCCAGCTCCTCGCTATTTACGGGAAAGTCCATTAAGAACAAGCGGGAGGCAGAGCTCCAGGCCGCCAACGAGAAGGAGCTGGAGTTTGCGACTACAGCTGCCGCGATATCTCCAGTCGTCGAAGGCAAGAACCCAGACAGCCGCCACGCACAGTTCGCCGAGACGATCGATCGATCAGACGAGAAGTCCGTCGCCGAGAAGGAGAAGGAGGAGGATCTCACGGACGAGGTACTCCCGGTCCGCGAGGTATATGTGCAGCCCCTGGCCAAGACCTCGCGCGAATCCCTCGACCGCTACATCCGCGACGAAGCCCTGAAGCCGAAGGAAAACATCGGCGCCGGACGCGCTGTAGACGAGGACGAGCGTGACAAAGAAGCGCCCCACACCTTCCGCTCCTCCCTCGCGCTCTACAAAGGCCGCCAGACCAACGTCGGGTGGTTCAAACTTGCGTTCCGCCCTTTCGTCCTTTTCGCGTACCCCGCCGTCCTCTGGAGCACCGTCGTCTACTCGCTCTCCATCGGCTGGCTCATCATCCTCTCCGAGTCCGTCGCCGAGATCTACCAGCACCAGCCCTACAACTTCAGCCGTCTCGGCACAGGCCTGATCTACCTCTCCCCGTTCATCGGCGGTATCATCGGCACCGTCGCCGCCGGGAAGATCTCGGATATCATGGTCCGCTTCATGTGTCGCCGCAACGGCGGCATCTACGAGCCCGAGTTCCGTCTCATCATGGGAATTCCGGTTGCGCTGAGCACCGCGATCGGACTCATGGGCTTTGGATGGTCCGCGGAGGAACACAATAGCTGGATCGTTCCTACCATCTTCTTCGGCATCATTAGTTTCGGATGCTCCCTTGGCAGTACTACTGCAATCACGTTCTGCGTGGATAGCTACAGACAGTACGCCGGCGAGGCGCTCGTGACGCTGAATTTCTCGAAGAGTCAGTCCCCACCCCCTCCTCCAAATTTATTACTTCATGCTGACGTAATGAATGTGAATAGACGTCCTCCACGGCTTCGTATTTTCGCTCTTCTTCAACCACTGGCTCGAGGCCGACGGTGCCAGAAAGGTCTTTGTCGCCCTGGGCGCGATACAGATGGGCTGTTTGCTGTTTACGATACCACTTTACATCTACGGAAAGCGGCTGCGGCTGTGGACCATCAGGAAAAATATGATGGGGAGGTTTGAGTAGAGGAGCGTTTGGTGCTGAGGATTCTCGTGGTATGAATACTCTAGAGACGATCGGTCGGTTGTTTTGAGTTGCGAGATGCGGGGGAAATGCGAGGGATGTTGTTGGAGTAGTTGGAGTTGGAGTTGCTTGCATGCATGGTGGCGCGGTTGCGGGAGTGTATGATTTATGATATTGCAGTTGTAGACTGTCTAAGTACTACTTATTTACGTAGATGTATGAATAATATAAGATGAATCCATATTTCGTGTTGATATTATGCGTCTTATTGCCTGTTCCGCTGTCACTGCTACATACTTTCCACTGTCCTTTTGCATACTGCCCTCATTGCCTTCGTGGCCACTTAGCATTGTCCATGGCTTCTCGTCAGAAGCCTCTTTAAGCCTCCAAGCCCCAGCCCAGTCCGGCGATCGCCGCATCCTCTGTCTGAGGCCCGGCTTCCTCGTCTACACGAGCTCATTTCCCTTATAAACAGTCTTCTTTCTCATGTTTCTCGTATCAATACATCAATTAAGTCAAGCTCTTCTCTCAATTCCAACATTTCGCGTCGACTCCACACGAGTGAGATTTCGTATATCCGCTTCATACAACCCTGATATTCGTTTTACTACATAACTCACTCCAAAATACGGTATATAACATCCGCAAACGCCCGGACTCCGCCCCCCAGACTCCTACATAGACTCACAGCAGCTGCGCCTGCTCCTCTTTACTCAGGCCCAGGATATACAGCACATCCTGCATCCACGCGGAGTTGAGATGACTCGGCGCTTCCAGCTGCACCATCGACTTCGCGTTGAACGCGATTCCGAGCCCCGCGATCTCCATCATCTTGAGGTCGTTGGCGCCGTCGCCTACCGCGAAGGTCTGCAAGCGTTAGTAGGGGGATGGGATGGGATGGGATGGGAGGGGGGGAGGGGAGTTGGGGGACGGGGAGAGGGTACCTGGTGCAAAGGAATGCCGTTCTCGTACGCGATCTGTTGGAGTAGTGTGGCTTTGCGCTCGGCGTGCACGATGTCGCCCGTGAGCTCGCCCGTGAGCTCGCGGCCGTCAGGGGAAACGACGAGCTAGGCGGCGTTAGTCTCGATCCCGATGCGAAGGGGAGTGAGACAGGGCTGGGGAGGGGGGTACCTGGTTGGCGTAGGCGTAGTCCAGGCCGAGCTCGTTCTTGATGTAGTTCGCCAGCGGCAGGAACCCGCCGCTCAGCACCGCCAGCTTGTACCCCAGGTTCTTGAGCGCCCTGCAGAGCTCCCTCGCGCCGGGGGTGATGGTGATGACGGGCTTCAGCTGGTCGAAGACGGAGGCGGGGACGCCGCGCAGCAGTGCGCAGCGCTGCTTCAGGGAGTCGGTGAAGTCGATCTCGCCGTTCATAGCGCGCTCCGTGATCCTGCTGACGAGGTCCTCCTTCCCGATGAACCGTGCAATCTCGTCGATGACCTCCTGCTGGATCAGCGTGGAGTCCATATCGAAGACGGCGAGGCGCTTGTGGCGCCGAAACACGTCGTTGCGCTGCAGCACCACCTCGATCCCCCACTTCTTCTCGAACCCCCAGATATCCTCGTGCCGCCGGAGATCCGTCAGGTTGAGCATCTGCGGCAGCGAGAACGCGATCTCGACGACCCTCGGCGCGGCCGACGAGTCGAGCGGGCGATGGTAGGCATGCGATTTCTCATACGGCACCATCAGCTCATCCAGCGTCTGGATGAACTCGAAGATTGCCAGATCTGTGATGTGGCCGTCGGCGGCGGCGGCGGCGTTGGCGCCGTAGAACAGCGTGGCGACGAGCGCGGTCGCGCCGCTGCTGCCGCTGCTGCCGCCGAGTGGCAGCGGCACCGCCACCGACGACGCCAGAGGGATCGTGTACTTAGTGTCTGAGTGCGTGATGCGGATGGTCTTGCCGTCTTCGGTGACGACCACCTCGTCGGCCACCGGCGGCGGCGTCGTCCCCTGGATCTTGTGCAGCTGGCCGTAGAACGCGCTGCTGTTCGCGCGGCGGTTGGCCGGGCGCACGGGCGCGCTGCCAGAGGCAAGGGGTGTGCGGGGCTCGGGGTTCATGGCTGCTGCTGCTGCTACTGCTGCAATGCTGCAATGCGGGCGGCGGTTCGGATTGGGTCGAGAGTGCTGGATCGCCGCGGGATGTGGGACGTGTCTTGTTATAGTGTGGCCGTTGCGCCGGGAAAGCCCGAAAACAGATGAATTAAGTAATCAATGGACACCATGGATACCATGGATCATGGTGTAGATAAGTGTAAGTACCGGTACTTACAACAGCAAAAAGTGGGGTGAGGTCCCTACTGTACAAGGTGCTTCAGTATGCAGTACCACCGCGCGGATTCGAATTTAGCAGTCTCAAAGAGCGGGGTTACGTTAACCTGGTATTGCTTTTGGCATATAGCCTCAATTCTACCGTATCGAAGAATTATACCCAATGTTGTGAAGATATGCTTAGTAACACCGCCAGAAACATTCGCAAATTACTCTCAAATTGGGATTCAAGCGTGAAATTCTACGACTCTTTGCTGCATCATTAAAATCTGTTGATCTATAGACGCTTAAAGATTTGTATGTTGCCATTATCCATTGCCGCCATAGTGACCAGAGATAATCCTCATCGAGTCGGCCTGCTGAGCTTCATTATATTTCACTCTCCTTCTAAAACAGTTGTAATATGTATTTTACGGCAGCTCTCGTATTTTGACAACTCTGTAGTTGGCTTGGGGAAGCAGTACTACCTACCTATGCCTCCGCAATACGTATTTCGTCATGAAGGTATATGAGCATCACAAGTTGTGGTGCTTTCACTATTACACATTCTTGCTGAAAAGTAAGGACACAAAAATATTACGTATTATTTCTGGATACGTATTTTTCAATTGGCAATAACTCGACTTCATGCAAAGCCGTGGTTCTTATACATACTTGTGCAATTCCTCCACCGCTTGTCACCATGGCATGTACACGTTGAGGCCTCACGAACACCGCAATTCTTGGTAACAGCCCTACCTGAAGGATACATCTTCGAGCCAGACTTATTTGGATCAATCTTGAAGCATTTAAACCATAGGTGCGTCAGTAATCCCACCTAGGTACTTTGCAATCGACTACCTACGGAGACATTGCCATTTCTGGTGATTCGCTGTGACGCCGCATGAACCGGTTTACCGGTTAATCACACAAAAAAAGTCACCGCAACGACGAGAAGCAATAACTATGAGCTTCAAGTGCTCATCATCCCTCAGAAAAGTGTTAATAATTTCTCGGATTTCCCGGAAAGCATTGGGTTGTGTTGTCTCGCACCAGCTGTTTAGGCTGCCGGTTCAAGCTTGTGTCCCTAAGCCTTTGTCCCTCATTCGCTGCGCTTGGACGAACGGAGCCACGTACATTCCTCGAGGACTTCAACGGTTTCACGATGAGCGCGCGTCAAGCCTCGCACGCTATTATCAAGGACAGCGGAGGCGAGACATCTATATATTCCCCTCTTCCTCCTACTCCGGCCCAGGAGCTGGGCTTGAAGGATATATTTCGAATTCAGATCCGGCGTTCTATACCCGATTTGTCGGACTGTTACTGCTGGCAGACACCCAACCAGCACTTCAGGACTTCACCCGATACAGATGAGAGGCTGTCAAGCCTCAAGGTGATGGTATCGTTTCACAATGGTATGGCCGTCTCACTGATTGTTCCAGCACCCGACTCGACCTCGATAGGGGCGTGAGGTTCACCAACTCGGTGGATGGGAGGAGGATATATGATATATCAGTATCTCTCTCAACCGTCTCGACAGCTTCGGACGCCATATCCACCAACCAAATTTCCTTGCGAATAATTCCACCGTCACGGGTTTTCCTTTTCACGTCAAGTCACAAGATTTCGCTAACTCCTACGGTACGTCATCCTGCAGCCATGTGTGGCGGATCGATATATAGTCTACTTGGCGCCAGCTTGGGCTTGATTGGCTGGAACTGCAACTCTTTCCCGCAAGCACTCCTTCCTATCACCTTCTCACGTGCTCGATAACTCTTGCTCGTCTCGCAACATCCTCCACATTCACCTTGTCTTCTCATCTGACCCACGAGATAGTAGTGATCCAGAGATGGTCACCAGCGGCGAGGATCCTGAGCGCAATGTACTGCAAGAGCGGGTTCCATCCCCATTCATGCTGGAGACCAGATCCGCAACCGATATCGGCCCACCAACAAACTTAGTTTCGGCAGCTTTCTTGCAGTCTGGCTGGCTAAAGACCAGAAGCTGGGTCGCTACCTATGTCTCCCGAGATTCATCCGAGAGTCGGATCCTACATACGCCGCCTTGAGTTGAAGCGGAAATCAAACTTTCCTTTCCAGGGGCTCCTACGGGAAGTGGGTTTGCTCTTGGGGTGTTGGAGCAAGTTGAAATCCGTATATAGGCCAACCAGAACTCAGCCGCACATACATTGTCGGCGAGCTTTTTGGTCCTGGTGTTCTTGAGGTGGTATATAGTAACTATAGGGAGATTCCCTCTGGAGTCTGGACGTTGCCCGAAAGGCCGCATCACAGCCTCACAGCTGGCACGAGGAGTGGCGTTCTTACATGCCTGGGACATTGTTCATGGAGGCACATTACTGTGGCCCATCCTATACCTACCACCCGACCAGGACGGAATGAAAAGGATATAGATATCCACGATTATTCTGGCTCCCCAGAGTCCGGAGTCGTGGAAGCCCAAACGCCACGAGCACCCCTCCCCCAGCACCGGATTACGATGTACATATCGGGATTCAGCCCAGCACCGCACCTACTACCAGGTATGTACCCATGTTCCCGCATTTTCTGCCCAAAACCAAAGCCAGTGATGTGCACGGTAAAATTACACACACACATACGGACCTCGGAGCGGCGTGCCTGCAACTGTGTGCCTGTTTCACATGCCGCGCTACTGTACTGTAGAGGGGCTTTCAACAACTCCCGATGAATGGATGGTGTGGGTCCGTCGGCCGAATAGTTATACGGACGCTACAAGGTAGGCACTGCACCGTGTCTGAGATTCCAAGTGGCGAGATGTGCTTTTACATACATACTTCATACGCGATCATCGAGTACGCTTGTATGTAGAGTATATAGCAGCTTCCGATGTTACAGCCGGAAGTTGGAGAAGTTGGTGCACGCCATGCTCAGCGTTGAGCCTACAGGCTACTACCATGTAGCGGGAAGATCTGCACTGGCGATGTTGTGCAGATGCTGCCAGATGCTGCCGGCGGCTTGAATTCGATCGTGTGCGCGCTCGCGAGGTCATTCGTGCCTGCTCCACTTTAAGTTGCTATATAAACTGAGCAGTGAGGGGATATTTTGTTTGCTTAAAAGCTGGGGGTGGGGTAGAGTGGAGCGGTTGCTCGAAGAGTCGAAGGAGATCAGAACATTTCATATGTACTGGTCAAGAGACGTTTGAGTTGGAAGAATGTCCGTTAAGCAGCTATCTAGAACGAGTACATCTCATAGAAACTGAATGGCAATTTGAAGCCAGACCTGACGTATTACGAATGTTGGAATTGAGAGAAGAACTTGACTTGATTGATGTATTGATACGAGAAAGATGAGAAAGAAGACTGCTTATAAAGGAAACGAGCTCGTGTAGACGACGAGAAGGCCGGGCCTCAGACAGAGGATGCGACAATAGTCGTCGCCGGACTGGGCTGGGGGCTTGAAGGCTTTCAGCTGACGAGGCTGATTCTGATGAGAAGCCCTAGACAATGCTAAGCAGCCACGAAGGAAATGAGGGCAGTATGCAAAGGACAGTAGAAAGTAGCAGTGACACCGGAACAGGTATTGAGGCGCATAATATCAACAGCGAAAGACACTCCATCACCGAGTGATGCGTCATGTCTGTCTGTCTACGTCTCGCCGAGTCGCCGTCGAGACATTTCATGACTGGCACCTATCACGGTATCACCGGTGGAAATCATGCCAGAAATCAACCGCAAAAAACGAAGGTGATGATGGGAGGGTGTGAGACGGAGCCATGTGCTGTGTGCGTCTACGGTAGGGATCGGGGAAGGAGTGCCCACCGGCCAGTGTTTTGTCCGGCCAGACACCCCATCCCGAGATACGATCGGCAGCTGCTCTGAAAAAGTCATCAGCCGAGAAGCATGGTCACTGCGCGAGTGCGCGGGTGTAGGAGCAGGGTATATATACTACATAGTAGAGTATGCGGCTTCTACTCTATGTAATCGGCTGGGGAACGTGGGATTATACCTATGTAGTAGATGGATATTACCTACCTGGCATATGATGCACGATCCGGAAAAGCGCGCAATCGTGGAATCGTGGAATCGTGCAATCGGATGTTGCAGGTTATATGTATGATATGTAGATGGACCGTATACCAGGTAGGTAGGTACATAGACGAAAGATAGAAATCACATCTTGATTCGGAGTCATCCGTCCTCATATGTATTCCACAACACAACACAGCACCCGCACGCCCCGAGACTAACCAAGTAACCAAGCCCACTAAATTTCCCATGGCGTCGCAGTAACAAGTCGTCAACGTATGTATGTACTCGTACCCTACATGTACATCTACATCTACATCTACATCTACATCTACACCTACACCTACACCTACACCTACACATCATAGATTCGTTTCCATCGTCCCATCGTTCCAGCATCATATCAGGTCTTTGCCCATCCTCCATCCATTCATCCATCAAATCATCAAACCAATCATCCAGCCATCCAAACCAGCCATCAAACCAGCCATCTAGCCATCCAGTGATCCATCCAGCCAACCAACCATCCAACCAGCCATCCAGCCACATCCCCCACTCGACGGCTCTGTGGTTGCGGTACGGTCTAGTCTGGTCCAGTCTATCCGAGATATCCGTCCTCCACCTTATGCCGCCAGTCGCCTTGTCGTCTCGTCGTCCCGGACCAGTCGCTCGCGATGTATGTATGTATAGGTAGGTACTCCATTTCGCCATGGAAGCAGACCGCCCAAACAGAACCCGATTTCCTTCCAAAATCAGCGCCCACTCGTCATCACCATCACCATCGTCAGCGCAGCGCCACGCCGGCGGGCATCATACACTGCAGCGAATTCCCGTTTGTGGCTGTGGCGGCTTTCTTGTCCGACGTGGACGTCGATCTATCTTCCTGGTCAGCCACTTTCTTCAGCTGGCGGAAGATGAATAAGTAAGTACCTCGCCTCCCACGCCGCCGAGTCCTCCCACGACTTCCGTATGCGGCGCCAATGCATCTCGCAATCCGCATAGAGCGCCTTCAGCTCGCGGATGCCCTGTTCGCACTGCCTCTGGACGCTCGCGGGCTCGCTTCCTCCGCCCTTCGCCCCTTCCTTCGCCCCTTCCACGCCCGCAAACCCAGCATCCACCACCACCAGCCGGCGGTAACTCGCCTCCACGCCCTTGACGCGGCCGCGGACCCTCCTAAGCTCCGTATCGATGCCCGCGAGGCGATCATAGACCTCACCCCTCTGTGATCTCGTAAGGCGGCCCAGGATCCTCCGGCGAGTCGAGCGCAGCGCGCGGTTGAGCGTTGCCTCGGCCGCCGCTAGTTGCGTCTGGATACCGGTGCACGAGCTGTGCACCGCCTCTGCCGCGCTGATGTGTGCGCCCACGCTCGGCGGAGATGAGGTGCCAGGCCGGCTGGGTAACGGTGTGCCGGGTGGTGACGGGAAGGATTTGAGGATTTCGGACACCGAGAGCGTGAGTGGGATGTCGCGGCGGAGGTTGGTGCTGCCGTTACGCGTGCGCGTGGTGCCGGCGGGCGTGGAGGACATGGTTTGGTTGCGTGCGTTGAGGACGGGAAGGATGGCAAGGTCGCGTGTGCGAGTATGGATGTGCAAAATATTTCGCTCGCTCGATCGCTCTTATCGGCGTGGCGGGTAATGTATAAGTGTGTAGGTTAACCTAGACTAACAAGCGAGCGGGTGGTGGAGCGGGTAGGGCCAACTTCGTTCGTGTGTCGATCGTGTTCGTGTGTTCGTCCAGTCGGTTGTGAGTTTAGTTGAGTGAGTATGTAGGGGTTGTGGAAGGCGATAATTTTTTCAATTCGACCGGAAATCCCCTTCATATAGTTATCCTCGATATGTATCCTCGGGGCAGCTTTGGTATGTGCCTGGCGGAAGTCGCAGATCATATATGTACACGGCGGAAACCCCCCCCCCCCCCCACCCCCCCCCCCCCACCCTCCCCATAACTCCCTTGCTTCCTAGCTTTTAGCTCGCTCGAACCCTTCCCTTCATACCTGCCAGCTCACCACGAAACCTAGTGGCTGATGGGTACCGTATGTATGTATGTAGGTGAGTATGTCGGTATGTTAGGTAGAGTGTGTATGTACGCTGCAGCCAGGTGATGAGAAAGCCCGGGCGGTCCTCTTTTTTTGTTATCCCTTCACCCTTCGCCCTTCGCCTTGAACCCGCCTTGATCCCGCAGGAAGGGTAGTTAGAACCGGACGAACGTCAACAAAAGCCCGTTGCCAGGGTGACAATGCATGTTCTGGGAGCCGGACGGCCTAAGGTATGCAGTGCGGTGCTCACATATGTCGCACGAACTTTTTCGTCAACAAATCTGCTCGTGCGCGGGGGGTTGACGGAGGGGGACGGAGGTCATGCGGTCGCATCGGGCGTAGAGTATGCAGCTGGCAGCTGCGGAAAAGGAAAAGGAGGCCGCCGCCCCCTCCCCCCCCGCCCCCGCCGCCGTGAAGAATCGAGCAACAAGCAACGAATCACGATGGCATGAATGGAGGGGCATGACAGGAAATAGGTAGATAGACAGGTGCCCAACTAGTAGTGTCATGCCGCGCAGCGCTGCCTGGCATCAGGCGGGGACGAAGAAAAACAAGCATTGCCGGCATCGTGGTCACGAAACACTGCACATTCGAGGTGTGGCCATGGGAGCGGCCAGAGGACGACGGACATGAAGCGAGGGGCTGGTCGTAGTCACGTTGCACGCGTGCCCGGGTGAGCGGTGGATGGTGAACAGTGAACAGTGAACAGTGAACGGGTTGCGAACTCTCGATAGGCACGCAAGTGAGTATCATAGGTGCTCTGCTTAGATGAGTGCCTAGAGCATGCCTTGGCTGCTGACTCGCATGGCAGCAGCAGCAGCAGCGTGACGAATCCCTGGCGGAACGAGAACGCGAAATGTTTATCGAGCACGTTCGTTCGTTTCCCGGGGGGCGTGTCGAGATGAAACGTACGCGTGGAATGTGGATATCTCAGCACTGCATGCACGCACGCGGGTCAGCCGGGTTCAAGGGATGGGAACTGGAGAAGAGCACAAACTCCTGTCCTGCATGCTCTAGATCGTTGCGGCCGCCGTTCGGCATACGACGCAATATGTTGATGTTCTCTCTGTCTCTCTCTCCCTCCCTTTCTCTCTCGCGGCATGCGACGTCGATGGATGGATGGATGGACGATGGCTGGCGGCATGACAGACGGACGGACGAGCGAGTGCTGGTTGTGTGATGCGGACTGTTGTGGCTGTCGAGTACTACTATATATGTGGAATGTAGTCTTCCTACCGTACTGCACTTCGTTCTCGTGTGTGTCGAGTAGGTAGAGTAGGGAGGTAGACACAATGTATCTACGGTATCTGTAGGATCCGGATCGTACCATGAGCTCAAGGAGATGGAACTGTCGGCAGAGGAGAGTAGAGTAGAGTGCCGTAGCATTCGTAAGCGGGGGCCCGAGGCCGCAAGGTGCAGGCCGAAGGAGATTGGCGGGAAGGCATTTCCCGGGAAGATGAATAAGGAGCGAGGCGCAGCCTTGTTGGCGGGGGCCAATCGATAGGTATCACTGCGAACCAGCGTTTCACGATTGATGGGCCGGGAATCAAAGCGTAAGAACGTATGTAGGAACCCCACAGCACAGCGCGTCCGTGCCGCGGCCGCAACGCAAGACCCACGAGCGAATCACGGGTTGCCAACCTGACTCGACTTCTCGGCCGCGGCGGCAAAGGCAGAAATGGAGCTTCAACGTGGCCCACAGAGTTGCGCACTTTTCAGGTTCTATGTATGAGATATGTACTCGTAAACCTACTGTGCTCTCCTGGTTAGTATGACCACTCGTATACCGGTACTGTGCTCTGCTTCCACTCTCCGCCGATAGGTAAATAGCAGGTAGCCTCACGGCACCGGCGCTGGCTGCAGATGCCCGCCAGAAGGGGCTGATTCCGGTGATCCTCCGCTTTCTTTGCTTTCTCTCAATAGCCTTCCGGCGGGCTGTCTGCGGCCATGGCATCCCCTTTGATCGACGACGGCGACATGCGCGAGCCGTGTCTCACGCAGCGGCGGAGTGAGTTGTATTTCTGGACGTGTCGCTGCCGGAGTCGTTGTCACGACTTTCGGTGTTTTACCTTGGTTCAGGAGTCTCCCGAATGTCTCTCCGCACGCCGCCCTGTCCCCAGCATCCTGCCGGCCTTCTGCATCCCCTCATCCCCTCATCCCCCCACCAAGCTGCTCGCCGTAGGTATTGTATTCCCAGCCGCCGCGCTCGCCAAGGGGTGTCATCGTTCGTCAGACGCCTCTTTGGCCTGCAGACTGCCGCCCAGAGTATGTATAGTACCGTAGGCACGAATGTCAGTCCTGTAACTACCCTAGAGTGCAGTGGAAGTGGAAGTGGAGTGGAGTGGAGTGGAGACCGGGAGCTGCATAGTGTGGTGTCCGGTCCGGCCTTTCCTTCGTCGTCCCTTATGTCTGCCTGTCGCATTGCTTCTTTTCCCATATGCCTGCCTGCTGCCTTTGTCTGTCCGCTTGCTGCGTTGCTTCTCTCTCTCCCTTCCCTTCTTCGTCCACCACTCACTCTCGCTACTTGCCCCCCCTTACGCTACATAACTCCGTCCGCCCTTCGCCTCCCCCCCTTCCCCCCTTCCCCCTCCCCCCAGTCGCTCGCTTGAACATCTTCAATTCAATTCTGCTGGCTCTCCGCCTGGTTATATTCCTGTCTTTAGATACTCGTCCCCATTCCTCGTGTCCGTTTTAATAATTCGTCCGCTTCTCTTCCTGCTTCTTTCTGCACCCCCCAATTAGAGCTTCATACCTCCTTCTTTCGTTTCTACACCGACACCGCCCATCAGAGCAACCCCACCTTGCCAACCGTAACGACCAAGGAATACCGGAATCGCCAGCATACGCATTCACCCACATACACCCCCATACTCCACCCTACTTACAGGAACCTACCTCCCTTGTGACGTCGTAGTTGATCCCGCCTATCTACACTTCTGACCTACACACATCCACACTACAAAGAACCACTGCACTACATAATCCGCTCCACGGCTCACCCGACTAGATAGTTGCTCTAGATTCCAATAGTCCTCTTCTCGCCACCCTTAGCAAATCCCCTAGAAATCAGTCAAGCTGGCGGAGTAAGTTGCTTCCCCATGAGCCTCGGAGAAAGAAAAAAATGCATGCTGTCATACCCTTCCGAGTTACAGTTAACTCCAGCTAACCGGGAGCCAACTTTATCTGCTGTTAGATTCTTATATGTCGTTCACTCTGTCCCTCATGGCCAGACCACTACATCCTTCTCGACACCAACGAAACCGTCCCCGCCTCCTCTGAGAACCGCGCAGTCCACGATGAAGCCGAATCCCCGCCCGCTATCCATTACCTCCCCGGGCTTCTCCACACTCACCGCCGACCGACCGCCTCTGAGCAAATCCGCGAGCGACAGCAATCTAAAGTGCGACAGTGACGGCAGCGGGGGCGATGGGGGAAACCACGGAACGGACTTGAATCGCGAGGTTGCGGCGCTCAGCAATAAGCTCATCAGCGCGATCAACCACCAGACGAAATTGGACGATTCGCTATCGGCGACAAAACACGAACTGGACCTCTCCAAGACGCAGATACGACAGCTCGAGAGCGAAACTCAGAGGCTGTTGACTCGACTGAGTGAGGAAAGTCAGCAGCGTGGGCAGGCCGAGAAGGACAAGCGACACATCGAGCTGGAGTTGGAGAATTTGACGACGGCGCTGTTCGATGAGGCCAACAAGGTGGGTTGCCTGATAAAGTGCTGAAGTGGCTTTTTTGTTCTTCTTTTTCTTTTGGCTAACGTTGCGTAAGATGGTCTCTGCGGCGCGGAAAGAACGGGATGCGGTCGATCGCAAGAACGAGCAGCTGCGCGCTCAGCTTGCCGACACCGAGTCGCTACTGACTTCACACCAAGAACAGCTCGCCGAACTCAAAGCGGTAATGCAGCAGATGAGCAAAGAACACGAGGAGAGCGAAGCCGCAATGTCCCCGGGTGTCCCTTCGACACCGAGCATGATCGGGCGGAGCAGCAAGGATGGGATGGGTCGGATATTCGAAGCGCTTCACCTCGTGCCGAACCCGGGGAACCTCGAGGACATGCCCCCGTGCCCACCGACCGCATTGATCAACCTCGTGCACCCGGTGCTGCGACACGACACAGCGTCTTACAAGGAGTTCTGCGAGGTGTTGCACACGCTCAAGCCGAGCGATCTGAGAACGCTCCCCGTGAGTAGGCTATCTGGCGGCTCTTTTGCGTCGATTCAAGTTATGGGTATGGGCGTGGGCTTAACAATGGCATCTCCGGGCCAGGGTGCGTCATCGATAGGTAGCAGCTTGTTTGGACTCAAGAAACGTTCCGATTCGAGCTCGACCACGCACTCTCCCTCGGGCTCTACGAGCAGTACGAACGAATGGCAGGCGACCATCAACGCTCTCAAGGAGACCAAGTTTTTCAAGCGTGTCATGATGGAGGACATCGAGCCGGCCCTGAGACTGGACTGCGCTCCCGGACTCTCGTGGCTCGCCCGACGCAACGTCATGTCGGCCATCACCGACGGAACGCTTGTCATCGATCCCATGCCAACCGCCGCGAATGTTTCAATCTTTGCTTGCTCGCTCTGCGGCGAGAACAAGGCGGACGAACAGCACGCACGCACGCACAGGATGCGGATTAACGAGAATCCGAATGCGCAGCGATACCCCGTGTGCTCGTACTGCACCACTCGCATGAGGAGTGTCTGCGACTTCATGGCTTTCCTGCGCACGCTCAAGGAGGGTTTATGGAAATGCGAGAGCGAAGGAGACATGAAGCACGCATGGGAAGAGAGCGTCAAGCTACGCGAGAAATTATTTTGGGCTCGGATCGGAGGAGGAGTTGTTCCTGTGGGTTTCCACCTTACTCCGGCATGGCTAGGCGAATCACTAATCTCCAGGGGATAGGCATTCATCCGTGAATCCAGGCGGAATTCTCTCAACGGCCAAACCGAAACTCCGCCACGAACACCCATTCTGGCCAACATGCTGGATGACGCAAAGCTGAATATTCCCAAAAAGCGCAACAGCCAGCACAACAATCCGTTCCTCACCCCCGAAAAACAAATCATTCCTGCGGCATCGAATCCGTCGCCACTGGCACTCGATGGCGACAGCGAATCGGTTCTGTTCGATCGTGAAGACGCCGTCGACGCTAGCGAGGAAGTGCACGTGGCAAGCGAAATTGCTAAGGAGCAGCCGGTAGAAGTGCTCGATGTTGAGACGGCGGCGGCGACGGTTGAGGAGACTGCCGAGCTCCCAAGCTACAATCAAGCGGCGACGGAAACCCCCCTGCCGGAATCACCCATCGCTACGCGTCCCAAGAGTGGGGGACCGGCACTCACCGCCATCCGCACGGAATTCGTGGCGACCCCAATCACCTACAGCAAAAGTAGCCCTACGTCGCCGTCGATTCCTGGCGGTTGGTAAATGGGCCCGGGCCCGGACTGCCGAAATTTGAAGATGATGAACACCATGTTTTTTTTGGGTCTTTTTTTTTTTCTCCTTTGTGGTATGCGAATTTTTTTCCCTTTGTCTCCAACCTCCAATCCCCCTTATGCCCTTTTACGGTCCCATATATATATACTTTAGTACTGGGTTCTCTTTCTTGTTTCTATTCCTTTTTCTCTTTTTCTCTTTTTCTCTTTTTCTCTTTTTCTCTTTTTCTCTTTTTCTCTTTTTCTCTTTTTCTCTTTTTCTCTTTTTCTCTTTTTCTCTTTTTCTCTTTTTCTCTTTTTCTCTTCTGTTTTTGCCGAGAACATTTGGCTGTAGTTTTATCATCTTATACGCCTGAGAGCGGTTGGTTGGGGGGACAACTGGGGGGATCTTGTACTATATATATCTTTGCTTGCGGAATTTGTGCTTATACTCCGTGGAAGGAGGAGAAGCATACGGGAAGGGAAGGGAAGGGAAGGGAAGGGAAGGGAAGGGATGGGATGGGGAGGGAAGGGAAGGGATGGGATGGGAAGGGAAGGGAAGGTGAGAGGGGGTGGGGAGGATGGGGGATGGGGGAGGAGGTCGTCGTTGCTTTTTTACCTACTCTACCTATGGCTGGCTGGCTGGATGTCAGAGTTGTTCTGTGTAACTTGGTGCCGCCGCTTCCTCTTGCTACGGACTACGGACTACGGACTATGGACTACAGTGTAACGAATTGAAACGCGGCATGCAAATTATGGACACTACTATACTGGTGGTTCTTCGGGAGGGTGTCGAGATGGCGGGTGGTGAGATGGCGGGTGGTGATATGGCGGATGGTGATGTGTGCGGAAAGCGCGGGTCGAAATTGTGGTTACGAAGGCGAACGATCATGTCGGTTAGTTACTAGTATCTATCGCTTATCAGATCAATCTACCTACCTAGTATGTATCGTATTTGGTCACCCAACGCAAACCAATCCAATCAACCTCCCGGCCCCAGCTCCTCCACAACCGCGCTCAACCTGCCCACCACCACGTCTTTGTACATCGCCACCCATCACCACACGCGATGACCTCGACGGCCCCCGCACCAAAGTCGAAACCATTCTCGCTCTCCCTCGGGGGCTCAAAGCTCCCTCCCTCCTCCGCCGCCACCTCCTCCTCCGCCGCCACCTCCTCCTCCGCCGCCGCCGCCGCTGCAGGGACGAAACGTCGACTCGCGGCCACGTTCGGCAGCGACAGCGACTCCGACTCCGACCATGGCCACAATGGCAAGCACGGGCGCAGCAGCAAAGTCCAGCTCGTCAGCGGCTTTGGCGGCGCACCCGAGCAGGAGAAAGAGAAGGCGGCCCCGATGGTCATACCGAAGCTGGCGAATAGGGACTGGAAGAAGGAGGCGGAGATGAGGCGCGGTGGGCGCAGTGGGAAGAGAAGGGGGGGGGGGAAGGAGTTGTATGTGCCCGAGGAGGCGCTGCATCGTGCTGCTGTGGCGAGGGGGGAGGCGAATGGGGAGGGGGAGGGCGAGGGGAAGGGGGGGGAGAGGGTGGAGGCGAAGGAGGTCGAGAATACGGGCAAGGGGGAGACGTATGGGCTTAAGACTTTTGAGAGGAAGGTTGTTGAGGAGGGGGTGGAGGGAGTGGAGGGTGGTGAGGCGGAGGAGGAGAAGAAGGAGATCACGGAAGACGAGCGCGCGATCGCGGCACTGATGGGCGCGACACCGTCCGGCAGCGACATGGTGATTGCGCACACCTCGGACACGTCTACATGGCGGGACGCCGGCAACGGCGGGGGCGGGGGTGGCAACGAAGACGACGCGTACCGGGCGGACGTAGACTCGCGACCAGACGTGCCGTCGCTGGCGGACTACGCGGCGGTGCCGGTCGAGGAGTTTGGAGCTGCGCTGCTGCGCGGGATGGGGTGGAAGGGCGGCGAGCAGCTGGGCGGGAATCGGGGGAAGGACAGGGACAAGAGTGGCAAGCTGCGCCTGCTGGAGAAGCGCCCGGCGTTCCTCGGCATCGGCGCGAAACCTATGACCGAGATTCCCGAGCTCGGCGCCTGGGGGAAGGGCGATAAGAAGAAGGGAGGCAGGAGGCCCGATACTACGTATATCCCCGTCGTCAAGGTCGATAAGAGGACTGGCAAGGCTGTTGCGGCGTTGGGGGAGGGTGAGGAGAAGGAGAAGGCGGTCGCCGGGAAGCGCGACGAGGAGAGGAGGATTACGGATGGCAGCTCGAGGGGTGCTAAGGACGATGGCAGGGACGCGAGGAGGAGGGAGGAGGACCCGAGGGATTCACGGAGACGCGGCGATGATGAGGGGAGACGGAGACGCAGAGATAGGTCTTCGGATCGCTCCGGGAGAGGTGGCGACCGCGACCGGCATAGGGATAGCGGAAGGGATAGTGGCCGCGACCGGGACCGGGACCGGGACAGTGGCCGAGACCGAGAACGCGACCGGGACCGCGACCGGGACCGCGACCGTGACCGTGATCGCAGACGGGGTGGTGATAGCGATCGCAGACGGCGCAGTAAGGAGCGGGAATCTGGCTCCAGCAGGCGCGATAGACGATAGACGATAGCTAGACGATGTCCTTTCATTTTTTTATTCATGCAATGCGGCGTTTATCCATAGTAAGCCCTCAGACTGTTGGGCTGCCGAGTTCGATGCCGACTTTACGGTGCTTCTTCCTTAAATTAGATGATTTCCTAACTCCGATTCCCGATCACTATCCACTTCGATTGAGTCTTGAGTCCTTCATGTACCGTGCCGTCATCCAGCCCTCAATCTCATCAGGTACATACGGTATATGTATACGTACGGTCGATCTACATACCACCTGCAACATCCGATTGCACGATTGCGCGCTTTGACGGATCGTGCATCATATGCCAGGTAATATCTACTATTACCACGTTCCCCAACCGACTATGTACATATCATAGCAGCCGCATACATACTCTAGGTACTCTGCCCTGCTCCTACATACCTACACTCGCACACTCACGCACTCAAATCTCAAGTCTCAAGCAGTGACCAGGCAGCCGCACTCGCACCATGCCTCTCGGGAGTCGGCTCGGCCGATGGGTTTCCAGAGTACATACATAGCTGCCGCGATACCGAGATTGGAACGGTACCTATGTAGGTATGTATGAGGGATGGATGGTGTTTTGCCGGACAAAACACCGGCCGGCGGCCGAGCACTCTTTTGATTTTCCAGAGATATCGCCGTAGACACAGCGTTCTTTTCGTGCGGTATGATTTCGGTGACAGGTATGTACATAGGTAGGTACCGCTCATGAAGTGTCGCGACGGCAACTGTAGGAAATGTTCTGATCTCCTTCGTTCGAGCAACAGCTCCGCCCACCAGGAAGGCCGCAACAATGCCTCAACCTGCGAAAGGCATGGTAAAGTCACCGTGGAATCACCATAGGTAGGTACGCCGTTATGGCAATTGGGCGCTCAACTAGAGATCTTCCAAGAGACCAGAAGATCTGGCTGGAAGGTGGAAGGTATATACCTATTCCTGGATTTCCTGGATGGGGAAGGTAATCGGAGCGACGGAGCAATGGAGCAATGGAGCAATGGAGCAACGGAGCAATGGAGCGATGGGGCGGGCGGTCGGGACATGGGGGATCACTCGGTTCTCTGGATTGGCGAGCTGGGTGAGAAGTGGGTTGGATGGTTGGGTGAGAAGTGTACGGCAGTGGGATGGGGTAGGATGTGATGAGATGGGGATTGGGGATGGCGATTGTGATGGTGATGGCGAATTCACCACCAGGTTTGTAAATCAATCCGGTGCTCAGAGCGAGCCTGGACTCTGGTTGTGGGCTCTGGAGGCAAAGTTTCACCACCATCACCGCGCTGCGAGAGGCCGCCGCTGTTAGGCTGCGTGCAGGTTACAGGTTTCCTACATACTTACATAGGTACGCGTATGGTATGGTGTGAGAGTGTATGATACGAGAGTGTGCCGGATGGAATGGTATGGAAGCCGAGACACTTGGTGACTTAGGTAGCCGTGTTACTCTCCATACGGGGGGGGGGAGACGGTCTGGCTGGCTGGTTCTTCGGCTCCAGGGCTACCGATATGTGTAAAAGCGAGCTGAGCTGTGGATATCCGTTGGGCCTGTGGGATATGGCCTTTGGCGTGTGGAATAGGTACTGCCTATCCGGCCAATGTTAATGGACGCATGGTTTCATGGTTTCAGCATTCATGGCTATCGAAACCTAAATTTGTGCATAACATGCGAAGGGGCGCACAGCTATTGTGTGTACATAATATGCATTCGATATCCTTCCGGCTCTGCACGGTTGCAGGTTGCCGATTACAGGTTACAGGTTGCAGTTACTGGTAGCAGCGGAGGTGTGCGACCCACAGCATATACGGTGCTACCTATGATACCAGGTAAGTGCCTATGATACATCGTACATACATCGTACATCGTACAGACCTCGCAAGCTTCCTGCTCCTCTCAGCTCTGTGCGAGTACTATACATACCTCGGTGGCCGAGGGCCTGCGCAAGGACCTGCGCAATGAAGGACGGTCGGTGGACCTGCAACATGGCTGTTCCATGGTTTTTTTACCGCGCCAATGCAACGTCCCGGTACTCGAGGAGACCCGAGATGGCCATACCGATGGGGATTCGACGGAGCTGAACGTCTGAAGCGAGAATAATGTCACTTTCCCCATCGGTTCCGATGCTCGCGAGTAACGGTATACCGAGGACGGTCCCTCGTGACGAGTGACCGGTGGATGTTGGATGGAGGAGGGAGAACCGAGGATGCTGGAAGGACGCCGTCGGTGGGACGATTATCGTCGGACGGCGGCGGATGTCCATCGCGAGGAGAAGCCTACCTGGTTTGACAGACGTTCCCACGAGTTGTATAAAGACCCCCTCGGCATCTGCGTACCAATGTCCTTCTCCAGCAGCCTCTCCGCACCCTCACCGTGCAGCCCTTTGTGCCCAGCCCCACCGTCCACACTTCCGCTTCCATCCCCAGCTTCAATATGAAAGCCACGATCTTCACCATCGTCCCACTCCTCTTCCTGTTCGTCGGCAGCGTCCTCGCCTCGCCGGTGGCCGTCTCCACGGCCGACGAGCAGGACCTGGCCGCACGGCAGTTTATCGAGCTCGACTTGATCGTGAACGTCCTGTATTCCGATGTCCAGGTCACGAATAAGTTTTACAACACCACCTGCGCTGAGAAGTGCAGTCCTGTCTACGTGGTGAGTCTCCCCTCCTCCCCCTCCCCACTCCTTCCCAGCCAGCCTTGGAGCCTTGAAGCGGCGGGGAACTGATGGGAGATATAGGTGGAATGGGCGAAAAAAGTCAGCTTCCACTGCTACGACGCAGTCGCCAAGTGCAAGCAGCTGCCGTCGGGCTACCGGTTCCTAAACCTGGGGTTGATCGTGAAGCTGGTCGTTGCGCTGCTGGTCGAGATTCAGTACACGCTGAAGTTCTTGCTGGCTGGGTGTGGGATCCGTACGTGCCTGACCTACCTGCCTACCTCGAGATAGATGGCATAGCATGCTTACGTACAACTAGCCTTCAACATCGGCGTCCTCGGGCTCGTCGGAAACCTGATCATTGCGCTGAACCTGCTGCTCAAAACGCTCGCTCGCTTCGTGTTCGGCCTGCTGCCGGCGATTTTGGTCCTGCTGCTGAAAATCCTCGGCGGTGGTGGCGGGTGCGGGATTTGTGAATTGGGGTTGAAGTTCTGGTTGTAGCCGAGGATTAGTCCAAGAGACGGTGGATTGGCAATGCAACAAGCATGGAGGTTTCCTTTGTCTGCGGGCCTGCGGCATGCTTGGGACAATGTTTAACGTTAATTCGGCCCGACTGCCTACCTGTTCATTGTCCTTGCTTGTCATGCCATATTACTGTTAGCCGATCGTATGTACTGCTTCCGCCCAAATATATGCTATGACTTTCGCTTCACTGGTGTCCGTGTCAGTGGTTCTGCAGCAGCGGGCGCGATGTTCGGACGCGCATGCCCGCCTCTAGTTTTCTGCACAAGATCCCCAGCAAACCACTGCATGCAGATCCGGAGGCGACGACGGACGTTCACTGTTCAGGCTATGATATGGAGCTTTGCATGCACCGCGAATTGCTTCGAGTTACACCCTCCCCCACCACAGCCGCGGACCAATAATTATCTCGTACATCGCCCACCACCACCCCCACAGCTCCAAAAGAAAACATTGCATATCATCTTCATATAGAGCACTTACTGACATCCTTCTTGCCTATCGATCAGCCCATGCGGCCATGCCCCATCACATCAGGCACGCAATCTGGCTGCTCTGGGCATCCAATCAGCCGGCAAACGCAAAAATCTCTGCGTCACGTGAAATGAGGTGATCTAGTGTGCAGTTCGCAAGCTGCACTCGGGATTCCCCACAATCGCAATATAAACCGCGGAGGACTTGGAGGGGGGGGGGCATATCTAGCATAGTTGCGTCGGCTGGTCGGAAAGGAAACAAATAGAAACGACTGGTTGGGTGGTTTTCTTCTTCTTCGCTTGCCTTCACTCAATCTCATCTCTTCATCTTTCTTCTCATCCGATTTTGATCAATTTTTGTCAATTGTTTAAGCAAAGATGTCCTTCGCCAGGTATGTTTTCTTGGCTCACTTCCCCCCTCCCCCTCCCCGCCATTGAGTGGTCAATCGACCATGACGGAGTGGATGGATGGAATGCATTGGTGCTGAGTTTTCCTTCCCCAACAGTTTCCTCTCCTCTCCCACCGTCCGGATCGTCCTCCCACCGCCCGCTCACTCGGACTCCGAAGAGCGTCTCTACACCGTGCACCGCAGCGTGCTGAAGGCGCACACAAACCTGCTCTCCAACACCAAGCCGCGGGAAACACTATGTGTCCTTCCCAACACCACCTCAGCCATCGCCTTCGAGGGCGTCCTTGAGTACCTCTACACGGGCACCTACAACCTCCCGGATGAGCACGAAGTGCTCGAGACCGTAGAGAACACCAAGCCCTCACCCGTGGTGCAAGCGGCCATGCTCGGCGCCATAGGGGTCTGGGCCAAGCCCGCCGCAGTCCACGACGACAAATCGCAGCGCAACATCTCCAGCTACTCGAGCACCTTGTTCCCGACGCTGCGGAACGCCTACGACGCGCCGACCGTGCTAGCCGTGCAGCCGTCGCTGCTGCCGTCGCCGCCGCCCTCGCCCACATTCGCCTCGCACGCCCCGGTCCTCAAGAAGAAGCAGGTAGTGATCGTCAAGACGTCGACGCCGGCCAGCCGGCTCTCCGCGCACCTCGACATCTACGCGCTGTCGCGGCGCTACGGAGTCCGCGCCCTCGCCGACATCGCCCTCCACAATATCAAGACGGAGGTCGTCGCCACGCCGGCGATCCTGCATGAGCTGGTGCGCGTCGTCTATGGCTCCAAGCAGAAGCATGACGACCTGCGCGCGTTCGTCGTCGGCATCGTGCAGGACCATTGGGAGGCGCTGAAGGGAGAGAATGTCTTCGCCGCGCTGCTGAAGGAGGGCGGTGAGTTCGTTGTTGATGTTTTCTCGAGAGTGAAGAGCTTCTAAGACATCCGGTGGTGGCAAGAGTTGGGAAATGGTGTCGGTGTCGGTGTTGCGCCGGGCGTTGGTTTGGATTATTGCGCGTTTACTTGGATGGGTTTGGTTTTGGAGGGCGCGGTGGATAAGGATTTGGATATGGACACGGATATGGATATGGATATGGATGCAGAATTCGGTCGGGGTTTGGAATAGCGACTGAGGGATTGATACCTGGGGTATGGGATGGCTATGAATATGGATATGGACTGTATCGATATCTCGTAGCAAATGTGCAGTTTTTTGATTCACACCGTCAGCATGGTTAATTCCCAAAGCGGATATTCTTGCTGAATCACCGTGGCGATGATCTGCAACAGGCCCTGCTAGCTGTCAGCCCGTAACACACGGGCTGATCGATAAGGACCCTCTCTGTAGATAACCGTGCGCGCGGGCGAAATCGCGTCATCCAGCCCACTAGATAGGTAGTAGACACCTCGCACTCCTCCTCCACCGTACCTGTACACCCACGCGCTACCCCGCGCCGACCAACGCAACCACCGCCACCACGAATACCAGAAGCATAAACATGTCAGCCCTCGGCGAGGGCAGCAGCAGCCGCAGTAGTAGTCACGATCGTCCCCCACCGCTCGCAGATACCCGTCGGCCGCGAAGATGGAGCCTTAGTAAGTACGCCTCCACCACCGCCGCGCTCTCGAAGAGGATTTCCGCTAACGGAAGTTGACAGTCCCCACCGGCTCCGCCGCAAGAAGGCGCTTCGGAATGCTCCTGCTCGGCCTCGTGGTGTTCCTGTGGGTGTCGAGTAACTTCTTGACTTATGTGCGTTTCCCTCAATACGGCGGGGTGCCGGGTGCCGGGTGCTGAGTGAGAAGGCTGATCGTGTGCACAGGCAATATTTTCGGACGATACTTACTCAAAGCCGTATTTCGTCACATACCTGAACACGTCCATGTTCTGTTTGTATCTCATCCCGTCCGGGGTACGGTGGTATCGGGCGAGGCGGCGGGGAGGCGGAGAGGTGCAGGCGGGTGTGAGGGAAGCGCTGCTTGCTGCGGAGGACAGGGAGGAGGAGGGGGAGGAGGGTGCTGGGAGAGCCGGGAAGCCCGCCGTCGTGGAGGGCAGGCTGAATACCCGGGAGACGATGCAGCTCAGCGCCGAGTTCTGTCTCGTCTGGTTCTTCGTCTGTCGCCCGTTCTCCTTGTGTGTGTCGGGGACGCACAGCTAACGGTCCCAGGCAAACTACTTCAACTCCTACTGCCTGAAATTCACCTCCGTCCCCTCAGCAACGATCCTCTCCAGTACCTCGGCGATGTTCACGCTCCTCCTCGGCAGCCTCCTGCAGATCGAGCGCTTCACGCCGACCAAGCTCGTCAGCGTCATCGTCTCCCTCGTCGGCATCAGCCTGATCGCCACAACCGACCTGATCCCCACCTCCAACACGACCACGCAGCGCTCCACACTCGAAATTTTCCTTGGCGACTTCATGGCGCTCCTCTCCGCTTTGGCGTACGCGACGTACATCACGCTCCTCAAAGCGCGCGTCGGACACGAGTCCCGCATCGACATGCAGCAATTCTTCGGTTTCGTGGGGCTGATCAACGTGCTATTCCTGTGGCCGGGGCTCGTTCTCTTCCACTACCTTGGCGGGGAGCCATTCTCGCTGCCGCCGCATGGCCGCGTCTGGGCTATCGTCCTCGTCAACGCCACTATCACCCTGGTCTCGGATTATTGCTGGGCCTATGCTATGCTGCTCACGTCCCCGCTGCTGGTTACCGTGGGTCTGAGTCTCACGATCCCGCTGGCACTGCTGGGACAGATGCTGCTAATGGGCACGGTCGCGGGGGTCTGGTATTGGGCGGGCGCCGCGTGCGTGTTTGTCGCTTTTTGGATGCTGAATCGTGAGCAAGATTAGGGGGGAGGGAGGGGGGATACCAGGGTTTGGGGTTTGCTTATGTTTGTTTATGTAGTAGAGCGGCGAATGGATGAGGCGATGATTTATGGAACAGGCTGGGATTTATGCGTGCTCGTGATGGTGTCTGCCTGAGAAGTTGGAATATTGCTTCGTGAAGAAGGCTGGTGGATGTAATGTTGAGAACTCCAAACTCTCGACACTTGAAGAAACGTACTTGTGTCGTTGTATTAGTTCCCATACTCATATGACTATCATCTGCTTCTTCATCGATTGCATGCCGGAGCCCCACAGTCTACAGCTAGCCAGATAGCAATATAACACTGGTACGCAACAATTTCGCCGTATTCACCGCCATCCACCGCCGAGCATATCGGAGGATGGCGAGTGACCACGCATGCGTCAGTTGATCACGCGATATCACGTCGCTCTGCCTTCCTTCTCGGCCCATCCTTCTCGGCCGAACGAACGGAAGAACGAGCGGCAGAACCGGGTTCGCGGATGTCCGCGGATGCCCACGGATGCCCGCCGGGGTGAATTGCGGCGTATACATGCCAGATACATACATTAGGTATGATGAAGGTACCTCACGAGTCCGCGCTCGAGCCCGCCCCCCCGCCGCCCGCCCCCAGTTCGCTGCGACTCGACTCGGCCCGGCCCGGCTCGGAAGGCACCAACTCATTGACTCACCGTGTACTGGTACATACAATACGATGTACACCTACGCTACTCTGGTCTACACTACACACGCACGTATGGTACATCGTAGGGTACGCACATGACGCTTGACCACGGATCGCGATCGGCCCGAGTTCCTCGATGTCTTCTCCTCCCTCCCTCCCCCCCCCTCCCCCCCCAGCCTCGTCTCCTAGTTGCGGGGCGGGGGTCTGCTCGCCGCAGAGCGAGCCAGCCGCGCGCGGATAGGTGGCGTCGGATTCGATCCGCACTGGCTGTTGCTAAAAATACGCGGTGCTACCTATAAGTTGTAACCTAAGGCTACCACTAACTACAGTGTACACCAGCTAGGTACCAGTAACACCACCCACCCACCCAGATCACAGATCACAGATCAACGGGACTCTGGGTGGGTATATGATCGGCTCGGTATTGGATGGTAGGGAGTATGTAGGGAGTGTGTATACAGTGGGGGGTGGGGGTTGTTTTGCGTTCGTTTCTTTGTTTACATATCATATCTGATTCATATGTGCTTTGGGATTCGGGGTTGGGGGTTTCGCGGGATGACTGGACGGGCCACGGGCATGAGTGATTTGATTCGGCCGTCGGGCCATCGCCGCCATCAAAAACATCGAAGCCATCGAAATATCGAAACCGTGGAGCCATCGAAACCATCGGCATCGAAACCATCAGCCATCAGCCATCGAAGCCAATGGCCACAGGTAGAGTAGGCAGCACGGGAGTCGGTGATCAGTCGCCTGAGGCATCAGGCTCACGGTACACATACCTACGGTACGGGTCGGTGAGCGATTTTGCACCCCCATCCCATCCCTTCTTGTGCGCCGGAAGGAGCCATAGGGATTCTAAGTACAGTGCGTTTCGACATGAGTCAGCTCCAGCTTCCAGCTCCAGCCTTGCTTGAAAAAGAAAGAGATCTTCCTGTTTTATTTCGCATGCAGCCTATCTAGACTATGGCGAATCAGCCTTGCTGGACTGGACTGGAGGGGAGACGGTGGCGGTGACGGACGGTGGCGGTGACATCTCATGTTTCGGCCGTCGGTTCGGTAACTAACTGCTCTATGTATGGCATGGTAGGGAAGTGGGCAGAGCAGAACAAGGGAGGTTAGGCAACTTGGGCAGCATGGACAACTTGGGCGACTTGGGCGGGGTTGACCGTTGGGCGCTTGTAAATTGTAGGTTGCGGGTTGTGCAGCGCATGGGGTAAGTACAGCCCTTAGTTCCAACTTTCGGCTGCTATGTATGCTGTGTATATTTATGCGATGTGTGCGATGTGGCTTGACGATTCAGGATTCAGCATTCAGGAATGGGGGTGAGGGAGGCGTTTCTTTGTTTATACCCCGAGGAGGAGCCTGGTGCCTGGAGAAGGAGGTGGGCGAGGGTGAGCACGGAATGAGGATTCCTCGTCGGCTTTACATAACTACAGAACTAACGGTAGAGGGCCTAGATAAACAAGGCGGCCAATCCCGCGCCCCAGCGTCCCGCCGAGTTTCAACATTCACGGAGTGGCTGGCTGGCTATGTGGCTGGTTGGAAGAATGGCCGGGGTACCAGTACCAGTACTCTACATACATCCATTGGGGGATTGGTCGGCCGGATCATGATGATGATGATGATGCTGCTGATGATGATGGATGATGGATGATGCGAGGTGATGTGTCTTCTCCTCTTTCCTCTCCTGTCCTCTCTCCTGTCCTCTCCTCTTCTCTCCTCTTGAATGTTCTCCAGGTTGGGCGAGGTTGGGCGAGCGATGAGGGACAGCACAACAGCACAGCAACAGCGCGATGGGTTGGGTGATCGATTGCAAGTCGCAAGTCGCAAGTGCAAACGACACTTTCATCACTTTCATCATTTTTATCAGTTGTCCACCGCTCTTTTCGATGCGCGGCGAGGCGAGGGGGAGGGGGAGGGGGAGGGGAAGATGGTGAAGTGGGGAGGCGCGCGCGGGGGGGAACTGGCGATCTCCACCCGCGCCGCCGCGCCCCGCCTTGCAGATGGGTACGGTGGGATGTTCCCTGTCTTGGTTCTTGGTTCTTGGTACATACACGGAAAGGGCATTTGCAAACGGAGGAGCCGAGCCGAGTTTTTTGCTTGAGGAAGGCAGGAAATATGTAGATATTGTTTGCGGCGATGAGCATGCCAGGCTTTGAGTCTGAGTATGAGTCTCATCATTCATGGGTTTGCAACGCTGCTGCTGATGCTGGTGCTGATGCCGATGACGATGCTGCCGCCGCTGATACATAGAGTACCTACTGCTGATGCTCCCTGCAATAACGCATGTTAACGACATGAAGACCAGTAGATTGCACACATGCGTCGAGGCATGTACAGTACATAGAGTACTTTGTAAAACTTTGTACAGCCTTTGCCTCGAGTTCGACAAAGCGTCTTTAATACAGTACGGTAAGTAATGGCTGGGGAATGTTCGCCTTGCTCTGCTCACGTTAGAGTGGAGTAGGTAGGTTACCTACGCCCCCCACGTACTTCACATAACGAATGGATAAACAAATTACAAGTCAATTCCAATGGTCCATTCTCAAGCCAGCCAGCCAATCGGCGGCAGTGAAAGAAAGATGTTTGATACGCTCCCCCACCCCGGCCCCAAACCATGGAAAAAATGTAAACAAATTTGATCCTCGTTCCTCTGGGATGCGGCTGATTGTCTAATAAACGGTCATCACTCGCTGATTGAACGAACCACCAGCCACACAAAAATCAAAACATCCAATCCTCAGCCGGCCAATTTTCTAGTACCGGTATTGTCCCAGCAGGCTGCAGAAACCTCAGCGCTGAGCGACGACCCGTGGGCCGTCCTTACCAAAAATAAATCAAACGGAATCTTTAATCAACAGGAGCCTGGAGGTAGATATTAAAAGCTTCAGGGTATGTACTATGTATGGCCCATGGGGGCATTAAAGTGGCTAATGGGGGTTCAAGTTGCCGACCCAGACGGCCGGGAAAGTGGGTGGCTGATACGGCTGTGGCGCTACTACACCGCTACTATACCGCTACTATACCGCTACATACGGGATGACTTCAAACAGTGTCCAGATGCAAGAATACTTACTATGAACTGTGAAACCGGAATACCGGAATATGCCCATGGCTTGGTAGAGTAGGTATTCGGCCAGTTCCCGTATCTGACTCCCGAGGTGTGGGTATAACCCCGAGGCGGGCCGGCAGCACGCTCTGACAGTGTGGCTTGCCTTCGTTGATGGTATGCATAAAACCTCAGAGTCTCAGACGGCAAACTTCAGGTATGTATCCAATGCCTCCGGACTCCTGGCAACGCTTGATTCAATCCTACTGGTAGCCGCAAGTGGGTGCATTCCCACTGTATATTAGGTAGTTTCCCGCTTGCATGACTGCCGTTAAAGTACATAAGGTACTTCTCCAGTACATAGCCGCTCGAGTAACGCTCGAGTAACCGCTCGAGTACCTAACCGCGAGGATACCGGTACCGGCACCGGTACTGTCATTGAACACTGCATGCCAATTTCTTTTCCTCGACGCGCGGGAAATGACTTTGTTGAGTCTTGGCTCCATCGACAAGTCCGCTGATTCCAAATTCCAACGATGTCTTCTTGAGTCCGAGTAACAAATCCTCGTCCACCTGCCAGCCGAATAACCATGGTGGTGGAGAATTAGATACCGGTATGACACGACCGGGGCTCAGGCAGACGTGAAACGCCTCTGTCACGTCACAGGAAAGATATGTAACTGAGTGGACTCACCTTACCGCAACGTCGAAGTCGTTGTCACGTGGACTCGTGAGCGGCTAAGCCCCAAGCCGAGCCGAGCGCCACAGTTGGATGGAGCCTGGAGCGACTGCGAGACAAAGGCTGAATGCTGACGTTGGTTACGTTGGTTACGTTGGTTGAAAACAAAAACAACATTGCTCGAGCTCACTCCGAAGTTCGAGCTTCTTGCTTGCTTGCTTGCTCGCGCGCACCATATAACCTAATACCGGTATGTATGGTAGGCTACCTGGACTCGTGAGTCGTTCTCGATAACCCTCCAGTGTCCACTTCCCAGCACTGCCCACCAAAGCAAGTCTTTAACCCTGCTATGTATAGTACTCTATTCACATAGGTAGTCGTATGCATACCATAAGTAAGAAGTCTCCACCAGTGAGAAGGTTGATATCCGAACAGTGAGCCTGTGTTCGCCGGCGAAAGGCTGGGAAAGGCCGCGAAACATGAACGATGTGAGGATCCGGTAACCCCAGCAACTGTATAGTAAAGGAAGCTGGGTTCTCCCTCCCTCCCTCATTAATAGAGTACTGAGTACTGAGTACCGAGAACTGGGGGCTTTACCCCCACCTCAGCGCTCCAGTTGGAACTTGGTTGTTGAACCTTCCTTCCTTCCTTCCCTCCTTCCTTCCGTACTATGCATGGGCAAGTACTGCCCTGACATGACCTGGCTGGGGCTAAAATGTATGTGTCATCGGGGAGAGTCGAGACGCTGTCCACTGTCCAGATATTTTTGCATCGGCTTCCGCCGGGTTCGAACTTTGAAAGGTACTTCAAGGTACTCCAAGGTAAGCATAACCTATGCTTACCTACATACTTCCCTCGCGAGTCGTAATTCTTGTCCCCGGAGTTTCCAGAGTTCCGTGCGTGCGTGCGTGAATCTGTCGCGGCCTATGCTATGCTACCTATGCTACCGTAGGTGCTAACCTCATGGATGACAACGGAGCCTCTTGGTTGCGTTTGCGAGTGATATCTAAGGCCCGCTGAATCGGCCTGCGGATCGGCCTGTGGATTGGGCCTTTGGATAAGAGAAGAGAAGCGGCGAGCGGTTGCGCCGGAGCTCCACGCAATGGATCCGAAGTGAAGTGCTTGCCAGTGGAGAGGAGAGAAGACAACGTCTTGAAGCAGCCGGAGTAATTGCTGCTGGGACAAACTTATTTGCCGCCATGATGAGGAGGTGGTTCTCGTGGATTCCGAGAGGAGGTCTTCAAGATTCTACTGTACATATAGTCAGTTACAATTATAGGTAATGCAACGTCAAACAGATTCACCTTGAGGCTTGCCGTCGTCCGGTGCTAACAAGTAGGCTCTGTGTACTCGCGTACTCCCGTTTGTCGCTATAGTAGTCCGTGGTGTCTCCAATTTCCATCGATCGGACGGTGGGGCTGTGAGGCCGTGGAGCTGTGGGCTGCAGTGTGTACGCAACGAAGTCTGTCTTTCACATACCTCATATATAGCTCCATCTCACAAGCCTATGCAGAAGCTAGGTGACCTTCAAGCCGACAAGCCGCCAAGTCTTCCCCACGTGCAACAGTGCAATCGTCCGCTCACGCCAACTCACGCCAACGGGCGTCGAGAAGGTCCGAGCCTCTCCACTTCTACCCTACTTTAGTCTCCGTGTGCGAAAGCCACACCAAGCCAGCCCTGAGCCGATCGGTACTCTACTCCCTTATCCCAGCGGAGTAGCAATGTTCGATATCGCCAAAAGCGCCGCTGAACAATCGAACAAATAAAAAGAAACTCCATACTGTATATCCGGAGTATGCTCTAATCTCCGGGAATTTATCTGAGCGTCTGCATACTCTACATCCATAAGTACATAAGCCGAAAGCCGACCGACCATTGCTGATTTCTAGCCAGCGAGCCGAGGGCTGAGTCAGACCGATCCGTATCCGTTTCTTGCTCGTATTGTTCTCTGGGTGGAGATGCCTGATGGACGGCTGAGGGATTCGAGAGTCGAGATATTACATACACAGGAGGGTATTGCTTCGATACGAAGGGATAGGATAGGTAGAGTGGCTGGCGATATGTAGATGCGGGGCAGGCGGGGGAGTCACGGAGCATGCATGTATGATGTACATAGAGCATGAATCATAATATCCAAACGGCTCGGGGGAGACCTTCGGAATGCGCGGTACAGTGTATATAGGTAGACACATATAGTAGATGAAGGCTGGCAGTTGGCTTTGTCTTGTCTTGTCTTGTCTAGAACTCGCACGGCGATACTCGATATTGCGAGGGATGAGGTCGTTGGGTCGGGGGATATCGACATCTCGAGATACGAAGTATGTATTGTACTCTATGTACTCTATGTACACACTGGCCGGTGACCTGCGGCGGGCAATCTACTACGGTACATACTGCTATATAACTGGCACGGAGGGAGGACGGCCTGGACGGGGCCGAGTCTTTAGACCTATGGTTCGAACACGCGCAGAGACACTCGGCCGCCAGAGGCAGGAAGAAACGAAGGAGGAGAGGAGGAGCAGAGGAGGAGGAGGGGCTCCGGCCGTCTACGCCCATTTAGACGCTTGCAGCCGTGTGCCGAAGAAGCGGTCCCACCGTCCCACCGACCCAGCAGAGCGAGCACGAATAGCAATTCGACCTCCTCCATTCTGCCCGACCCCACAGCCTCCCTCCTCCCTCTCCGTCCGCCAACCGCCGATTCGAACACCGGCAGAACCACGCTGCTGCTGCCTGCGCAGCAGTAACAACAACAACCCAAGTAAGCTGGCTTTGCGACTCTTCGTAACTGACCTGGCCTGACCTGGCTGGCTTGGCTGCTTGGCTGAGTGTCCGTCGTCTGGTGTCGTCGTTGCGCCTCTTTGCCCCCCCTCCTCCAAAACCGCCCACAAGCCCCCCGTAGTTACCATCCCACACCGTACCACACGCAAACCCTTCCCGTCGCAGAGTCCGGAAAGTGTCCGCCGCCTGCCGCCTGCCCGATTCCCGGCCTCGCTGGAAGAAGTAGATATAGCCTAGAAGCAGAAATAGAAGTAGATGTAGAAGTGCGACCAGAAGCTGAAGCTGAAGCCGAAGCAGAAGCACACGCAGACCCAGAACGAGATCACCAAGCCGGATCACTCTCGTACTCTCGTAAATACTCAACTATCTCCACATCCTTCCTGATCTCCGCCCTTCTCCGCTTCCCCCTCCGTCTGGAGACTCTTCTGCTCCCACTTGACTGTCCTTCCTCCCTCACCGACTTCCTCCTCTTTCTCCGCCTCTCCGCCCGCTTCGACCCCACTACTTCTGCTCCCACTACATACCCGCCCTAGCCAACCACAGCAGTAACAACAACACACCTTGCTCCTACGTAGTTCTCCCGACACAACCCTCCCTCAACCCACCGCCAGCTAACAGCAACCTCCACCCCCCCCCCCCCCCCCCCCCTAGTAAGTCGACTCTACCGAGAACCACGTCCTCTAACTCCCCTTTTCTATTCACTCGACTCTACTCTGCTCTACTCAACTCTCCTTCCCACCCCTCCCCCCTCCCACTCCCTCCCTCCTCCTCCTCCAACCCTCAACTACTACACTACCACTCCTACCCTTCCCTCGGATCGGTTACGAACGCCTCATCTCATCATTTCTCCGTCAACCCACACAGATCCTCCTTCGCGAGCAAAAAAAAACCCCTCCCGCCACCTCCCTCGGTCGCGTTTCTCCGACCCTCTACCGTGCTCCGTCCGCGCCATTATTCTCTCCCTTCACCACCGTTGGGTTTAGCTCCTCGCACACCACGCACACACATACAAACACCCACAGCGATCGACACGATCGAATTCCGGATCTCAACAACATCCGGTACGTCAACCAAGATTTTATCCTCCCTTCGCGCATTTCCCCTCCCGTCCCTTCCTCTCCTATTGCGAGCGAGGGGCTGCGGGATAGAGGGACGGAGATACAGGAGCTCCGTCCCCGCTGTGGCTTTGTCGCCCGTGAAGCACCGCTGTCTTCGACACATGTCAAGACGGGGACGACACGGAGTCAGAGGGTCACAGGCGGGAGGAGGTGCGAGGGGGCTGAAGCAAGCCTTCTGCCGAGTGCGTGTACTACGTGCTGCGGCCCTGTTCGTCAGGCATCCGAGAATTGGCACCTCCCATCGCCAGGCATCCTCCACACCTGATCCTTCTCCTGTTCCTCATCTTCGTCTTCCTTCTCCCTACCCCCCAGCGCCCGTGAACACAAACTCTGACCCGCAAGCGAGCTTTGATACCCCATCACACGCTTGTTCTCGGTTTCGGTTTCCCAACCTTTTTCTCTCGTGCTTGCCTCTCTTTCAAGAACATAACCACTTCTCAACGAGCTCGAGAACACAGAAGCTGATCCCGACCGTGCCCATTAGTTTGAGGCTACAGCAGTAACTACCACAACACAACCGCAGACATGGCGACCATGGTACGACCCATCCTCCTCCTCCATCTCCTCCTCCTCCTCTACCTCGATCCATCGTTCGATCGCGATCCACTCGTCCCCCCACCCAGCGCTGTGTTTTATTACTATGCGATCCGATCTGGCAGCAAGATGTTGGATGGCATGCTAAGTTTTCGTGTAGGATTTGAGGGTCGGTAACAAGTACAGAATCGGCAGGAAGATTGGCAGTGGCAGTTTCGGCGACATCTACCTTGGTGAGCGAGCATAAGGGTCCCGTATTCGGTGGGCCATCAACTAACGGAGGACGTACAGGCACAAATATCATCTCCGGCGAGGAGATCGCTATCAAGCTCGAGTCTGTCAAGGCGAAGCACCCGCAACTGGAATATGAAGCCAGGGTGTACAAGTCGCTCGCCGGTGGTGTCGGTATCCCGTTCGTCCGTTGGTTCGGAACCGAATGCGACTACAACGCCATGGTCCTCGACTTGCTCGGACCCAGTTTGGAGGATCTGTTCAACTTTTGCAACAGAAAGTTCTCCTTGAAGACCGTGCTGCTGTTGGCCGATCAGCTGGTATGTACCGAGAGCAGGTGGCTGTGGGAAGCGCGGCGAAGAGATGGGACTCCTATGGAGTCGGAGCATTACCTGCCCTTCCTACCATACGCCGCTACAACCCTCTCCATCCCACACAGATAGCTCACTGACGGAATGCTCAGATCTCGCGTATCGAGTACATCCACGCCAAGTCCTTCATCCACCGTGACATCAAGCCCGACAACTTCCTCATGGGCATCGGAAAGCGCGGCAACCAGGTCAATGTTATCGATTTCGGCCTGGCCAAGAAGTACCGCGACCCGAAGACCCACTTCCACATTCCGTACAGAGAGAACAAGAACTTGACCGGAACTGCGCGTTATGCTTCCATCAACACCCATCTGGGAGTCGGTACGTCTGATAAGGTTGCCCTTGCCTTCGTCCAAACCTAATGCTGTGTGTAGAGCAATCCCGTCGTGACGACATGGAGTCTCTTGGATACGTGATGCTCTACTTCTGCCGCGGCTCTCTCCCCTGGCAGGGACTGAAGGCTGCTACCAAGAAGCAGAAGTACGATAGAATCATGGAGAAGAAGATGACGACCCCTACCGAGGTTCTCTGCCGTGGATTTCCCAACGAGTTTGCGATCTACCTCAACTACACCCGTTCTCTCCGCTTCGACGACAAGCCCGACTACTCTTACCTCCGCAAGATCTTCAGGGATCTCTTTGTCCGTGAGGGCTTCCAGTACGACTACGTCTTTGACTGGACCGTCTACAAATACGTAAGTTGACCCAGAGGCTCCCCTTTATTTATTTTTGCAGCCAAGTGTTGACGTCCCCTGACCTTTTAGCAGCAGAAGAACGCCCAAGCCATCGCGCAGGCCGCTGGCCAGCAAGGCGGTGCTGGCGGTGCTGGCGAGGACGAAGATAAGGAGCACAAGCAGCAGCAGCGTAGGGCCCCTATCGGCCCTAGCGGACACCCTCCCCAGCAGGCCAACAAGCCCGGCGTCGTCGGTGGCACCAGGAGAAAAGTTGGTGAGCGCGGTGGAATGGGTGCCGATGCTACTCAGGGCATGAGCGGATCCGACCGGATGTAAGTCAAGCTTATTTCCGAGGTTTCTGGGGGAGACTCAGTCTGACCTGGTGCGTTTTTAGGCTTCGTTCCGCCTCGAAGGGTGCTCAGGCCGGTCAGGCTGGTTTCGGTGGCATGGCCAGCGGTGCTAATGGTGGCGGATATCGCAGTGGCCAGAAACGCGACGACCCACCCGCTACCGGCGGCCAACAGTGGTACTGACTGAGCGATTCCGCGGTCGATTCTGCCAAAGGCTGGTGGAATACTTTTTCGAAGCTGTAAATGGATCCGGCGAGCATCTGAGTAGTCATCACCAAGGGCAGTTTCCTAAATTGCTATTTCCTATCCGGGAGGGAGTTTGTTGTCAAGAAGAGGAGCGCTACTACCATTGGTTTTTCCTATGTCATCCCTTATTGCGTTGTGTGCGTTGATGCCGTTGGCTTTTGCGGTTCCCCGTCGTGTGGAGGTTTCCTTTGACTGTTTTGCTTTGTTTTCTTCTGCGTTTTGTTTTCATTCTATCCTAATGGGTCCGACCGGGAGCGAATTGGATGTCTGGCACGGGACTGCTGGCTTTCCGACAACTTTCGACGACCACACGGACGGACAACCTCTTTTTTTTCGATTTACGGCGGTTACGGTCACCCTGTCTGCAACCTTCGATAATTCTTTGCACGGTAACCTCACCTTCCGCTTACGAAAAAAAAAAAAAAACATGTCTTCGATTGGGATGGAACAAAATATGCTTTTTCTGGATCTCTCAACGACCGAGAGAGGATATACGCCCTTCTCTTACTTTCTTAGAGTTGCGTTGCGCTTTACTGGACGGGGTACTCCCGGACGGCTCTTTCGGGGGATATGATGGGGAACTGCACCAGGGACGGCTTGTTTTTTCTGTGCTTTGCGTTTTGCTTTCCGGTTCTTACGGCACACACAATAAGGGATCCGACATGGGTTTCTTTTCATTTTCTTCTTTCACTTCTTGCTTTTCTCTTTGACCATTGGTAGATGGTACTCTGTCTGATTCTCTACTTCCTGTCAACTCCTTACTGGTTTCATTACCCTTGTGAACTTTACTATGTAGCAGCGCTCTTCGGGGTTCCCGAAGAGTTGTCTTTCCAGATGGCTTGCGGCTTTCATTGATTTTCATTTGTACTCTCTCTTTTTTTGCTTGCCTCTTTTATCCTATTAAACTCTACTCTGCTCTTTTGTTTTACTTGTGTGTTTTTTGCTTGCTTTCATCGGTTCGATGAACGATTCCGCGTGCGTCGTGAGTCCTTTCGTTTAGGTATTGTTGTTTCCTGTGTTGATGGTTTTTTCGTTGTCGTTCGTCGTTCGTCGTTCGTTTTGTCCAAGTGTTTCCATGCTGTGCTGTGCTGTCCTTGCCGTTTGATGGGATCGCTATGGATGGATGGATGGATGGGGATGATGGGGGTGCGGAGGGTGCGGAGGGTGCGGAGGGTAGATGTGAATGGTTGGCGAGTGGAGAGTGAGTGGAGAGTGAAGTGGAGAGTGAGTGAGAGTGAGTGAGAGAGGGTGTGCAGGTGAGGGGAGGGGATGAGCTCAAGGCGTGTGGGGTGTGGGGCTTTCTACGCGGAAAAAAACGATTGGATTGAGCGGTATTGATGCTCTTATCTATACTGTTCTGGTCTGCTTAGTAGTTTCTAGTAGGAGGGCTTGCGTTACTCTAGTTAGTAGTTGCCTTGAGGGATATGATAAACTTGTTGAGAAACTTGGGAAGCTTTTATGATGTGAGACTCGTGCATGGAGAATGGTTCGCTGTGAGAGCTATTAAATAATTGTGTAGGCCGCTGACACGTGCGTGGTGAGGTGAGGTGATGTGTGGTTTACCCGGCGCTAGGTTAGCGGTAGCGGTAGCTCGGTGCACTTGGGGCACAGCTGGCGGGTAGGTGGGGAGCTGCTAGTTAGTGGGGACGATCACGACGTCAACGATATCCGCATAGGCACACGCTCACGTTCAGTTCCAGTTCCAGTTCCAGCTCCACACACGAACTCGGAGCAGCATCAGCTATAGCTATGTCATTCGCAGCAGCTCCGCCGCGGTTAACCACGACATTCGAAGACGTCGAAGACGTCGAGGAGCAGGAGCGGGACCACGACCGGGAGCACGACGACGACGAGCCCTTCGCCGTTCCGTACCTCGTGGAGGAGCCTCAGTATGTACTCTACACCTCTACACCTATGTAGGTCAGGTGGGGGGGGATGGGGGTGAAGAAGGGAGCTGCGCTGATCCTGACGCCCGAAAGATCGTTCAAGCGCCGCCGGCGCGAGGAGCCGCGGTACTCCCTCTTCAGCAGCAGTTCGGTCGGGCACGGCGGTGTGGGCGGTAGCGGTAGAGGCAGCACGGACCACGGCCACAACCTCCTGCGCGAGCGGCACAGCAGTTCACTAGACCTTCCTGACCTTCCGGGCGACTACGATGACGACGGCTCCTCCTCCTCGCTCTCAGCCGGTGGAGGTGGTGGCGGCATCGGCGGGACAGCAGACCACGCGCTCACGACCCGGCGGATCTACGACGACCTCACAGCAATCGACTGGATATTCGAGTACACGCGTGAGCGGTCACGTCTGCGGGCGCTGCACTCTGGCACAGGGGTATTCGGGCACTTCGCTCGCGTCTTCGACGCGAGCCAGATCTGGCTCGTGTTAATCGGCACCGGGATCGCGGCGGGACTCGTCGCCGCCGCGATCGATATTGTTGCGAATTGGCTCGGTGGGTTGAAGGAGGGGTATTGTACGAGCAGCTTTTATCTAAGTAAGGAGTTTTGCTGTTGGGGGCTGGAGGAAAGGGATGGGGAGGAGGCGTGTAAAGATTGGGCGTGGTGGAGTCAGGCCGTGGGCGTTAGGGGGGGCGGCGGGAAGTATGCCGTCGAGTATCTGCTGTATATCGGGTTCTCGGTGAGTTGGCTGGATAGATGGATAGGCACCCCTGTGAGGAGGCAGTATGCTAACGGGTACGGGGAATACAGATCGTGTTCGCCACCAGCGCCAGTCTCCTAGTCAAGAACTTTGCGCCGTACGCACGGCACAGCGGTATTCCGGAGATCAAGACTTTGCTGGGCGGATTCGTGATCCGGCGGTTTCTGGGCGGGTGGACGCTGGCGATCAAGTCGATCGGGCTGGTATGTTTTTTTGGGCGGACTCGTCGTTTTTTTTCGGTTGGATTTCTCCCAGTTAATCAGTTCTCTGGATACAACATAGTGCCTGGCTGAGTCTTCCGGGCTGTGGTTAGGGAAGGAGGGTCCACTGGTCCATGTGGCTTGCTGTTGCGCAAATATCATGATGAAGCCGTTCGGTGCGCTGAGGAAGAATGAAGGTACTACCACCCGCCGCCGCCGTAAACATGAAGATTCGTCGGCGAAAGTTAAGCTCACACGTTTCTGCTTGCAGCCCGCAAACGAGAAGTGCTCTCTGCCGCCGCCGCCGCGGGAATATCCGTGGCCTTCGGCTCGCCCATCGGCGGCGTGCTCTTCAGTCTCGAACAGCTGTCGTATTACTTTCCCGACAAGACAATGTGGCAGTCGTTTGTCTGCGCCATGGTCGCCGCGGTCACGTTGCAGTTCATGAATCCGTTTCGGACGGGGAAGTTGGTGCTGTATCAGGTCAAGTATACCAGGGGATGGCATGACTTTGAGATGATACCCTTTGCGCTCCTAGGTATTCTAGGCGGCCTGTATGGTGCTTTCTTCATCAAGCTGAATATGAAGGTTGCGGCTTGGAGGAAAAACTCCATCGTCAAGAAGTTTCCCGTCACGGAGGTTCTGGTTGTCACTGTCGTCACGGCTCTGGTCAATTATCCAATCGTGTTTATGAGGTTCGTCAACAGCTTGCGATTATATATCCGATCCGCTAACGTCCTGCGTAGACCTCAGTCCTCCGAGCTGGTGGCAAACCTGTTCCAGGAGTGCTCTCCTCAGGGCGAGGACTTCTTCGGCCTGTGTCATCATACTCACTCCAAGCCGATAGTCCTCCTGCTCCTGTCGTCGATCCTGGGCGCACTCCTAGCTTCGGCCACGTTCGGCCTCCAGATACCGGCGGGTATCATCCTACCGTCTATGGCAATCGGCGCACTCTACGGCCGTGCGATGGGCCTGGTGGTGCAGTCCTGGCAGCACACATATCCCAATGCCTGGTTCTTCGCCTCCTGCGAACCCGACATCGAATGTGTTACGCCTGGCACATTCGCCATCATCGGGGCCGCCTCCGCGCTCGGCGGCGTGACCCGCATGACGGTGTCGATCGTAGTCATCACCTTCGAGCTCACAGGGGCGCTCACCTACGTACTCCCGATCATGGTCGCGGTGATGATCTCCAAGTGGGTTGGCGACGCCTTCGGCAAGCGGGGGATCTACGAGTCCTGGATCCGCTTCAAAGACTACCCATTCCTCGACAACCGCGACGACCCCGTGCCGGACGTGCCCGTGGTCGAGATCATGACGCGGATCGAGGACCTAGTCGTGATCACCGAGACGGGGCACACCGTCGGCAGCCTCGTCGACATCCTGCGGTCACAGCCATACAAGGGCTTTCCCGTCGTGTCCGACGTGCGCGACGCCTCCCTCGTCGGCTACATCTCCCGCTCGGAGCTGCGCTTCGCGCTCGACCAGGCGCGCCACGTCCGCGGCCTCCCGGAATCCGCCGAATGCATATTTTCCGGCGCTGCCACTGCCGGCGCCGACGCCGGCGCCTGTGGCCGCACGGTCGATATGAGGCCGTGGATGGACCAGACGCCGATCACGCTGCCCTCCAGCAGCAGCCTCTCCCTCGCCGCCAACCTCTTCCAGAAGCTCGGGCTGCGATACGTACTCTTTGCCAACCATGGCGCGCTCCAGGGCCTGCTGACGAAGAAAGACGTGTTCTTTGTTATGAACTCGAGTGAGGAGGGCGTTAGTGGTATGCGTGGTGGCAGGCTGGAGACGAGGAGCGGTGGTGGTGGCGAGGGACGACGCTTGCTCGCTGATGATGGAAGCGAGGTTACGAGTCTTGAGGAGGAGCTCGAGGCGGGTGCGGGCAGGGGGAATTTGCTCGGGAGTATGTAGGCTGCGGAGATGGGGGTCTAATGGCATTGGTGTTGTTTGCTATGATCTGCGAGAGACGGAGCTCTGTGATTGAATGTTCACGGCTATGGTCTGGGCTGCTGTCCTAACTGCCACCTTATTCTGGGGTACCAGTGAGTTTAGCTCCACACAGCTGAACTTAAAGCGCCTCTGTCACGCACATGGAAGCGACGTATTGCGTGAAAGGCACAGCATTCGACACCATCACGATCGGCATATGTACCTAGGTAGAGCACAAACACTCTTTCAGCAGCCACATAATGTTACGGCTCAGTAATTGCATATTCACGGCCATGATCCGGGCTACTGTCCTAACTACCACCATAATTTGGGAAACCAGAGTTAAGCTCCGTACGGCTGAACTTGAAAGCGCCTCTGCCATACCTAGGTGCACGTGGAAGCTACGTGTTGAGTGAGAAGTACAGCTTTGGCACCATCACGATGGGGCACATGTAGGTAGAGCACGAACATTCTGTCAGAGTCTCAGCAGGCATAGGTAGAATATCACGATCCAATTACCCAGTAACCACGACCGAAGCGAGCGACGAGTTCACACAGGCGACCTTCTGAGAAATGCCCGCGAAGCCAGCCTGCCAACCAGCCGTCAGCACGCCCAAGCTCACAGGGAAGCCGCGCAGTCTCGCGGGGAAGCAGGTTTCGCCGTCAAACCAACCGTGTTACTACTAGTATAGGCGCCATCGTCAACAGATAGATTACAAAGCCATTCTCACAGCCAAAGCCATCCTCAACAGCTAACGCCATCCTCAGCCGCCCCGGAGTGCAGCGGCACGATAAAACTTGAAGTCGCACGGGCTGAAACGTCGACCGCAACAGGAACCCAGCCCAGCGGAAGCAGCCGTATCCGCCCAGCTCCGTACCGTTATACAAGTCACCAGTAGCTTGGACCCCGGCGTCTCATGATACGGAACTTGGAAGGGAGGATGCTTGCGGATCTTTTTGTGCGCCGGTGGGTAGTGGGCGAGTCGCACACGAGTAGAGTAGGTAGATCCGCACTGAAGCAACGCTGGAAACCGTGCATAGCGATGGGTCCTCTGAGAGGTCCGTATCAAGATACTTGGAGACCACCGTGCCGGTGCTCCGCGAGTGGAAGAGGCGATGGAGGTGGTGAGTGGTGGCGGTGGCGGCGTAAATCGCAGTGAAGTTTCGTCGCACTCGGCGGTGGTGGCGGTGGATGGGCAGCTTGGCTTCGCGGTGATGACGATGGTAAATGGTTGAGGTTGTAGCGGTTAGCGGACATGCTCGAATCTTGATTCTTGGATCTGCGGCTCTCGTACGATGCATCAAGACTCACTCTTTGTCTGGGTGAGTGATCGTGGCGGTGGCGTGTGTGTGCAGTGTGTGTAGCGTGTGTGAGTAGCCAGCGTGTGTGAGTAGCTAGAGTAGGTTGTGACTGCGAAATCCCTCAAGCCCTGAGGTTACCCCCGTTTACTAAGCAAAGTCGCACCCACAAACCAGCGCTTTTCGAAGTTTTCCTTGGCAAACGACATCTCTCCCGCCAGCAGCCACACCCCACCCCGACCACTCGATCGAACGACTGAACGACCGACCGAACGAACGACAAACGAATTCCCACACCCAGCAAAACCAATCTTTCAACACTTCAAGTTAATCCTTCAAGATGGTGAGTAGAGATGTTTTTTTTTCGCTGTTTGCTTTCGCGAGGTTGGGGGACTGGGAGGGGATGGGGGCTGTGGGAGGGGAGGGTGGCGATTTGCGGCTACGAACACGACGAATGGATCCCACGCACGCGACACAGCAACGACTACGATGAGATATCTGCGATGCATATCACGCCGACGACGACGAGCGATCGAACGATGCGAACAGGCGACATGAGGGGAATCAGTGGGACGGGATGGGAGCGATGGCGGACATCAATGAGAAGCTGTAGCAGCTCGCTAACGTCGTATTTCTGCACAGGTTTTGGCCGAGGATCTCCTTAACCCTTCTGCTGCCGCTGAGGCCCGCAAGCACAAGCTCAAGGTTCGTTCGACATGTGTCCATTTCCACCGCGATCACGAGCACTGACCGTTGCTAGACTCTTGTCCCGGCTCCCCGATCGTTCTTCATGGACGTGAAGTGCCCCGGTTGCTTCAACATCACCACGGTCTTCTCGCACGCGCAGACGGTCGTCATCTGTGGATCTTGCGCCACCGTACTCTGCCAGCCCACTGGTGGAAAGGCCCGTCTCACCGAGGGATGCTCTTTCAGGAAGAAGTAGATGTAGCGGGCGAGCGGGGTGGTCTCTTTTCCTTGCGCGTTCTCTCTACACGGGTTGGGGGGGATGTTGTCTGAGGGATAGGGAAATAATCATTGCCAACTCCAAGAAGAAGTGCCTCGTATAATCCCGACGTGCTTTTTCCGACGTTGTGTTTTACTTCTCTTTCCTTGCTTTCTTCTGGTTTATGGGTGTTCTCGGGGCTTGTTCTGTTTCTTTCATGGCATATGAAATGAATCTAAAAAAACGGGGTGTTGTCATAGACGATGGGCCGGAACCTTGCTATTGCGAGACTTGCTGCCATCGAATAGTAGAGCTCGAGCTGTTGAGACCACTTACAGTGCGGATGTGAGATGGTCAGCTGTTTTCGTGGGTTATACATACTACGATGCAGCAGCCGTCGCGTCGACTGTGGTATGATTGTTGTGTCTCGACAGCCGCTCTCCTCTGGTTCTATCCCATAGGTTCGCGTGCTCTACTTTCACATGTGGATCCGAGCTTAATCCATCTGCTTCCGTCCACATCGACACGGTGTGTCTGGTGAGGGTTCCGGACCATCCGGCGACCCCGGGCAGAATATCGCTGCGTGTAGTTAGAGTATATACATAGAGCAATCATTCTACTCGTGTAATCCTTTCACTCGTGATCATGCATAGCCTGGGTTAACCTTTGCATCTCGTTTCCTGCCAACTTCATGTACATAGCGAAATCCAATAGTTTGCAGGTACCCTAAGACTTTATCTAGTCGACGCGTCGAAAACTGAAATCTGGAGGCATCAAACGAGTCACGACTCACGACTGCTGAGGGCTGACTGGAGGTGTTACGTCCGGCCTGGCCGGAAAGCATCTACTACATACCGGTACATACGGTACCTTTATAGTACGGTATAGTACGGTAGAGTACCTACCCCATCCGCCAGCGTCCGCAATGCACGTGCGTCGACCCGCCAGGTACCGAGAATCGGAGGAGCCGAGTGCAGGAAACTTTTGCAGCTCTGCTTTGCTCCGCAACATCTTGAAAGTTGAAACGCGTGCTGCTGGGGAGGCCGCAATGTGCCGTGCCATCGTACCATACCGTGGATACGCTCGGAGAATTCGAGGAATCGAGATTCAAGGCCGATCACGATATCGCAGTGTCTCAGTGTAGAGTAGAGTATCAGTGTCTCAGCCCACGAACGAGCAACGAGAAACACGCCCGCTTGCATTCCGGGAGGCGAGGACGAGGTGGCCGGTGTGGAATGCGGAATGCGGTCCATACATTCTACAATACACAGCCACTGGAATGCGCACCGCCTCCCCTCCGTCCTTCTGCACGCAGATACGGTCGAGCGAGCGTTGTGGCGTTTCAACGTCCAAGACCTCTCCATACATGGGAGAATCAGGTTGATTGTTCCTCTAGAGTACCCACTCTACATACGGTACTCTACTTAGAGCACCTATCCTACCGCCTCACTACCGCGCAGACTTCCCGAACGAATGAAGGGAGTCGGGACGGGTTACTCATGCAGATTCTGGATCTTGGATTTCGGGTTTTGTCTCGCTCGACGCTTTCGGAGCTATTTTGGATTCCCTGCACGATGCCGTCATCCGCAAGACACCCAAGAAACACCAAGACACACACGCTCTCGCGCTCTTCTTCTAGCGCTGTCTCGTGCGTTGTATGGCAGTCTTGTCGGCTGGTGTTAATCTGGCGGGGGAGGGGGAGTATGTGCTTGTTGTTGTTGTGGTGGTGGTGGTGGAGGTGGAGGTATGCATAATCTTCTGCCGTTTCGAACAGATGGCGGGAGCACTCTGGGCAGATTTTAGGATCGCGGAGGGGGAGGGAGGGAGGGGAGGCGGATAAAGTTGTGTACTTTGCATACAGTACCAATGCCTCTAGGATCATGGATCGGTTTCACGCGGAAGGAGTTGTATCGTATCGTATCACGGGCGGAGTGCAGATTTCGAGTCGAGACTGAGGACTGTGCCCCCTCCGTCAAAGGATGTGTGTGAGTGGTGTGTGGTGTGTGGTGAATTGCGGCGTGCGGCGTACGGCGTGCCTGAAACGAAATCGAAAACGGCAGTGATTAGTGGGGAGGGACGGGGGAGTGTGGGACTGGGGGTGGTGGAACTGGTGGAACTACACTCCGACATCGCTGGCTGGGCTGGCTGGGCTGGCTGGGTTTGCTGGGTTTGCTGGGCTGATCTACACGAGAAAGATCACCTCCCTTATCGGGGGTTGATATGCTGGCAGGGGTGGCATGCGAGAAAGAAGAAGAGCTGAGCGAGAAGAGCGAGCAGAAGCAGCAGCAATGCAGCATGTCATCTTAAACACTTTATGAAGGCCGACACTCACTTGCTTGACTTGGCTGACTGCACTCGTCCGTCCCTCCGCCGGGCTATATCACTGTCCCACCTCCCCTTGCTCCTCTTCCCTTCTTCCTTCCTTCTTCTTCATACTTCCTTCGCTCCTCCTCCCCTCCGCAAATCAATCGTTTTCTCTTGCTCTCTGTCCCCCATCTCCTTGCCAGTCATTCGTTTTGCTGGCTCGTCTTCTGTTTGAATAATACAGCCCGCGCTACCTAATCTCTAAATCCGAATCCCCAGACGTCGATCGTGATGCGTGGAATCCTCTCGTTGGCCGCGGCCGTTGCCATGCTCGGATCCGCAAGTGCTGCTCTCGATCCCGTCACCGTCAAGGGAAATGCCTTCTTCGTCGGTGATGAGCGTGTAAGGCCCCCCTCCTGCTGACCGGCTTCTGCGGCTGTGATTGCTGACCGACTGGCTTATGGGATGACAATAGTTCTACATCCGTGGTGTCGACTACCAGCCCGGTGGACAGTCCAACCTGATGGATCCCATTGCCAACTTGGAGGATTGCCAGCGTGACATCCCACTCTTCAAGGAGCTCGGTCTCAATGCCATCCGTATCTGTGCGTATTCGGTCACTGCTTGCTGCGAGTGGGGAGAAATGCAATCTGACCGCTCACGACTCTAGACACTGTCGACAACTCTGCCGATCACGACGAGTGCATGAAGGAGCTCGATGATGCTGGCATCTATCTGTTGTTGGTATGTCTTCCTGCTTCCCCCTGCTGCCAGTAATTCAGGCTGATTCCTGCTCAGGATGTCAACACCCCCACCATCTCCATCAACCGTGCCGACCCTGCTGCTACCTACAACGAGAAATACCTGCAGCACGTCTTTGCTACCATCGATGTCTTCTCCAAGTACGACAACACCCTGGCCTTCTTCTCGGCCAACGAGGTCGTCAACGATGTCGACACCACCGGTGCCGCTACCTACGTCAAGGCTGTGACCAGGGACATGCGCAAGTACATCAAGGAGCGCAAGCTCAGGTCCATCCCTGTTGGCTACAGTGCCGCCGATGTTGCCGAGAATCGTATGGAGGTGGCCAAGTACCTCAACTGCGGAGACGACGAGGATGCCAGGAGTGACTTCTTTGCTGTAAGGAGGTCTGGGGACTGCCCGTGATTGGGGTTGCATGCTGACGGAGAGGATAACAGGTCAACGACTACTCGTGGTGCGGTGACTCGTCGTTCACCACCTCCAACTGGAACGAGAAGGTCGAGAACTACACCGACTACTCGATCCCCATCTTCCTGTCGGAGTACGGCTGCAACGTTCCTTCCCCGCGCAAGTTCGGCGAGGTTACGACCCTTTACAGTGACAAGATGTCGCCCGTCTTCTCCGGTGGCCTCGTCTTTGAGTACTCGCAGGAGCCCAACAACTTTGGACTCGTCGAGATCTCGGACGATCGTGCATCCGTCGACAAGCTCGGTGATTTCGAGGCTCTGAAGGAGCAGTTTTCCAAGGCCAAGAACCCCTCCGGTGACGGTGGGTTCCAGGAAGGTCTCGACGTCTCAGAGTGCCCCGGCTTTGTTCAGGGCCGATGGGAAGCCAACAACACCCTCCCCACCCTGCCGTCGGCTGCTCAGAAGTACTACGTAAGTTTGAAATCGCTCATTAGCATCCGATATTCGTGGTTTACTGACCCATGTTATAGACTGAGGGTGCTGGCAAACCTCTGGGTGACCAGAACCTGATGGCTGGTGGTACCACTACTGGCAGCGCTTCCGGTACCAGCAGTGCTAAGCCTTCCGGAACCGGCTCGGGCGACACGAACGCCGCCCCCAGCGACCGTTCCTTCTCGGCCGTCGTTCTTGCATGCATCGTCGGAGCTTCGACCCTCGCTGGCGCCATGTTTGTGATGTAAGGGGGAGGACAGTGGTGATGATGGATTGACGTTAATACGAAGGATGGGACGATTCTCGGTGATTCAAATTTTTTTTTTTTTGCGACGCTATTCTGTTGTGTGTGAAAAGTATTGGGGTTTTCTTTACGGTTTATGAGGAAGAGGGAGAGAGGAGTATATCCACTTGTGTATCGATACCTGAGTCTTAAGTGTACTCTTTACTACTGGAACCAGCTTTGAGCGGGAGTCTTTTTGTTTTTTTACCCCCATTACAGTATGATATAGTACATAGGACAGAGGAGGTTATGGAATAGAAGAGAGAAACTGTATGCTTATTTGTGGTTTTCTATGCTTATTTTGTGGTTTGCTTGTGCCTGAAGACTGGTGATGAGATGGTGACGCAGGGAGTTGTCGCGAACTGTGTTAACCATGACCACTCGTGTAACTGTAGTTACTATACGCGTCTCGACATCACAAAGACGACGAAACACCACCAGAGCCATGCCGAAATCCACACCATCATCACTGTCCTCCCGAACCGCCGCCTCCACGAACAAAAATGCCTGTAAGTCCCCCTCTCCCAACCCATCTTCACACAGATACTCACGCGCCCACAGTCTCCGTCCTGATGTCCTCACGCCCAACCAGCACCACCCCCACCAGCAGCACCGCTCCCCGCCCCGCGCGCACCACATTCGCCGACGCCCTCCTCCCATACATAACCACGCCCTCCTCCTTCCCGCCCAGCGTCGTCCTCCACCACTCCACCGACTTCGTCTGGATCCGCGACAAGTACGCAAAGTCCTTTATCCACACACTCTTGCTGCCGCGGGACCCGGCGCGAAACACGCAGCACCCGCTCGAGCTGCTGTCGCGGGATGTGGAGTTTCTGGAGAAGGTAAGGGTGGAGGCGGCGAAGTTGAGGGGGGTTGTGGCGAGGGAGTTGGAGCGGCGGTTTGGTGGGAACGGGAAACAAGGCGGGAGGAACTGGGTCGACGAGGTATTGGTCGGTGTGCACGCGCACCCGAGCCTGCGGCATTTGCATGTGCATGTCCTTTCGAGGGATCTTAGTGGTGAGGCGTTGAGGAAGGCGAGCCATTATAATAGCTTTACCACGGGGTTTTTTGTAAGGCTTGAGGAGTTTCCGCTCAGTGGGGAGGAGCTGGAAAAGAGGGGTGGGGGGTGGAGGAAAGAGGAGCTCAGGTGTTGGAGGTGTGGCAGGGGGTTTGGCAGAAGTTTTGTAAAGTTGAAGGCGCATTTGGGGGTGGAGTTTGAGGCGTGGAAGGCTGCGCCGATGGAGGAGGGGGAGGAGGAGGGGGAGGGGGAGGAGGGGGAAGAGGATGGAAGGGAGGGGGGTGCGGGTGAGGTAGGGGAGACGGGGTAGGTTTGGTGGCCAGGAGGGGGCGGATGGATAGTTCATTCTGGTCTGTATACTGGAGTAGGTGCTTGGTTGCGCGGTCCAGCAGGCCGGAATATACTATGTATATCTCCATTGAACCTCATCCCGCAGAATGAGTGATATTCCATTGACCTAGCATCCAAATAACGCGTGATATTCTGTGATGACTCTATATACCATGATCCACTCCCGCGCCCATGTCGGAATCGGCATCTTCCGCAACAGCTATAGTAACACGATCACCAACTATCCACTCGCGTGTCCTCTCACCTCCCCCTACACCACACCACACGCAACCATGGCCCGCAAACGCACCAAGCCCTCCGCAAAAGAGCCGGAGCTCTTCCCGTCGACCACCTCCTTCGTAACGCCCGAAGGCGTGACCATCTCCGAAATCCCCTTACGCACACCCACCTTCGGCTCCAAACCCAACGGACAAACGCTCCTCGACCTGATCGACTTGAAGCGACCTCGGGACGCGGCGGGGAACCCGATCGGCGCCAGCCATGCCGCCGAGACGGAGGAGATCGAGGTCTTCGGCCATGCCGCGAACACGTTCTTTTTTGCCGTGCCCCTGTTGATACTGCTCTTTTGGCTCGATGTATTGGTTCATCTGCAGTATAAGCAGGATAAGGACTGGTCAGAGGTGGCGTGGAGATGCGCGAAGGCGTTTCCGGGTAGGGTTTCTCTTCTGTCTTCTAGCTGTGGGGGACGCTCGCTGATGGGGGACGCTCGATAGCTATCTACGCGATCCACTACTTCTTCCACCCGCGCCGGACATGGATCTCGGTGCGCCTGTTCCTGCTCGCGCTGAGTATCGCGGCCGGATGCTACGTCGTCACGGCCGTAAACAGGTACGGCTACTACTTTGTCATGAAGAAGACGCCGCCCCTAGGCACGCTGTGGATCTGGGCGGTCATTGAGTTGGATATTCTCGGTGCGCTGGCGAGTCTGCTGGGCGTTTGGACGTATGCGTGGTATTACGGGTATCCGCTCTGGTAGGGGGGTGGATGGATAGGATGAAGGGGAGGAGAAAGGGTGCTCATTGGGAGGAGGGGGATGATGTTTGTTTGCCTTTCGTTTGAAGATGATCGCGCCGTTCGAAATTTAGAGCTTGTATGCACAAAGAGCCGCATGGTGGCTCACCCGGCCAATAAAATTCAGTTAGACTGTGTAATCATAGCACCTGCATTCCCGCACGATCAGCTCCCCCACCAGCACCAGCCCCACCAGCAGATGCGCCTGCCCTCGATAATCCGGTACCTCCCGCTCAGCAACCCGCGTTTCCAACTCGTCGCCTTTCTCGCCCTGCACACACGGTACCGCACGGGCATTCCGATGGACACGTTGATATCCACGCTTCCGGGGATCGATCCGCCGTCGCCGCGCACCCGCCGTCCTACGCCGCCGCCCCACGTCAACCCGCCAAAGAGGGAGAAGAAGTCGCAGAAGGAACGACGCAGGAATGTTACTAAGTTCGTTAATCAGCCGCCGGATCCACTCTATTACTTTGAGGATGGCCTGAGAAAGGTCCACCCGTATTACTTCACGTTCAATACGTTCTGTAAAGAACGCTGGAGGGGGATGACGCTGCTAGAGGTCTTCAGCAGCGAGTTTAGGGATCGCCCGGTCGAGTACTATGTCGGTTCGCCCTTTTGTCCCCCGACCCCGAGCCACGCGCGAAAGACAGAGGGAATTGGGGGTGCTGACGGTCGTAGAGAGATGCCATCGCGGCGGGCACCGTCTACGTCTCAGGCACGGACCGGGGCTCGGTGCTTGCCGCGTCGCCGCGGTCAGGCCTTGACACGATCGTCAAGAACGGCGACATGATCTCGCACACTATGCACCGGCACGAGCCGCCGGTCACCGGCGAGCCGATCGGTATCGTGTTCGAAGACGACAACATCATGGCCATCTCGAAGCCTGCTGGTGTCCCTGTACACCCCACCGGCAGGTACAATTACAACTCGGTCACTGAGATTTTGAGGTCCATGAGGCCGGGGTTTAATCCACTGCGTATGTGCTGTGTGTGCCGGGAGGGGTTGTGGGGGCGGGGTGAGGGCGACGGCTGATGCGGAGATATGCAGCGTGTAATAGGCTGGATAGGTTGACGAGCGGGCTCATGTTCATTGCAAAGACGAGGGAGGGCGCCGACGCCTTCATGAACCAGATGCAAGCGCGGACGATACGGAAGCAATACGTGGCGCGGGTGAAGGGGGAGTTTCCGAAGTACGCACGCATCCACATCTTCCCCCCACCTGCAGCGCTGACAGGAAACCAGAGAAGACATAGTGTGCGACCAGCCGATCCTCCAGATCTCGCCGAAGCTCGGACTGAACCGCGTCAAGGCGGACGGCAAGCACGCAAAGACGCTGTTCCGGCGGCTGCACTACAACGCGGAGAAAGACTACAGCATCGTCGAGTGCCACCCGTACACAGGGCGCACGCACCAGCTGCGCGTACACCTGCAGTTTCTGGGCCACCCCATCTCCAACGACCCCATCTACTGCAACCGTAAGGTGTTCGGTGCGAACCTGGGCAAGGGCGGCGAGGGCGACGACGAGGATATCATCACCCGCCTCAACCGCATGGGCAAGAGTGAGGTCGCGGAGGCGGAGGCGTACCACGACGAGATGATGTCGGACCATGCTAGGAAGAAGGCCGAGAAGATGACAGGCGGCCTCTGTGATATCTGCGATACCCCGCTGTATTCGGACCCGGGCCCCCACGAGCTGGGCATATATCTCCACGCTAAGAGGTATGCCTGCGAGGATGGAACGTGGGAGTACGAAACCAGTCTGCCTGAGTGGGCGACTGTGAGGGACGGGGAATAGATGGAGGGATGGGGGATGGGGGAATACCTAGAGCACTGTACCAATAAACCGAGATGATGATGTCAAGCAGTCTATCCACCGCAATAGAGTTTAGTGCAACCTGGCAGTGCTACATAAAAGCCAATCTTGGATCGGACCTTGTGGGGTTGGTTGTTGCCCGGACTGGATCCTCCGTTTTACAGGCGTATCGAGACGGTGGGGTGATACTGGTGACCGATCATCGGCGAGGTTGACGACGCAGTGGGGAAAAAGAGTTTTTTGCTTTGTTTCCATGACGATGTACATATCAGATGATACATCCAATCCTGTCTTGCCCCCCCGCCACCCCGCCCCGATCGTCGAAGGCGGAAGCGAAAGGTAAAAGCCGAAGGCGAAAGGCGAAGGCGAAAGGCAAATACAATGCCCATCCCCCACTACATACCGTATCGGGACAAAGTAAAAGTGATAAAGGAAGTGACAAAAAATCATGCAAGTGGTGGGCACTGGCGGAGAGTGGTCGGCGACGAATGATACGCGGTGATGATGTACTCGCGGTGAACGCTGCGGTACTTGGTATACCGGTAGAGTAGAGTAGAGTGAATCCGTCCAAAAACCCCGTGCGATTACCGCCTTCAGCAGTTCTCGGCGACCTGTAACCGGCGAGTGACGTCCGGTTACTGGTAGATAGTGAGGGGCGCGAAGGAAGAGGCGGCTTGGCGTCATCGGTGAGCGCCGAAGACAGCAGACGTTGTCGGGACCTGGGTGGGACCTTTTATTTGGAGAGAGAGACCTCGCAGGGACCTAGTGGGACCAAGTGCTATGGAAGGGAGACTCGATGCGGCCGTTCAACGTTGAAATGTTTTCTGTTGCTGCTTTTCTGTTCTTCCTGCACGTCTTGTTTTCTTCTCATCACCATCGACCGAGGATTCTAGTTCACTTGATCACGTTTTTGTTCCTCACCCGTAGCCCGTTCTGGGGTCTCTCAGTACCGTACCTACCTCTTACCCAGATACTCCAGAGTGAGTTCATCCGTCGGAAAAACATTTAAGCTGCCGCCATTCGAGTAGTGAATTCAGCAGTTCCCGAGGACCGACCCCCGGCGACCGGCGAGTGATATCTCGATACTAGTAGGAAGGTGGTACCCCCGCATGCATATCATAGGTACACTACATGCACGAATAGTAATCGCGCTGACCCCAAGTCCCAGCCAACCAGGCAACCCAGCCAACCAATCCATACAGCCTTCCCGTCCCGTGTCTGACGCTTCCCGTGGGGGCGGGGGGTGGAGGGTGGAGGGGGGCGGAAAAGGGCGGCTAGCCGGGCCGAGCCGTCGAGCGGGGCAAGGATGCCAGGCTATTGGCTACTTATGTCAGACGTAACCACCAGTGTGGCTCCGCTCCACATTACGGTACTCAAGGAAAGCGGACGCCGGACGAGTGTTGCCTGGAATTGGAGAGTGCTACATACGCTGGTGGGACGTGTGAGCGATGGTCCTTTTTTTTGGCTATGGCTGCGAGTGACTGCGGTACCTACATACTACGGAAGAGATGACTCGGGTGGAGATTTGCGGCACGACCGGGCGGGGAAGATGGCAGGTGGCAGGTGGTGGTGGGGGGTGGGGGGGGGGGGGGGCGACACACACACATGGGTGCCACCACCATCTACGAAGTGCGGATCAGCGCACGCACACATACGCACACACACGACGGGTGCACTACGAAGGCGGGATCAACGCACGCACGCATGTCATCACGCGGAATACATATCGACGCAGCAGCAGCAGCGAACGAGAGATCCCGGGGTTATAGTATATTATTACGAACAAAAATCCTCCAAGAAAACGAACGAAACGAACGAGCGAACGAACGAACGGAAAAAAACAAAAAACCACATGGACAAGCCCCATCCGTCCCACCGGCAGTTTCCCATTCCTTATCGACCGGACGGACATGGACATGGACACGGACACGGAGACGTTCGAGGACGAGGGCAGTGCATGTCAATGTGGGTGGGTGGGTGGGTGTGGGTGTGTATGTGTGTGTGGCACCGCTGGTGAGAGGGGTGCTTTGGTGGACGGAACTGGGACTTTCGTTTCGGGTGATCAGGCCGCTAAGTTGGGTTGTCGTTCGTTCATTCATCCACCCTCATAAGATGGCTCGCGAAGGGTAAGAGTATGGTGATGGCGGGAGGACGGAGCCATCGAGGAGGATTGGCGGAGTTGGTGGAGTCGGTACCGTGTTAGAGTGGGGTTGATGGGATGGGGTGGGTCGGGGGGTGCTCACGGTGGGGTGGTGAGCACCACCGAGCAAAAACCGAGTTGGGAGAGGTGGGAGGGAGAATATATACCCTTCCTGAATCCTGACGACACTGCCTCCTCTTCACCGCTTGGGGGCGACGGGGACACTCTTCCGAAACGTGTGTGTGTGAGAGTGTGTGTGAGAGTGTGTGTCGTATGCGAGTGTGTGTGTCTGTGTCTCGGGGCGGGGGCGGTGTGAGGTGTGAGGTGTGAATGGGAGTGGGTGGGTGGGTGGGTTTCGGTGTGGGTGAGTTTATGGTGTGGGTGGGAAGTAGTGACGAATTGCTTTTTCTTCTAGACTCTACCTGCACCATGCAACTTCGGCACTCCCGCAACTCATCGCGAATCGATGATCTCCCCCTGTCGAAGGGCCACCCCGCCCGCGCCCGCACCCGAGCCCCCCGCCGCCCCGCCCCCGCCTCCGCCCCACCTACATATCGCCAACTGCCCTTGAGTTACGTATTTTTAAAGGCGGAAAACTCTCGTATACTTCGGGAAAGCCCTCGCGAGTTGCCGGGGAGATGCTGGGGCGAAGCGCCCCACCTCCACGCGAATGCGTTGAATATCCACGGAGATGCGCCATGATTCTGGGTCTGGTCCGATTGCGGCTTGTGCAACAAGCGGAGTCGAGATCCGCATGTTGTCAGTCGTTCCGTTTTGCATGCATGCAGCGAATCTCCACATCTGGCCCTTCACGACAACCACACGCTCACAGTCGGCGTTCTTCTTGTCACTAAACGGCTTCCTCCGTCCCACCACCACCACCACCACCACCACCACCACCACCACCACCACCCCGAATGCCCTCTAACTATAGTGGAGTAGAGTAACGCCGCTCCAACCTGCCTTCAGCATTCCCATCCGAGGACTCGAAGCAGCGGACGCCCAGAAAAAAGAAAAACCCTTCCACTACATGGGAATATTGCCAGACGATGCGGCAGTGTGTGCGGACATGCACGTGGCTTGCCGCTGGACGGACTCCAAAGCCGGTTACCTACAGGATCAGCAGGTGGTAGGTATGTACGGTATTCGGGACTCCGAAGTAGGTAGATATCATACTTCGCACCCGCTGCACCAAGAAGAAGTGACGGATGGTTGGCTGTGGGATGCTGCAGTGCAGTCTCGGATAAGCCCAGGCTTAGTTCGCGGGCGGCTGGATATCTCTAGAGTACCGGTGGACTATCTACTCACATACGGTACTATACCGAGTCCTTCGTGTTGGGTTGCCGTTGGTCATGGGTGTTCTGCGACTCTGTGGGCGAGCAGGTGTCGCCTTCCAAATCATCCTCATGTTTAAAGGCATATCGTACTCTGCTATACCCCCCTTCCCCTCGGTTGCAGCGCTGCATATGGATGCCCCACCATCCGTTTCGTTGCGGCCTGGTCTGGCTCCAAAGGGCGCCATCACCTCCGCCATCACCGTCACCGTGATCGATTTGCAGAGGAACTCATCCGAGGGGACGCCCTAGAGAGGGAGGACCACCTGCTATTGGCGTGCCATCTGTGGTAGGATTCAAGTGTGTAGAGTCCCTATCACTGGCTCCGCAGATTCCATGAGAGCTGCATACCCGAACCTTCCGTGTTTAGGACCATTTACTAGTCGATGCCCTTCCGTAGCGTCATCGCCTCGGTTGGCTTAAGGTTCGCGCCGCGCTCGGGGAGTTCGGGATGTCGCAACATCTCGGGTTGTTTCCGACGATTTCTTCGAGAACCGGCCGATGTGCATATCTTCGAGTGCGATTTGATTTGATCCGATCTGAGAATGGACGGAAACTCGTCCCCTCGGAGATGGCAGTTCGACTTTCGACTTTGGGGCACACCCGCCAAGAACCGCTGAAACCAAGTCTTGGATTCTAGAACTCGAGCTGGAGGCATGGCAATATCGAAACATAACGGTGTATAGTACGCAAAGCTTGGATGGATGATCCGGTGGCAGGTGCTCAAAGCCTCAGATTGTCTGCCTGACTGACATAGGTATTATTCGGCTAATCACCAACCTGCAGAATCCAGATCGGTCTGGATCCTACATATAGTATGCTTACTACCTAGTACATACGGCCCGGCCCAGCACGTTTCACCACCGCACTGATGTCGTATGATCCGAATAACCTCCGGTTCTAGAGCAATCCCGCCCCTCCGTTTCGTTTCGGCCTGGGCTAGGTGGGTGGCTTCACCACCGGCCATCCGACCAAAGCCGGGTGGCTTGTCTTGCGATCCATGACGGATATGACGGACGAGGAAGGAGACACCAACCAGAGCGCTTCTATGTCATAGATTCAATGATTTATAGATTTATAGGTAGAAGAACGATGTCAATGTTAATGAGGACTTTCGCAGGTCGTGAGGGATGGTTTGCGGGATCGTTTTAGGCTTAGTGAGGTGACAAAAAAGCGCTACCGGTTAAATTCGAGATCCCTCGCGCTAGAGATACCGCGATGAGTCTCTTCAACCCGCACCCGCGAGGGCCAACTAGTACGAGTGGGATGGTCAACTTAGGCATAGCGAGTGTCTGCTCCTAGGTGAATGGGGAGTAGCGTTGAGAAGGAGAGTTGTTGTATTGGTCTTTGTTACGTATAAGTGTCCTCCAGAAAGCATTAGAAGAGTCAACCAACCCACACAGTTAGTCATTGAAGGAATGACTCTAGTCAATTAGTAGGAATGACTTTAGTCAATGAATAGGAATGACTCTGGTCATTGAGGGAATGACTCTAGTCATCGAGCAGGAATGACTCCAGTCACCGAGCAGGAATGACTGAGTAAACCCGCGAGACTCGAATAAAATACCGACCTAGACAGTCTATTGAAGTTCATGCCGACAGTGTGGTGATGCTGACCTTCGCGATGCGCATCATGGTAATGTTGAAGTACTCCTGTCTATACTGTGGTGCTCTGCTCTCCTCTCGGCGCCGCTGTACTCTGCTCTCCTCTGTCCCGGAGAATTTTTACTGAGTCCACACTAATTAAACCACTAATTTCGAGAGTAGTCCACTTTTTCTCAGCCCGCACCTACGGTGACCTCAGAGTTGCGAAACGCCTTTTCTTTTCACTTAAGGGCTCGGCGCGCTAACAACCCGCCTCACAGAGATCCCTCAGAACTGCGTAACTCCTCTAATGAGGTTCCTAGCCTTCTAGGTTATCCGTTATCGTATATACCGTACCGGTGCGGCGGTTGAGCCGACGCCCCATTCCCATTCAGCCCAATCTACCTAGTAGATATCTATACTAGTATATTCCTACCCCGCCTAGATGATGTACCAGTGGATCATAGATATCGATCTCGCTATAGTTAGTACATGTGCCTAATGGTAATGCAACCGGTGCAAGTAGTAAGTACGCTGTGGACGGATCTGGATTCTGGACTCGATGGTGGCGTGAGTAAGGCATCACGTAAACTTGCTGTGATTTCATCTCATCTCCACACGGGGCCTGATAATGCACTTGTGCTTACCGTGGCGAAGGCAGCTGGTGCACGCGGGGGAAGGTGAAGAAGAAAACGAGGAGGGGGAGGCAGAGACGTCATGACACACCTACTTATGTAATATACGGGGATCCTATAATAGCAGGAAGATTACTCGGAAGTGACGGGTCTGAATTTTTGAAAGCCAGCCCTGAGCCTGGTGACCGCATGTCTGTGTGCAGGTGCAGATAAATCATGGAGTCACTGGTCGCTGTTCGTCTGGTTCCGGTGATCACTCGCATATGGTATGCCATCCTACCATCCTTCAGCTCATCGTCTAGTTAGTAGTTACCCACCGATTTTCCCCATCTATGCTAGATTCTAGATTCCAGATTCCAGTGGCTTCCGGTTCGACGGTGTTACTTTCTCCTGGATCGAGTATCCCTCGCAGTAGGTACCGTAGACACTAGGCGGTAGCTCATACCCGACAAAGTAACTCCTTCCTTCAGGCTTCCAAGTTCCACTGTCCAGCCGAGACTCGAGACTCAACATTGGACAAAGGTGAAAGCCATACAATGAGCAATCTCCACCTTGGGGCTATTATTAGACGGTCCTTGAAGGGAGGGAACTTGAAAGGGTACTTAGGGCAGGCTTGAGGGCCAACGCCAGAGAATGTAGGGTACTAAGATGGCTACTGGCTGAGTGGCTTGTTCAACGGAAACGAATTTCTGACCGACTCGTTAGATGCGTCGCAATAAGTTGCTATATCGTATCGTATGCCAGAGCCAAGTTTCGGGTGAGGGGTTTGGCAGGAGGTAGTGTTCCTTGGACCCTGGACCATGAATGTTCTCTCTCCCCTCTCTAGACGATGACCAATGGCCGGATCGGGAACTTCACAGTTGAGTAGGTGGGTGTATGGTAGGTATAAGGTAGGTATATGGTGGGTATAAAACCATCTTCTGCCCCCACGGCCTCACCAATTCTCGTTCGGTGGTGCTCACCTCCACCATCACCTTCACCACCAACGTGAGCACCACTCGTCCACTCTTTACCTCCGGATACCGGATTCCATCACACAATCACACCATCACATATTCCTCCTCCTACTCCTCCTACCCTCCCACCTTCCACCCTTCGAGGGCCATCTTATCTGTGGATCATGGACGGTGCCAGCCTCAGGTGGCTTACCTGCCCGCCTCGAGGCCGCGGTTCGCCGTACGGGCCATAGGGGCGGTTCACACACCATCACATACTACTTCTCCTACCCGCCTACCCTCCCATCCTCCTACCCTTCGAGCACCATCTTATCAAGTGGAGTGTGTGCGGTGGATTAATCATTATCTGCCCGCCTCGTGGCCGCGGTTCGCACACCCTTACATACTGCCGTAATCCTCCTACCCGCCTACACTTCTACACTCCTACCCTTCGAGAGCCATCTTATCAGTGGAGTATGGACGGTGGAAAACATACCCGCCTCGAGGCCGCAGTTCGGCCCGATCACCACCCGCCGTCTCAAACCACACCACTCCACAGTACTGCACACTCACCACCCAGCTCGGGATATAGAGCTTCGACAAAAAGTTTACGGAAAAGATAATGTGGGTTTGGGCGGAGGGTGATGTTGCTGCGCCGCAGACGGGATGGGCGGGTGGAATATATCAGGAAACACAGAAAAAGAGACCGGGAACTGAGACTGGGATAGAGACCGAAACCGAGAGCGAGAGCAGCTGGGAATGTAAGTTCGGGGTTGGGGTTGCGGGGAGGATTGGGAAGGGTGATTTGGCTTCGTTTCTCTGGATTCTGGAAGAAGGGAAATGCCTCTGTTCTTGGTTCGTGGTTCTTGGTTCTTGGGGATGGTGGAGTGTTGTCTATGATAATATGAAAGCATTCTATCCCGGTGCTTCGTCCGATGTCTTCTGAACGTGAATGCGTGAATGCGTGCACTGTGCACGGTGGTTACGCGGTTTTTTGATTCAACGTAGGTATCTATAGTAGACTATGGCGGCGGCGGCCGAGGAAGAAGCGGAAGTTGTAGCTTGGGAATTTGGGATGACCGCTGGTAAGGCAGGGGATGAGTTGTAGATCCAGTAGGGAGATATAGAAGACACTCAACAGAGGTGCTCTACTCTGCAGGAACGGCGCGGACAGGGGTGTCGAGGCAGAAATCGCCCTTCGGAACATCATTCGGGCCTGCCCTCTGAGTTCATTCATTCTCCTGGCGGACATGGGTTGTCTGCTGCCGTTGGTTATTAGGTTTATGTACCAGCTGGGGAGGACGGGAGCCCGTCGTGACTCGTGACGTCCATGCAAGCGCTGCCGTCTTTGCAGGGCTGGAGAACTCCACCCACCGCACTACATACCTGTCATGTGTACCGGTGTCACTTGTTGCGGGATCTTCGCTAGTAACGATGGCTCCTTAGCGGGTACATATCGCTGCTGCCCGTCTCGCGGGTCCCAGCGAACTGGAAAGCTAGAGGACGCGTCGTGTATATATAATCGCGGCTGACGTTGCGCTCGCCCATCTCGGGTATCGGGCATCGGGTAGTTAGCCACGCCGGGTTCGCTGAATATCTTCCGGCAGGGGTTTGACGGGTGATCCCCGCACTCGTGTTGAGTCTGGCCTGGCCTAGGTAGGTACATACCGGTACCCACCGTACGTGTCATAGAAAGACCGAAGACTTGGTGCATTCCGCCGGCGTTTGTGATCACAGTCAGCAAAAAGCCGGCGGAAATGCGATATCTCCGTTCGCTTCCCTCCAGTGTCCACTCGTGCGGCCGTACGTCATGCCGATCGTGGAACAATTCTTTGCCGTTACTATGAGTGATCGTTAGGCAGCTTCATGTCGCACAACTAACGTTGCCTAAACCTGCTCCCCCACCACCACCACCCCACCACTATTTTCGCCCGCCTCCATATCTCAGTCTTCGCCCTCACCGGCGGCACCTGTGACTCGTGAGCCCTCAGCACCACCACCACCACCACTGCCGCCGCAATGCTTCAGCAACGGCTCGCCAACCTGTCCCTGCACCGGCACCCCATCCTCATCCTCCGGCGAACCTATCTCGGTCCCACTACCGCCACGCGTTTCACGCCGTTTGTCCCGCCGCCTCCTTCGTCGCTCCCGAAACCCAGAGTCCCCCGCAAGATCTCCCCACGTACACGTAAGAACCTCCGGCGCCTCGGCTACACGTCCGCCGCGCTCGGCACGCTCTACCTCGCCGACGCCTTCCTCAACTACTCGACATTCGCACGGAATGTTCGCACAATCGCCACCTGCGGCATCATCGCCGCGGACTACAAGATTAACTTCCGCGCCGGTAAGGATGGCGGCCAGCTCGCGCACATCCACGAGCGCAATGCCGACCGCATGCTGAACCTGTGTCTCAAGAACGGCGGGCTCTACCAGAAGATCGGACAGGCAATCGCGATGCAGAGCGCCATCCTGCCGCCCGTGGTGCAGCAGAGGTTCACGAGGTTCTTTGACGAGACCCCGCAGGCAAGCTGGGCCGAGGTCGAGAAGGTGATCAGGGAGGACTTTGGCGACAGGTTTCCTGGGCTGAGCGGGAGTGAGATTGTGGATAGGCTCTTCGTGCCCGGGAGCTTCGAGAAGAGGGCGGTTGGGTCCGCATCGATCGCACAGGTGCACAAGGCACAGCTGCCGACCGGGGAGTGGGTGGCGGTCAAGATTCAGAAGCCGTGGATTCAGCGGCAGGTGGGGTGGGATCTGGCGGTGTTTCGTGGCGTTACTCATAGTCTGTCGTCCCCGTCCTCCTCCTTCCCGCACGTCGTTACTGACGGACGATTGCAGTGTTTTCGACCTGGATGTTTGGTCTTCCATTGAGCTTCCTGACGCCGTACATCTGCGAGCGACTGGAGAGCGAGACGGACTTTTACAGTGAGGCGGGCAACGCCCAGCGGACTGCCGCCTTCATCGCCACTGAGCCCACCCTCCGCGATCGCGTCTACGTTCCGAAGGTCTACAACGAGCTCCTGACGAAGCGGGTGATGGTGGCGGAATGGATCGACGGCATCGGAGTCGACCAGCGCGAGATCATAACCGGCACCTACCGAGATGAGACCTCCGTCGGCCATCCCGTAAACACACCTCGGTCGATATCGACTCGTCAGGGGCCCATCCGTCGCGTCCATGCACGTAACTCCCGCGTGTACGGGCTCGGTGTGCGGGAAAAGGAGGTGATGCAGACCATGGTCGACATTTTCTGCGGGCAACTGTTCATCTTCGGCTGGGTACATTGCGATCCGCACCCGGGCAACATCCTCGTGAGGCGTCGTCTCAACGGCAAGCCTCAACTTGTCCTTCTCGATCACGGCCTCTACATCACCACCACCCCCGAGTTCCGGCACAAATACGCGCTTTTCTGGCAAGCGCTGTTCACACTCGACAACGGCACGATCCGCGACATTGCCGCGTCGTGGGGCATCGGAAACGCTGACCTCTTTGCCTCGGCCACACTACTGAAACCTTACCAAGGCGGCAGCAAGGAAGTCGTCACCATCGTTGGCGGACACAAACACGGTGGGCCTAAAACCGCGTACGAGGCTTCCCAGGCCGCGCGCGAGAAGATTGCAGAATTCATAATCAACCAGGACAAGATGCCGCGGGAACTCGTCTTCATCGGACGCAATCTCCGCATCGTCCAGGAAAACAACCGCTCCCTTGGCACTCCTGTCAACCGTCTCAAGATCATTGCCAATTGGGCTAGTTACGCATTGACGCGCTCGGTCGAGCAGGCCGGGCTCACCCGCTCATTCGGCGACCGCATGCGCGCGTGGTATTCACATGCCATCTTCAAGGTGGTGGTGTTTACACTGGACGCGGCGTTCTGGTACGGGCGGCTGCGGCAGATACTGTTTGGCGGGCTGGGCTTCGAGGAAGAGATGGATATTCGCATGAGACGGGTTGCCATGGATGAATTTGGGCTGGAGCTACAGGGGAATAATCTCTTCACTGCTTAGATAGATGGCGCGTAGTTAGAAGATGAGTTGTATTTGTACGGTTTATACCTTGTTTGGGCTTTCCCTGGAGTTTTGTTAGCATTACGAGGTAGGTAGAGGCGATATACATATGAGAGCTTCTGGAGGTCTGTACTGGTACATTAGAGTGGCCTTGGGGTAGAACTTGTCTGACGTCGTGTACTCGTACTCCGCCTACTCTAGTTTTCGCCGAAGTTGCATCAGTAAATACCTGTAGAACGCGCTTAGAGGAGAACCCATATCACGTGTTTACCGTAGATTTCGCCGGCTTCAGTTAGCGCAACAGAATGGCCGTAGGGTACGGCCCATATCACGTGCTTCAGTAGCGGCAAAATATTTGCCGAACGTGGATTAGCGTGGATTGCTCAAAAGACCGTGCACTGTTTTTCTTATATAAAGATCCCATCGGTCCGCAACTCTCAATCCTCTACATCATACAACAATAACAACAACACTCACAGCCATCCGTGGCATAAAGTAACACTTCTACTTTAACCTATCATTTCACCGGTATCTCCGACCCCGAGAGAACTCGAATACGTTTTTAATGCACTGGTTCGTCTCCACTTTTCCTCTTTTCAATTCGGGTTGACATGTTCATATGACTGACATTAACTAGCATTACTTTCGGGGCGGAGATACAGATACTCTGGCCGCAAGAATCTGGCTGCTGGCGGCCTGTTCTTGCGGTTTGAGACGGTCACTAAACGTGCTACCGGTTCAACCCGGGGGTGTCGGTCTGTGCGCCGTGGCGCCAGGCTACTTGCCGCCACAGTGATGACGACAAGGCGCACCTTGCCGGTGGGCACAACCTGTGCCCCAAGCTCATCTTCATCTGTCCTCATTACACAGGGCTCCGGCCCTGTGGCGGCGCGCTTTCCCACTGTGGGCAATCGGCCAGCTTGGTTGGGTGTGCGTGTCGGCGCAAGACACGGGAGCGGAAGCGCAAGACACAGGAGCGGGAGTGCAAGACCGATACCATTGCTATCCTTTCCCCAATGTAAGTTCCTCTCTCCCTTGTTGTGGTTGTTTTTGTCACGGCTTTGGCTAATTCGTTTTATGATATGCTTGCTTCGCGCCGTATAGAGAGCTGGACTCTCCGGCTGGCGCCGTCCCTGCGATGATCGACCCCCAATGCATTCTTCTGGGGGCAACTCGCCCAGTTCGAGGCCAATCTCACAGGTGTGTGGGGGGCGGTGGCGAGGTGAAGCTCGCCAATCACCGCAGTGGGCAGAAGAAGATGGATGCGTCAAGGGCAGCGATGTCTACCCCGGATGGTGGGGTAGTGGGGTGGTCGGGTGGTAGTAATCTGCCACCGCCATCGGAAAGGAGTTGAACCTTTTCAAGGGGAGCGATGGCAAGATTTTGCCATCGCCCGTCGGGGGGTAGGACGCTGGCGAAATTTTGCCATTGCGTCGGGGGGGAGTAGCCTTTAGCGCCGCTTCCACTCACTCAGAGATGGGGGGGGGGCGTTTGAGAAACTCCACACCGGGCGAATGGAAAGTTGTGTATTGGAGGAGGGTTTATCATGAGGAGTGGTTTATTTATTCAAGGAATTAAAGGAGTATGATTTTCTCTGCCTACCGTGGCTCATCAGTCAGGTCGTGATCGTGTGATGTGTGATGTATAAATTAATGCCGTGCCCGACCCATCTAACCGTCCGTAATCAGGGTCTGCACAGCGGCTATGGAGGTAAGTCAGCCTACCGCGCTCAATACCGCCGGCACGCCCGCCGCTGACGCTGCGCCCACTCTGCTCCTTTCCAGCTTGTAGACAGGATGTGTAGATGTCGTTCGTGGCACTCTCCCACCCAGAAGAATGCCGAATCTGTTGCATAAACGGGAGTGAATACGGTAGCCAGCGGCAGCACAGTGTCCACGGTCCAACGGTCCCCAGAGGACGCACCCTTCCATCGAGCAGTGAATGCAATAGCGAAGCGAAGCGTGAGAAGACTGCCCATGTGAGATCAACGTCCACACGCAAGTACATATCCAACGATTTATATACGACTACGTTCCCCAGGAGTCAAGGCTCCTGTGCTACTTCATACCTCACAATTATTATTTTCTTTCCATTTTTGTTTTGCCCAATACGTGGTCTGATCACTAATAATCACTCATATCATTCCACGTCCCTTCTGAAAGGTGAGGTTTTTTGATTATCCGAGACACCGATTTCCTGGTCTCGAACTAATTTCTTGTTCTAGGGATGGGGCGGGGGTGGGGGCGGATGTCACTTTCATGATCCATCACCCCGACGCAAGAAAGCGAGGAATACGGGTGGGATAATGGCTTCCAGGTATCCCTAAGTCTTTTCGACCGAACGAAATGTCTCCCACCCTTCGGTCGTCTGGCATGGCCATCGGGATTATCGAGTCGAGTCGAGTAAAGATACTTCGAACCTACTGAGGCGGGCTGCTGGCTACGGGCTGGAGGGTAGGAAGCGGAGGTAAGTGGAGTTAATGTAGGCATATAGATGATTATCAACCACTCGGCATCCAAACGGTTGCGTTGCGAGACATCCACGAACAGCAGCCACACTGCCTCGTATAACACACAAGAGCTACTTGTCATTGTCGATTCTAGATCCAAACAGTAGATGTGTGAATCCAATCAGGTGGTAGAATCGGGTCTTGAATTAAGCTTTGTCTTCGATTATGAGAGATGACAAGTGACATAGGCGGTGAATCAGGAAGGGTACATATCTCGTATTCAGCATGGACCTCATGGAGTATCCACAATAGACCTCTGTACAAGACATGCACTGTATTTCCGTGTACTTTTGCTGCTGCTTTTTTTTTGTTTCATCATTGATTGCATGCGACCTGTCTAGATCATGACAAGGTCTACCCGTACACCCCCCACCCGTTTCCACGCTACTGTCCAACCCAAATCCGCCTGTGACGCTAGTGCTCAGAGCTACCAAGCCGAGTGACCGACCGTGCGGCGGCGAAATGTTTATTCCAAGAACCAGAACACCAATAAAACCCTCGCTCCTCTCCCCCACTCTCTCCTTTCTCCTCATCATTTTCATCGGCGAACATACCAACTCAACACACACATCGGGCCATCGCTCATTTCGACTCCTCTGCGCTTCAGCTTTGGCGAGTGACAGCGGGTCGATTGGGGATGGGAGAATCTCTATGTGTTGGTCTGGGACTGTTTGCTTACTTACTTACTTTTTAGAATTGGGGTCTGCGCGCTCAGCTGCAGATGTTCTGACCGGATCCCCTTCTTTTTCATTGCTTCTCTGGCTGCTATGCAAGAGGGTGAAGAAAGTTCGAGCCTGGTTGCTAGATGCTTGGGTGGATCCTAGGTATCCAGTAACCGCATCTCTAGAACTTGCGGAAGCAATGAGCTCGATACCGGTTCCCTATTGATCTCCGCTCAAACCCGCGTCCAACCCGCTCCTCCCACTGAGGCGTGTTTCCGCCTGTTTTGTTTCCGCCTGTTTTGTTTCCGGTTTGTTCATCAATCGCATGCGACCTATGTAGAGCATTGCAGTATCAGCCCATACACCCCCGTTTCCACGCCACTGTCCGACTCGACTTTCATTGAGCGGCCCGATGTGGCTTTCCCTGCCCTCCTCTCTGGCCTGTCCCAGAAATAAAGATAGAGCGCACCAAAGAAAAAACACCGTCCAGACCCAGTGCCTACAAAAGATCAATTGATTATTGTCGGTACCATGAATCGAACATGGGTCTAAGCTGATCCGTGTTGCCACAAAGCTTCGTACTAACCACTATACTATACCGACTCGTTATGCTACAGGTTTGAAGCAGGAGATTTTGAAGTCAAAACGTTGTCGAGTGGCTTTTCGTATCGGCGTCTGAGCATTTCCGAGTGCTATTACGTGTCGGCGTCGTTGGTCTACCGAACTGACCGGTATGTTCGGCGACAGTAGTCTGCTTATCCCCCGTCAACACATGTGAGAGTACCTAGTACTGTGAGACCTGCCTCTTTGGTAGCCCAGTAGAGCCACCGGGTTTGTTTCCGTCGGCAGCCAGTGTCTTCAGTCCCCAGGGATTTTCGTGCTGCAAAAACACTCATGCGTTGAAGCTGAGGTCCTGTATAGTAGATCCGAGCTGCGCTGCGATGCTATGCTTCTCATATCATCGCCCGTGGAAATAGATCTCGCAAACCTTCAAGTACTCCGCCGGCACTGCCGGCCGGAGTATGCCCTGCTCCCTCCTCCTAGTGTTCAACCAAGTACAAACACGAATCTCGTCCTCGGGGGTATTCGATTGGGAGTCGCAAGGGCCCTAATGTCCAGAATGATGCGGAGTCCAGCAGAATTTCCCGTACTCCCGAATATTCACCAAGAAACCTCGCGACTTCGACAGCCGCCCACCGGCCCCACTGTAGACCCTCCAGAAAAAATGGTGTTTCACTGAGCTGTTGGACTGTCAGCATCCTGCAATGTTAGAGGCGGTATGGAGTGTTTGCGTATTGAACCATCTAACGTGGAGAGTTTCCGGTCCTTTCTTCGTGACAACTATACTCTGCGGCTATGTTGGCCTCGGCGGAGTCGGCAGAATTACGGCTTTGGGGATGTTGCGGTGGTTTCCTACCTATACCTACGCCTCTTCGAAGTACTTCTCGTTCTTGAGCGGAGCCTTTCGTTGTTCAAGAGAGCCTGTATCAACTCTGGATTGAGTGTGTACGTAGGGGAGAAGCCTTATTTATCACTACAGATCTTGAACTCAAATACTAACTGTCGAACTAGCCAAAGGCAATGGCGTAATCGATCCGGCAAACCTCCCCTTCGGGACCCATGTTAAATCCCAGTGGCACGCCTCACAAAATCACGACTCCCAGTATGGATACGCTTCACCGTAGTATTCATCGCAGAATCGCACAAGCAGAAACGGAATATTGAAACTTGCAAGCAAAGAACAAACAACATAAACACATCTTGCCCACCCATCGACCATGCACATCTTTCCGACAATATCTAAAATTGACAGTGCAAACATTACGCGATGCCGCCGACCACCATCGCCGCGATCCCCTCCTCCTCCGCTCTGACGACCGCCTTCAATGCGACGCCATCCTTGGCCGAGTACGCCATCTGTATGCGGGCCACGACGCGACCTCCACCGACAGTCTTGCCAAAAAGCTTCAGTTGGTGTGTCGTGTTGTTCATCGCCACGTCGCTGCCGGCGAGGGGCTGCATGTATAGCTGTTTGCAGAGAAGCTCCACCGCCTCTGAAATACCACTTGGTTAGGGAATGTCACTCTGGGAAAGGGAAAGGATGAAAGGCGTACCCTGAATGCTCTTCAGCTCCTTGCCGAGCGCATACGACTCTGTAGCCTCTTCACCGGCGGCTCCAACCTGCTCCCACACATCGTCCCAGCTTCCGGCAAACGCAGGAACCAGGTAATCCGCAGCCACCAGCTCCAGATCCTCAACCTGGTACTCATCTTCGTAGCCAGACTCTTCCGGCTCTCCGCTTGTCGGGTCGATCTCCTTGCTTGTAAACTTAAGTACGTTGGTGAAATTGCCCGTCGCGTATCCTTCCGAAGAGGTCTTAAAGCTGACCCAGATCGTGCCCACCTCATCGTGCGCAAGTTTAGGGATAGGGATGATGAAATCCTCTACCAGCTGTGACTCCTCCTCCTCGTCGGTTGCCGTGGTGATCATCGAGATGTCTTCCAGAAGAGTATCGCTGAGAGTGTTCTTGACGTGGAACTGCAGGACTAAGTTATCCTTGAAGATGTGCTTAACCACGGAAACAACATATTCGGTTTCAGACTCGGTAAGTTCCGCCTCCAAGGAAGATTTCAACAAAGCTCCATACGCGCTGAGTTCCGGTACGAGGGCAAGCTGCTCCGCATACTTTTGAGTGTTTGCGAAGACCGAAGAGGCGCCAGCATTGGGTGCAGCAGATGCACCGGCGGCAGGCCGTGATGGGCCCGTGGAAGGTGCCTTGAGTGTCGGCATGTCGGCAGAAAGCTTCTGGTTCCGTTCCTCCGCGTATGCCTGTTCCCGGCTGACGATCGGAACAGAGGCGAGATCGAAGGGCTTCGAGAAAGTGGATTGCTCGCCAGTGACGTACATGATGAGCTGATGCTCGAAGATTGGCAAGGAGTAGAGAGACTCGTTCTTAATGAATTTCTCCGCAACCTCTTGTTCCTCGTTCTTGATCAACCGCAAGTTGAGGGCTGCGCGGTCACGGACCTCATCATCGGGATCATCAAGGCATCGGGTGAGAAGCACAACAACACTCCTCTTGACCTCCGGATCCACCTTGGCGCCGTCCTTCGCGGAGACTCCGAACTTGGCGAGCGCCGTAACGGCGGCTGCACGAACAATGGCGTTCTCGAGGACAACACGATTGTAGATGTAGCGGATGTACTTCGTTGGCTGGGCGGTCTTGGGGCCTTCGGTACCGAGGAGATGTAGAACCCGAACGGCGAGCTTCGTAAATTCGCAGTCCTCAATGAACTCGCACAGGTGTGCAAGCGCCTCCTCTCGGCTCTCCGGAACGAACTTTATGAGGTCGAACATACTCTCAACCACCGTCTTCTTGAACTCGTAGCCACCTTCGTCTCTGAGCACGCCCGAAAGAAATGTGAGCATGCCAGCCTGCTTGCTAGGGAACTTGATGCATAGGGTGCGGATAGCCTCAACGATAGTGATCTTGAACTCGTCGGTGATGTCGGCCATGAAGCCACTGATCTGCTTCATCAAGCGATCCACGGATGCTTCATTACCGGTTTTGAGCAGCGTTGTGATGGCGAATGTGGCGATCGACCGATTCGAGTTGGAGATGAGGGTCTCGATGTCCATATTGCAAACATTGACGGCGGATGGGCGGATCGAGGCGAACTTGTGAAGGATACGGATCGCGGTGAACTTGGCGACGGGGCGAGGGGAGGTGAGGAAAAGTTGCAGAACTAAGAGCGGTCGAGGATCAGTTCTTGTCTGGCGAAACATCAAGGTAATGCTCACCATGAATGGCAGGTGCGACTTCGGCATCTGTCACATCCTTCATCTCGCAGATAGCTTTTGCGGCCTCGAAATTCACCATCTCCGCCTTGTGCCTCAGCCACCCGTCGAGCAGTCCCCACATAGCCTTCCTCAACCCTGGGTCATCCTCGGCGATCTTCGCGGCTAACCGAACCAACATGACAACTGCCGCAGGGTTCTTCACCTGACCTGTCGAGAATTGCTGGACCATCTTCACCAAGGCCATCCGGTCGTGCGCGCGCATCTGGTAGAGAAGTCCGATCGCGTGGTATTGGGTCATTCCCGAACCCTGGGACACAGATGGGGATGAACCGAAGCCGAGGGAAAATCCCCCAGACTTTGAACCGGCCAGGACAGCCTCGTTCGTTTCGTTTGCCCATCGGCGGACGACATCGCGGGCGATGGGGAGGAGGTGGTACGACGATACGAGGGCGGCGGAGGATACCGATGGAGTTTTGTCGACGATAGCCGTCTTGAGAAGTCGCTCAATAGCTTGTACGGTTGTGCCCTAGAATACCGGTATTAGCCACTCCGCGCCCAAGCTCTGCAGACACTATCCACCCGCACAATGGCATATCTTCGCACACTTCCAATATGGCTTACTTACATCGATAATCCTGCAAAGTGCCCTGATGGCATTTGCACGGTATATATCCTGCTCCCCACTACCCCGTCCACCAGCACCTTGAACGTCTTTCATCACACTACTCGTAACCATGATGACATCCTCCGCGGTGCCCGCCAGCTCCTTGATTGCCAAGTAGACCATCTGCCGTAAGCTCGCATCGCGGTGCTGGAACAATTTGGTGATGCCGAAGAACAGCTCGGTAGCTTCAGCTTTCGGGAAGCTCTCACCGGTGTGACGGAGGTACACGATCTTAGTCAGGAGGATTCGGCATTTGCGGGGAGAGATCGGTGATGTGTTGAAGACTCGGGCTGTGAGGGGTTAGCTACCGGGATGCGAGGCGAGAGAGGAAGCGAGAGGGTGAGTCGGACCCTCTTGAAAGACAGATGTGCGGTCGACTTTGAAGATGGCGGGCTCCGCATCCTCGTCCTTCTTCTTGGCGTAGCTCATGCTGGGTGCGCGCGATTCGAAAGGCCGTAGGTGGTAGATGGTGGGATGCGATTACTTCGTAAGCTCGTGAAGGTGGGGGAGACTAGAGCTTAGGGGAGGTCGCGAAACGGGATGTAGGTGCGAATTGAACGCTGAGAGAGCTCTCACGATTACTGTTGACAAAAGTAACGAGGCGACGAGGGGGAGTCGCGGTGGATTGCGGCGAAGATGAGCTGTACCAGTTGGCGGATCGTTAAGGGTGTAACTTTTTTGGTGGGGACAACTTGCTTCACGATGTGTCCTATTCAGCTTGCTAAAATTACCCGGTTGTTTCTTAGCAAGCACGTGCATCCTTGTCAGCATCCCCGGTCACCGCATCAACGGCCACTTCTTCACCCCTAGTTCATCCTCAGGAGCTTCACATTTCCGATGCCCCTTTTCTGCTACATACATTTCCGTCGGTGTTTGGTTCTCACGGATTGGACTGGATTGCGGTGTTGGGAGGGTTTCGTTGGAGTCACGTGCGGTCCCTTAGCGCTAAGTTCACAAGCGCTGAAGCCGCCCTGGCAGCCATGCAGTACGCGGCGGCGGGTGAGAACCTCGAGCGGAGTCTGCGTCTTGGTATATCAGCTGTAATTGACACAGAAAAGTTGAAAGCTGAAGTATTCGATGACGGCGGCTGCATCCAGTTGTCGCGTTGCAGGTCAGCTTGTCGTGCCTTGGTGGAGTAGAACCGCGTCCCCGCCATTACGATCGAAGCGTTAGAATTCAGTGCACTTAAGCCAGACCAGGGTACCGGTATTCCCAAGAACCAGGAACAAGAATGAAATGACACCCCTTAACAATACTCAACTCCTAATACAAACAAAATACAAAGAAAATACGAAATTATGCCAACGCCGGAACAGATCCCATCGTGCTCGCACATATCCCCAACTCTCCTCTCTACAAGCCCATACTCGGGTGATCCATGCGGTATTCCGACATGGCCTTCCTCAGGGCGTGTACGACTTCCTCTGCCTGCTCTTCACTCATCGCCTCAAAATCGTACCTCTTCGTCTCCTTCTGCTGGCGCATGACGAGGATCTTGAAGTTACTGGGCGCCTTGCGGTACGTCTTGCAGCCGATGATCGCTGAGATGTGAATACTTCTGGTTTTCGTCTGGCTCTCGAATGCGTTGAGGAGGGTCTTCTGCTCGCTAGGCATGATGTGGACGTATTCTCCATCGACGGCGAGAACGCGCTCATGACGCGACATAAAGCTCATGGGTGCTTTGCGCCAAACCGTGAATTTGAGGTAGTCTTCGGATGAGAGCATGTCGGGAGCCCAGAGGGCGGGTTGAAGGATCTTGGGCTTCTTGGTGGGAGTGCGCGAGGAGCTGCCAATGATCAGGGGTGCATTGGGGGAATTCAGTGTAGACGGGGAACCAGGCCGATCTCCAAGACTCTCCGAAGCACCGACGAAGCGGCGGCGGACAAGGTCCAGTTCCCCGCGTTCTCCGAGAGAGGCCACGGTGCGGTCGAGGGGCGCGACGACATTCGATACTCCGGTGATACGAAGTATGAATTTATCCTTGTCGAGGTGCTTCTTCCGGCAGACCTGCTCGAGGACTTCAGCAATGTAGGTATCGGTCGTGACGCAGACTGAGATGCTCTGGGCGAACTCGTCAATGGTGGAAAGGTGGATTCGGAGGATCTTAGACGGGCCGACACGGGGTGTGCTGTTCGTTGCCATCGCGGAGGCCTCGGCTGCCGCTTGACGAGCCGATGGTCCAAGTGTGGGTGTGGGAGTAAGGGGTCCTCCGTGGTTTGCATAGAGGTTTGTGGAGCCTGAGGAGGGTGCCAATGTTATTGGCGCAGGTTTCCTCTTCATCGGGGACTTCGTCGTGCTCGGCGTGACTTTACAGTGTTGGACAACTGATGAACAGGAGGGATTAGTGAGGCAAGTTGACAAGAGTAAGGGATTAATCTCACATTGTTCCTCCGTAGCCCTACACAGTGCAAACTCGCCTTCCAGCTTGACTTCCTTCTGTTGAGCAAGTCGGCCCCCACGCGCTGACTTCTTGGTCATGTAGGAGGTGATGGGCTGAGTTCGCTCCAAAGGAGGGAAGTCATCATCAGGCTCGCCTTCGTCGACCATCCGGAAAACCCAGCGGTTAATATCGAGTTGTTCGTCTTGAAGCGCAGGTGTTTTCTTCTCCTCCACGTACTTGTAAAGCACAAACCCAATCGCCTCCGCAACAGTCGTCTCTCTGTTCTTGCCACCGCCGTCTTCTTTGGCGAATCGGCTGAGAACGATTTCGAATGGTTCAACGCCTCCCCCGCGAAACGGTATGATGATCCTGAGGTAGACGGGAGCAAGCTCGCCTTTTCCGTCGAAGAATTTGTATGCATCCATCGGGCTCTCGGCTTCGGCGGACTTGAGAAGCTTGCTCAACAGGGAGACTGGCTGCATCATGGAGACGGGGCGGATAGGCGGTGGTAAGGCGTTCAGCACTGCGGGGGAAGTGCGCTGGACAGCTCTCGGGGGTGGCGAGAGAGAGTTTCCGATCACATCGGGATTCGAGTCCGCGGTGGGCATGAAGTCGGAGGAAAGAGTGCTGCTAGCATCCGATTCGTCTCCGGTATCGAAGCCGTGATCGTGAGGCAACGATGAGTTCGGCGATGACCGTAACTTGTTCATGATCTCGGAGTGTAGACCGCGATCCCTCATGATGCCAGAGGACAGTAGCTCTTCGTCGGCGCCGGGGACCGCATCGTAATCGATAGACGCTGTAGCGGACTTAAAATCGACATCTCCGTGGGATCCACCTCGTAGGCGGCGTGTGCGATTCTTCGATAGCGACGACGACGTGACCATGACCTGTGGTCCATTGCGTATCGGCGATGATCCGGCGCGGGGACGATGTGGCAGCTCTTTCTTCGTAAAATCGAACTGTATCTTCTGTCCTGGCTTATCCGTGCTGTCCACAACAGCTGTTAGCTCCTATCACGGCGAGCAACAGCAACAGCAACACCCGTAGCTCCCCCTGGTCTTACGTTTCAGAATTCTGGTCGTCGTCGGAATCTTCACTCATATCCGAGCTATCATCCTCCTCCCTATGCATCTCCATCCTCGCCGTAGCTCCAGTCTTCAACTGTTTCGTATCGACCGGCGCGTCTGTGCTGTCACTCGAGAACCGAGAACCTAATAGTGTGCTCGTCTCATCGCCCCGTGGTCTCTGGCCGGCGGTAGCCTCATCGTTGAACGTCCGGCCTGCTGCTGTCGCGAAGTAGTCCCCCGCAGGACCACATGGAATCGGCGGAGAGTGGGCACGCTTGATGTCGACTCCCCAGCCAGCGTTCTTGAAGGCAGGTACGTTAAGGGCGGTGGGATTGACGGTGATGAGGCGGTCGCTAACTCCATCTTTCATACATTGTAAATAGCGGCTGCGAATACGGTATATGACGAAGCTGTAACGCGGTTAGCTGAAGACTAGTAGAAGATAATGGAGGTTGTCGCGTACTCCTGGTTCTGTAGCAGCGACATCGTTGGTGTGAATAGGAATGTTGCCGCAAGACGTGGGGAGAATAACGGGACGCGAATCGTGGGGTATGGGCGCTATTGATTTTAGCCGAGAGTGGGGTTAGTGGGTCCCCGTTAGCTCGTGTGGCTGTGGCGCTAATCACCCGCCAAGCTTTGTGGCGATTCTGGCCAAGCTCCAAGGACCCTTCAACAGTTTTCATCCTCACACGGTCATCCAGCCTTCACCCTCACTTGTGTTGGAATATTCGGGTAGACGGAACGAGATATTCTAGATATTCGATACAGAAGAAAAAGAAGAACCTATCGTCTACGGCGCAGACCTCTATTTAAAACCGAGGGGCCGCCTGAAGTTGGCCACCCATAAAAGTTGGCCGCTGCCGCGTAACCATATACTCGTCGACAGTCCGTCGACCTTCCACCGCCAGACCTTAATTCGTGCCGAGATCTCCGGGCGACTAAATTTTGACAACTTGCTATAGAAATGCAACTCATGTCGGTTAAATGACTTGCCTATCGTCGCAGGCGGGATTGTTATACTCTAGCAGAGTGTTGTGTCGTCTGGCGGTTCATTATGGTAGGTATATCGACATTGGAGACGGAATGACAATACATTCAGCAATTTACGTAACTGTCATAAACAACTCCGAACTCACAACGCAACAGTTCAGTTTAAGTTGAGAAGGTAAAGTCGGTGCTCGCGGTGATCTGCAGGGCTGATGGAAGTTCTTGATCGTGGCCAAGTATCTATCCTCTTGGTTTCGGGACACCTCCGGTCCAGCCCACCAATCGACGGCTCCCCTAAGTCAAGGTACGCGTATGTAACGCACTCGTAAAGAGTCGTCGTGGTAGATATCGCATCTGCTGGGTGTAACTCTCCGCTGCTTTTTCTATCTCGCTGCCTCCTGCTCCATCTTGACCATCTGGCGTCCTCCTACCTCCCCGATCAACCACTGCGACCAAATACGCTTGATCTCTACCTTCGGTTTCTCATATTTTCCAAGAGCTCTCTCTCAATCCGCTCAGACAGCAGACGCAAGTGAGCAAGCATGAGCGGAAGCATCATCGGACGACATTTCGGGGATCTGGGAACTGCAGCAGGGTATCATCCTCGTGTAAACAAGGGATGAAGCCTCAGACTGTGATGGTGCGATAGACGATGACAGGGTCAATACTACGGAGCCGAAGGGTCTGCTTGTGGCGACGATGCCGAGGGGTTCAAAGTGCGAAAGGAAAATACTATGGACAGTGCCAAGAACGAGTGACCAAACAGGCAAATAGGCGCGAAATGACTGTCAATATGCGGGGAATAAAAAATGACGTGATCACCCATGATTTGACCCCGCGGGAAGGAACCGTCAGAACTATGTACATCCTCACCGCATTAGGGGCCAATATTCGCTTCGTTGAGGCGGATCTGATCTGGAGGCCGGTAGATTGGTACGGGAAGGTGGCGTGTATTGGGGATAGGGCGAGGAGGGGCTGGAAGCCTGGAAGTCGGTCAGAAGCCGTGACATGAGATCAACCTGGTCAGATGATGTACGAACGAAGACGTGGAAAGGAATTGTTACTCGCGGATCATACGGAAGAGAAGCGGCAGAGTAGGAAATTCCGTAGTAAGATGCGAGTGGGGAACCAACAAGACGAGGCGGCGAAGCCACACCAGGAGCGGATCACTGCTCGCGAACGAGGTACGGTACGGCAATTCCAGAGCGCCTGTGGAGCACCAATATCGATGGGCTGACGCACAGAGCGGCGGACAACGAGTAGATGGTAGGCGTGCCGCCTGAAATGAGAGGAGACTTCGGAGAGCTCAGCACGCTACAAGGAGGGATTGCGGCCCGTCTCCTGGGGAGGGGGGTGCGGAGGGGCTGGCGATGGAGGCGGTGGAGCAACAGGGACAGGAGGCGATCTTTCGTTGGAGTCTGATGCTCTCGTGTACTTTCCTTGATGAACTTCCCAACCACCGGCTCCTAGGAGGAGAATGGGGAAGGGTGTCGATACATCGGGCTAGATATCAAGACCGTAGACTGGATAGCTAGACACCTTGCCTCGCAGAATATACGAGTTCATGTCATTGCTTGGGATCGATTATCAGTCACGAAGTGCAGAGCAAGAAACCCTCATAAGCAGGAACGGTTTTCATAATTTAGAAGACCGACTATCCTGATTCCTCCTCCCGTTCAAAGCACACATTTTTCATCTCAACATTTCATTCAGAGCACCATTTTTTGTTCCAACCTTCCATCCATAGCACCCATTTTTTGTCTCTCCCGCCTTGACTAGTTCCCAAGCAAAAAGCGCTTAATTAACCACAACACGCATGCCAGACTCGTTGCCGTCAAAGTACCACGATCCACTCGCCTTGCCCTGCTTTCCACACTTGTCGCGGATCTGCTGGGCGGCGTAGGCCACATAGTTGCACGTCATCAAAAAGTTGTTCTTTCCGCAGAGAAGGATGCTGCTGCCGGCGGAGGACTCCACGAGGGTGCATTTGTTGTTACCGTTGACCTGTCTGCAGGACTTCTTGTAGAGCACCTTGGAGATGCAGGTGTCGACCTCGTGGAAGGTCGGGGACGAGACCGACGTGTTGCATTGGAGCGTAGCGAGGAGCGAGGAATCGTCATTGCCGGCCGAAACGACGTCGGCATCGGTGCCGGGGTTCTTGATGTTCGAGATATCGAACGAGGTCGGGTTGCCGCTGCGAGTGTCGATAGCCCCGGAAGGCGCAGCCGAGGTGCAGGCGGCGATGATTGAAACGACCGCCAGAATTCTCAGGTGGAAACGCATGTTGATATTGTTGATGGAGGTGTGGTTGTTATATAAGTTGGTTGGAGTGGTGGATTAGTAGGGGGTGGTGGGTTGGTTGGGGTGGTGAGAAAGTTGTGAAAGGGATTGTAGGAAGGTGTGAAAGGGAGGGTCAAACTGGAAGCAGGAAGTTGGGGTTTTATGGGCCACCGAGGGGATGGATCCGATGGGAAGGAGCGGCTAAAATTGTGAGGTGTAGTTAGGGCTATGAATTGAACGAAGAGCACCATAATGAACAAAGAAACATAGGAAGAGCAAGTATCATAACAGAGGAAAACACTGGTATATTACAAACGTCATGAACTCAATTATCCCTTGAACCGGAGAGACTGGTAATTAGGGTTTAAATATCGGGAGAGAAAGGTAAAATTCATATTCTGAACGCATCCGAGGTCACTCAGTGGCAGATATCACTTATGCAATTACGTCAGTCACCACCACGAATTACCCTCCCGGCCTTGGACAGAAGTAATCCATCCATATACGGCGAACACTGCAGCCCTCAGTCGGAGGAGACCCAAGAATACCATCGAGATCAGCTGGTCCTCGGCCCACAAAGGCGTCCCCGGAAACGAAAAGACCGACGAGTGGGCAAGCTGGCAGCTGATAACTACTCCGCGTGCCCCCTTTACCGCAGCCAGGACAGCACTAGGCCGCTACCATTTTCATCGCTCACCTACCGGAAATGTGGCATCACGGAGACCAAGTCGAACGAGGCCAAAAAGCAGTAGCGGCATAGCCGGAAGGCTTTTCAGATACCAGGCACGATCGTGGCCACGGCTCCGAGCGCCTGCCCTCAAAATTCTGCTACCAGCTGAAGACGAGAGATTGCCTCACCGAGAAATACCTCCCGAGTCACGACCAGAACCCCACCGACCGGTACCTCCCCGATCAATAACATCTCAACCAATACCTCTAATGGACGGAGAGACGTTCCGACACTTCGCGTGGGTGGTGTGGATACAACACCCAGACTCGAGAGCATCTCTTCAAGTGCTGCCCCGAATCAAAGAGTGGGCAGACGACCCGGTGGGCGGAGGTTGGAAAGGAGAAGGGAAGGGGCAAGGAGCGCTTCAAGATCTGGGGTTCTTCGCACATGAGCGGCACAGCCAGGCTATCTTCGGCTTTCTCGGCAACAACGATGCGGTCGGGCGGATCCCGGAGGTTGCTGAGGAAGTTGCAGCAAGTGAGGTGTCAGAGTGGGAGCTCTAGGAGCGGGAAGGAAGATAGGCGGAGAGGAGGAGAAAGGAGGACCAGGAGGTGTCGTCGTCGAGGAGCCGGGGCCACTCCCGTTGTTTTCTCCAAATCATCCTTCACGGCATCTCCTGATGAAGAGACAGGGAGCGAGACGGCGTGAGGAGCGGGCATTCCATTTATTAGCTCTTTTCCGTTAGTGCACTACATGTTCTCACGGAAAGTACCATGGCGCACAGCTGGAAAAGCCACATCGTGCGACGTGACGAAAGTTGAGTTGGATAGTGGGCATGCAAACGGTGTGTGTATTGCCATGATCTAGACGGGTCGCATGTAATTAACGATTAAACAACAAAGTCACCATCACCCATTTCTTGGCGCATAACGAGATTCTCACAGTTTCATCCAATAAGAACAGCCCTGACAGCCAGACATTCCATATCACCGACTTCCCGGAAAATAACAAGCGCTTCATGAAATATCACTCCCAGTTTCGTTCGAGCCAAATTCCGCAAAACAGTCCATTCATCGATTATTCAAGCCCCATAGTATCTTAGACTGGATCGTCTCTAAGAGAATAGGCAGAATATCGATATTTGCTCCAAATCATTATATATCACTCCAGTGTGATGGACGAGTGATGAGTCATGTATACGTCTGCTTTTGCCCATTTGGAGTGCATCAGACGGTGCCTCTGATGATTTGCTGCGCAAGGTCCGCGTTAGCTCGACGTTGTTGCTAGTAAAAACATGTGTGAATGCCACTCATCCATGGCATCTCACCCGCTACATAATCATGAACTGCACTCGCTATGCAACCTTGGTGGTACTGTTTTTTTGCTTACAACGCATCCGTTGGGCAATGAGCATAGATTAGAACTAGATGGTCAAGAATTACGAATCGAGTTGTTACATTTGTGGATTGCCTTCAACGCCGTCCACCAGGTCACGCGACTACGGTTAAACTTAGTCACGAGTTGTACCAGTGATCACGTGCTTCTCAGAGAAACCCCCACGCCACCATGCCTAGGCAATTGCTGTGGTTTCGTTAACAACGTGTTGTCTCTACCCGGGAGAGCGCGGTGAGCTCCGCGTCACGGCCCGGTGAAGAGGTACCTGCGCTGACCGAAAGAGCTTCAAAAGGCAGTTGAGTGTTTCACCTTTTTTGTACATTCGAGAGTCCAATACTCAACTCGACTCACCATAAATGCCGGTGGTGAACAGCGTAAACAGACAAACTCGCGTCCACGGTTCAGACCGCAGCAAAAGAGCGTCCTCCCCAAGGTTGCTATCCTTGTACAGCCGATGGACCTCTCACCACCTGGGGACTTCGCTGTCGTTAAGCCATGATCACTGCCTGGACACTACCCGAAAGCCGACCTTTTGAACCCCACGTGAGGTAAGCTGTAACCACAATTTGGATTTTAACTCCCGCAGCTCCAGTTTGCGAAATACAACATACCGGCTGCCTGTAGGCTGTAGTGCTCGCTACATCAGCAAGCAATACGAATGTAATGCCTACACTGTCTGTCAGTCACTGCTATGGGAATGAACGATTTCCATTCGCAATCAAGAATATACCACATACGCTCTTCCGGCTCCATCATTCTGAGGATTCGCACTCCCCATCAAGTACATACTCCCCATTAGGTACATACTCCATCTTTCCGTATCGAGCTTGATACAACCAATTCCTTCCATTCAAATCTCGCAGGCATCGATTCGGCATCTGACTAGCCCACATCATCCAAAATCACCTAATCCAGGCTCTCCTCATCCAAAATCTCCTTTTCTAACATCTCCTCATCTACAAGTATTGTTCTTCTATGGTAGGCTGCGACCGAACCTCGTCATCTGTCATTGAGTCCTGCGTGGTGCAGCCTGGCGTGGTGGCCGATTTGTCTGCCGCAGTATCCGCAGCGGTTGCGGCATCCCCAGCAGTTGCGGCGTCCGTAGCGGTTGCGGCATCCACAACGGTTGTGCCATCCCCCGCGGTTGCGGCATCCACAGTGATTGTGGAATCTCCAGCGGTTGCGGCGTTGGTAACGGCTGTGGCGTCCGTCGCGGTTGCGGCATCCGTAGCAGATGTAGCATACGTAGCGGTTGCACCAGCCACGGTGGTTATGGCATCCATAGCGGTTGTGGCATCCCCAGCGGTTGCGGCGTCCATGGCGGTTGCCGGTAGAAGAATATTTCTTCTTTCTCTTCCTCCTCTTCCTCGTCTTGTTTCTGCCGCCGGCTGGTGCCGCCGCGGACGTACCCGAAGGTCCAGAAATCCCCATGGTGGGCTGCGACCGAACTCCGCCTCCCGTCATCGGGTCCTGCGTGGTGGCCGATGTGGCTGCCGCGCCATCTGTAGCGGTCGCAGAGGTAGAAGAACGTTTCTTCTTTCTCCACCACTTCCTCCTCTTCTTCTTTCCGCCGCCGGATGGTGCCGCATTGGACGTACCCGAAGGTCCAGGAATCCCTATCATGGGCTGCAACCTAACTTCGTTTTCCGTCACCGGGTGCGCTTCGTCTCCCGTCCTTGGGTCCTGCGTGGTGGCCGATGTGTCTGCCGCGCCATCCGTAGCGGTCGCAGAGGTAGAAGAACGTTTCTTCTTTCTCCACCACTTCCTCCTCTTCTTCTTTCCGCCGCCGGATGGTGCCGCATTGGACGTACCCGAAGGTCCAGGAATCCCCATGGTGGGCTGTGACCGAACTTCGTCTCCCGTCCTCGGGTCCTGCGTGGTGGCCGATGTGTCTGCCGCGCCATCCGTAGCGGTCGCAGAGGTAGAAGAACGTTTCTTCTTTCTCCACCACTTCCTCCTCTTCTTCTTTCCGCCGCCGGATGGTGCCGCATTGGACGTACCCGAAGGTCCAGGAATCCCCATGGTGGGCTGTGACCGAACTTCGTCTCCCGTCCTCGGGTCCTGCGTGGTGGCCGATGTGTCTGCCGCGCCATCCGTAGCGGTCGCAGAGGTAGAAGAACGTTTCTTCTTTCTCTTCCTCCTCTTCGTCGTCTTCTTTCTACCGCCGGCTGGTGCCGCCGCGGACGTACCCGAAGGTCCAGAAATCCCCATGGTGGGTTGTGACCGAACTTCGCCTCCCGTCATCGGGTCCTGCGTGGTGGCCGATGTGTCTGCCGCGCCATCTGTAGCGGTCGCAGAGGTAGAAGAACGTTTCTTCTTTCTCCACCACTTCCTCCTCTTCTTCTTTCCGCCGCCGGATGGTGCCGCATTGGACGTACCCGAAGGTCCAGGAATCCCCATGGTGGGCTGTGACCGAACTTCGCCTCCCGTCATCGGGTCCTGCGTGGTGGCCGATGTGTCTGCCGCGCCATCCGTAGCGGTTGCAGAGGTAGAAGAACGTTTCTTCTTTCTCCACCACTTTCTCCTCTTTTTCTTTCCGCCGCCGGATGGTGCTGCATTAGACGTACCCGAAGCTCGAGGAATCCACACGGTGGGAGGTGACCGAACTTCGTCCTCCGGCATTGAGTCCTGCGTGGTGGCGAATGTGCCTACCGAGCCATGCGTAGCTGGTGCCGTATTGAACCTACCCGAAGCTCGAGGCATCCACACGGTGGGCAGTGACGCCGCATTGGACCTACCCGAAGCTCGATGAATCCACACGGTGGGAGGTGACCGAACTTCGTCTTCCGGCATTGAGTCCTGCGTGGTGGCGAATGTGCCTGCCGAGCCATGCGTAGCTGGTGCCGCATTGAACCTACCCGAAGCTCGAGGAATCCACACGGTGGGAGGTGACCGAACTTCGTCTTCCGGCATTGAGTCCTGCGTGGTGGCGAATGTG